ATCAGCTTCGGCGAGAAGCTCAGCTGCTTGTTCATGACTACATTGTTGAAAGATTCAGGAGTTGACGCTGAATATGTGGACCTGTCAGATGTCTTGCATAATGACACCCCTTCTCCATCCCTGGATGCCAGCTTCTACAAGCTGGCGGTAAGCAGATTTCTCAAGAAACTCACAGCGTGCGAGCACCGGGTCCCGGTCGTCACGGGCTTCTTTGGAAACGTCCCTGGCAGCTTGATTGATGGAGATATTGGTCGCGGCTACACAGATCTCTGCGCGGCCCTCTGCGCCGTGGGATTGAAGGCGGACGAGCTGCAGATCTGGAAAGAAGTCGACGGCATCTTCACGGCAGACCCTTCAAAGGTCCCCACGGCTCGATTGCTACCATCCATTACACCGTCAGAGGCAGCCGAATTGACGTTTTACGGTTCCGAGGTCATCCACCACCTTACCATGGACCAGGTCATCCGGGCTCATCCACCCATCCCTATCCGCATCAAGAATGTTAAGAACCCACGCGGAAACGGCACGGTGGTGATCCCGGATCCAATTCTGTCGGCGGCACAGCAGCTGCATCGATCAAGACCTTCGCAACGGGCCCTGTTCAAGAATCCCAGACGCCCAACTGCCGTCACAATCAAGGACCAGATCAGCGTCATCAACGTCCATTCAAACAAGAGATCGATTTCACATGGCTTCTTCGCCCGCGTGTTTTCCATCCTCGACAAGCAGTCCATCTCCGTGGATCTCATCTCCACGAGTGAGGTGCACGTCTCCATGGCCATCCACGCTGACGGAATTCGATCAGAGGCGTTTGAGACTGCGAAGCGGGACTTGGCGGAGTGTGGAGATGTCAGCATTCTAACAGACATGGCTATTTTGAGTCTAGTTGGGGCAGACATGAAGAACATGGTTGGCGTTGCTGGGCGCATGTTTTCGACACTCGGAGAGCACAATGTCAATCTCGAGATGATTTCTCAAGGTAAGCAAAATCACCCGGACTATGCATGTTTTTTTTTTCTTCACCGGACTAACACATTGGATTTTACAGGGGCGAGTGAGATCAACATTTCTTGTGTCATTGACGCTCGCGATGCCACGAGAGCCATGAATGTTTTGCATACTCATTTGTTCACATTCCTGGATTAGGGGGGCGGTTTTGGCCATGATACCTAGCATTGCGGCGCCGATTTATTTTTTACAGCATATATACGTGCATAAGGTTTAGGTTGAGTTGATACAGAAGGAGCTGCAAAGGCCAATCGCATTGCGAGGCCTTTCTTTATTATTTCCATTATTCCCAAAGCTTTTGGATACATTTTGTCCTTTTTTTATTCTTTTGTTTGTTGGGGTGAGGAAACAATCTAGGTTGACCAGTTTGGTGCATACCATCATCAGTTCTTCTGCTTCATACGCTACCATGCGCTACATCATTGAGGAGTTTTTAAAAATTCGATAGATGATAGATAATAAATTGCATACATCAACTAAAGATATGAGAGAGATGTGAATGGGTTCTGATTCTCATTCGATTGCATTGTACATCATGAGATAAATTGCAGGGTATCTCCAGCGTTGCTATTATTAGCAAACAATGTCAGCCCAGGTACCACCGCTAGGAATTCTTGGTGCTGAGGTACTTGCAAATTAGAACCGTTTTTAGAAGAGCTCGGTGAAACTCACGCCAAAATCCCCCACCTGCGATACTTGTTTACCGAATACGCACTTACACCTCCGTCTCAGCGTTTCAGCACCGCCAAAACAGCACAACTCTCCCGCCACCAGCATCACGACGATGCGCCTCGCCTCACCTGAAGCTACATAGCAGACGCCGATGGTGCTGTGCGTACCGCAGATTGTACGAATAGCGCAGGCCTCATCGCCTGTGCACCAACTATCGCCACCATGTATCGGTCTGGAGGCTCTGGGCCTCGCAACCGGACCAGCATCTTGGGCGTTCTCAAGGCCACGGAGCTCGATGCGAGATCCAAGCTCCCAGCAGGTAATGTCTCGCTTCCTGGTTGATTTGCTTGACCATACGCGCTCTTATGGGGAGCTCAATGGCAGCTAACTGTGTTGCTGTGGACAGAAATCATGGTGACGATCCTCAACTACCTGCCCGTGGCCGACCAGTTGCGCTGTGCCCGCGTTTCCCACCGTTTGCGAGAGATGGTATACGATGACACTCGTTGGGTATCACGATTGAAGAGCATGGGATGCTGGGACGAACGAGAAGCCAGACAGAGGTTTGAAGAGTCGGTCAGGCGCAGGCGAGAAGCTGCTGCTGCTGCTGCGGCGGCAAACCAGGCCAACGATGGCAAGAAGAACGCAGTCGCATCGTCCACCATATTCGATGCCACGGTCGAACAACAACGTCGACAGCGACCTGCTTCAGAGCTGAGAGACGGGTTCGAGACCATGACAATTGGGACAAGCGATCCTGCTGAGGACCCCGCGGCGTATCTCGACGTATTCAAGCGCGTCAAGAGCATCAGAGGCGGGGCAAGGCAGGAGTATGGCAAAATCTACAAAGCTCTTGCACCCTTCTATTTTGATCTGGCCAAGGCCAAGTCGCACACGGACCCGATCGTGTTCAAAGCCTTTATAGATCCCGAGCAGCAGGCGCAGATGCTGGCCAACCTGCACAAATTCGCGGGGAGTGATTGGTCTGAGGGATGGGCCGTCAGAGATGCGAAGCTGACGGCAATGATGAACATCTTCGAAGCCGCTGTTTTGCGAGAGTTCGAGCAGGGCTACGAATTCTGGGACGTTGACGGGCGCATGCACCGATACGCTCATGTTTTGCACACACTCAATGGCGCCAAGACTGGAATCGAACTCTTTATACAGAAGCACCCCCTCTTTAATGATCGTGATATGGTGCACAATCCAATGGACTGCTTGAACCAGGCATTTACAGACGATGTGACGCTGGAGCCATCACGTCGCTTTTTTGAGCAAGTGCTCCTCAAGGTCAACGAGCAAGCGAGCATTCTGGAGCGAATATTTCCCGATCCTGCCGTTGTGTTCTGGGGGCTCACTGAAAAGGTCGCGGAGGATATTATTGCCGAATACACAACTCCCATGTTTGACGAGGCGCACGAGCGCAGCATTCTTTCCTACCTCAAGGCCATTTCCGGCATTTTCGAACAGACGATGAGGTTCTTCCAATCACTTACACCTCCCAAGGGACCTGGGGAAGAAGGAGAAATAGAGAAGCGTGCCAAGCAGCTGACGTTGAAGGTGTTTGAGCCTCACCTCGATTTATACCTACAGGAGGAGCTGGATTTCTTCACTAAGCAGGCGGAAATCGAGGTCTCACAATGGGAGAAGAAGCTTTCCGAACAAGACTCGTCTTTGGAATCATTTTACATGTCCAACATTAATCGTTCTGCGGAGAAGAACGATTTCTTGAGCTCTTTCAAGAAGGTTATCATGATGCCCGTCACAGTTCTGCCCAATTTTCCCATTGGCTCTCCGTTTGCGACTACGAAACCAGCATCCTCGCCCGCAGTTACTGCAAATGGGTCTGCGGTCTTGACCCCTCAGTCTTCCCGGCCACAGACTCCAGGCTTGGGCAATGAAATCCAAGGACGGGGTAGCAGTCCCATGCCTGGGGCGAAAGCTCCGACTGATGAGCTTGCAGCTAAAGCAGCCATAATGGCCTCTAAGTTGGAAGGCATAAAGTCTTTATTCAGCATCGAAGTAGCCCTAGATTTGGTGCACAAGGCCAAGAGTAGCCTTGGGCGAGCCGCGGTGCTTATTCCCTTAGGCGGACAGGTTGGAGGAGAAGCCAAGGAGCAATGCGCCAACATATTCATTGCGCTCGTTCGTATCCTCGGACAGCGGCACGTCAAATTAGGCTTTGACATGGCTGTAGATCACTTGTCTCAGTACAATCCGAGAGATGTAAGCGATCATGACCAAAAAGGTGTGGCGCCGTTGGTGATGTTTATTGAGCTGGTCAATGTGGGCGACCTCATATCCCAGATGATTGAAGTCTTTTACGAGCAGCAACTGGCAACGCCCAAGATTGCCGACAAGAACGACTTTTTGGATCCCTCCGGCCTAGCCAAGAAGAAGTTTGAGCAGATGCTTGATGAAAGCGTGGCAGCCGGCTTGAACAAGGGCATCGACGTTCTCATGGATGAGGTCGAATACCTCCAGGGAACTCTGCAGCAGCCCACAGACTACAACCCTACCCCCCGCATACCAGTGGACGATGGGAACCATCGAATGTCCCACCGAGCAACGCTTGGATCCATGGCGGAGCTGGATATCGGGCCGACGCCTACGGCTCGTCGCATTGTCGACCTCGTCAGATCCCACACTAACATGCTCATTGGTACGACAGAGAAGTCGATGCTCGACGTCTTCAACGGCGAAGTTGGCCAGCGACTCTTTACTGCGATATGCAAACATCTCAAGAGGCAGCGTGTCAGCACCGACGGCGCTGTCAAGCTCATTGCTGACATGAATCTGTATTCCGACTATGTGAGGTCGCTCCGGAACCAGGATGTGTTGCCGTACTTTGCCGCGCTGCGCGAGCTAAGCCAGATCTATCTTATTGATCCGGGCCATGCCAAAGAAATGGCTACCGTGATTGCGGATGGAGATCGATTTGGCGGCGTGTTTCGTGCAGAAGAGGTGTATGAGTATGCGCAGCGTAGGGCGGATTGGTATCAGGTCAGGAGGAGCGTCGAGAGGGCAATGTACGGAATGGACTGCTTGGTCATGTAAAGAGGGGAGCGGGATATCATCGCTGGGACTCGTTTTTTGGGCCGTTGGATAGACTTGGGAATGATGAGATGATGAATTATGTGAGCCATGAAAGTTATTAAAAGTTTCTGGGTTGAGCGAAAGGGGGGAGGTGGGTGACCAAAAGGATATTTGGATAATGAGTGTGCCCAGATTGGCGCAATGCATAGATAGAAATCTTTATATATATACTCCTTGTACAGCGTGATGAATAAAGAGAATAAGAATGCAACAAAAATACGAATTGATTTTCCCATTATATAGCTTATTTGGCCTTGATCCATTGGGCCCCTCTTCTCAGTTTAGAGCCAACTCCGTGGTAGATGTGGTATATACATGTATATGTTATCCGGATGAGAACGCCTTTTCTTAGTGAGGTGCAGAGAGACCTCAAGAAAAACAAACAAAACAAAAGAAGCTCGAAACCGAGCATTCTACCTCTGTCCAAAGTCCAGCTTGCGGGCCACCTTGGCACCCCTATCTTCGTCAGCCACCATTCCAGGACGCCGTTTCAGGTCCATGCCCATCTTGTCCTCTCCAGCGCCGCTGTCTTTCCGGGGCAGGTCGTCCTTGCGCGTGGGCTTGGGCTCGGAATGCCACCAGCGGTGCTTGAGCATCTCTCGCGCGGTGATGCGTTTCTGCGGGTTCAGGGCGAGCGTCTTGATGAGCAGATCGACGCCGTCGGTGCCTACGATGCCGAACCGCATCTCGTACCAGTCCCTCCCGCGCGTGGGGTGCTGGCCGGGCACGGTGTACTCTGGCAGCCGGGTGACGCCGGGCCAGTTGTCTTCGGTGGGAGTGCCGATGGACTCGCAGATCATCTTGATCTGGTCGAGCTCGTTGTTGCCGGGCATGTACGGCGCGCGAAGGATGAGCTCTGCGAAGACAGTGCCGACGGACCAAACGTCGACGGCGCCGCTGTAGTATCGGGCGCCGAAGAGCAGCTCAGGTGGGCGGTACCAGCGGGTGATGACGTTGGAAGTCATGTGGCGATGGGGGTCGGCGAAGCTTCGCGCGAGACCGAAATCGGCAAGCTTGACCTCACCGTCGGCGGCGATGAGCAAGTTGTTGGGCTTGATATCTCGGTGCAGGACAAAGTTCTCGTGGCAGAACCACACTGCGCGGGTGAGCATGCCCATCCAGGCCTTGATGTCGGCGGCGCCGTAGCGGACGTTGTCGGTGTCGCGGATGAGCATTTCGAGGTCGCCGAGCGGGAGGTACTCGAGCACCAGGTTGAGGTTCTGGTCCTTGGAGGAGAAGACGGAGAGCAGCGAGATGATGTTTGGGTGCTGCAGCTCCTGCAGGTGCTTGAGTTCGCGCACCGCGTCGGGCGCCATGCCCTCTGTGTATTCCTTCTGCACCTTGATCTTCTTGATGGCGACGCGCGTCGCCGGGTTGGAGCGGAGGTGGCCGAGGAAGACGACGGCGTAGGTACCTTCACCGAGCTTCTTGCCCTTGACGTATTTGCGCTTCTCCTCCTCGTTCATCTGCTCGGCGAGGTCGAGCGTCGGAGGCAACGTTTGGCCTGTGGTTGAGGCGGGTGCGGGCGCGAGGGCGGGCTTGGGGTTTCCATTGGATGAGGTTTGGCCGGAGCCGGATGCGAGGTTCTTGAGAGGCGAGGAGACGGGCCGTAGTGTCTGGATATTCTCGAGCTGTGGGTTTGAAGCGGATGAGGTGGTCGTGACGACTGGAGAGAGCGCCATGATGGCGGTCTGGCGGAGACGAACTCAAATCGCAAGCTGTGTGACGAGTGTCGTAATGTCTGGTAGCAGACGAGACAATATGGACGCAAATTGAGGGTGTGCAAAGCTGGATATATAGAGGAATTAGCTAGTGGTAAGGATGGAGAGGAAGCGATGATGAAGCTGTATTGGCATCAGCCGTGAATGGCAAGCTTATCGCTATCAGATGGCGCTTTATCTTATCGGCAGCCCAGCCAGCTGCAGTACCTGAGCTTCCAGTGAAAATGGGTGCTAGCTCAGGTACTGTGAGCTCTGGGCTTCACTTACAAACGGCATCAGTCTGACGTTATAAAAACAAACACTGATCTTGTTCTTTAAGCAACTTTGCGGTTTCATCTAGAATGCGTTTCATGGTTTCAATTTTACTTTGTACAGTCAATTCCTCTTTTGCACCGCACGTCAAGTCAAGCCAAGCCTGTTTCGTCTTATCCGCTATCTCACGGCTCTTTCTTTTCCTCTTCTTTCAATTCTCTTCGTCTTCGATCACATGTTTATATGCCATATCCATCCAAAATAAAGACTCCTTCGGGCTGTAAAATGTGTCAGTCTATTGTATTTAGCTTATAGATCTTATACTTACCGCTCTATTGGGCGAACAACATCTTCGCTAAACTCAGTTGTTATTTCAACGAGCACATGGCCGAAAAAGAAATAAAACTCAATAAAACCTTCTAGTGGATATCGTGCCCACCCTTTATCAAGCTCGTCATCCAGGGTGGTATGGGTGAACTTGACACACGTTTTTTCTTGTATGAGTCCGTGTGAATCTCGATAAACTTCTTTTCGAACGCAGATCAAGCTCGGTTCAGCAATTGTTTCGGAGGGATCCACGTTTACGCGGCATTGTCCAACGACTCTGCATCCGCCATTCTTATATCGCAGGAGAATGCCTCGACAACCGCCGGTGTCTGGTACGTAATACACCGTGGATTCTGCGATCTGATCCAACGGCGTTCGAGAATAGTAACCGAAACGATTAAACCTCTTAGGGGTAGGCTTCTCAAGCATAAATGGCTCTGGAGGAGTCCAGCTGCCCGATTCGCAATATGTGCCGAACAATGGGATCTCAAGATACCCTTGTTCCCGCTCTCCATAAACCAAAGTTACCGGGCTATCTCCACTGAGGCATTGGTCCGCGCGAGAACTCGGCCAGTCCTCAGGCAATAGACCGTCATGGTGGTAGTCGTCTTCGCTAAAGAAGCAGTTCCTCCCGACGACAACATCTCCGGCCTTCTCCATCCGAACAAGAACATTGTACTCGCTGCGAGAAATAAAACGAGTTCCGAGAACAAGTATTCTGTCTGTAGTTCCGATCGGCAAGTATATCCAGAAGGCGCCTCTCTGCACGTCTGGCGAGAGTTGCTCATACAGCGCATTTGCACTTGATTCATCCGAGTCGTGAATGTAAAGATCATACAACTTATCTTGAAGAAAGAAGAAGGTGATGCCTACGATCTTCTGAGTATTCACGACTTGGAGCCTCCATGTTTCGAATACATCGGGTATTTGGGCATTGCATAATGAGAAGCGAGGTGGAGCTGGAGTGTTCCATATATAAGGGTACTTGGGCTGGATTCGCGTAGTTTGTAGACGTAGTCGTCCATCCTGCAGAACGGATTAGCTATAGCGGATATATCGAATGTTATTCACACAAAATACCTGGAGCTGTGCTTCGATACCGTGCAACGACGAGCCTTCCTCGACAATAAAAGTCGAATCGCTATGAGTCTCCCCTGTATACTGAGGCCTGCAACTGAGTCGTTCCACCTTCTTGATGCCTTCTTGATCAATTGTAAGTTTGGTAATCGGGTACATGGCAGATGCTGGAGCACACTCCAATTTTCCGTTGCGTCGCCAGGAAATCACTTGATCCAATGGCTCGATTTGCAGCTCTGGCGTGTTGGTCTCAAACTCAGTTACCATACGGATGATCGACATGCACCTCCAGAACAAGGAATCTTTAGACTCTCTCCAAATGGGGAGAAGCAGCTCTTGAGGAAGTCTATGTAGGAAGGGTATCCCAAACAGTTGGCCCGATAGCTCAAGGCTTTTCGGACTTGTTGGTATATATACGTTGGATGCGGGCATGAAGAATGCATTTTCCCATGGGAGCCTCCATGCGGTAGAGATCCATAGCTTTTGCAGCGCGTAATCTTGTTGTAATTTTGCATAGTTACAGACTCTGAGGAATATCTGATAGCATTCAAAGTGTACTGTAGTATATTCGATTGAAGAATCGCAGGAGCAACGTTTCATCCGGCAAAACAAGTACTCGTTGGAAGGACGGTAGCCAGAGCCCAAAGGAGGCAAGGGAAAGGGTTGCGTCTGTCCCTTGTATACATGGTTTTCCCCAAAGACTGAAGAAAACGTTAACGATACATGTATATTGCAATGAGCTCAAGGAGTTGTTGTAGATGTAATTCGGATGACTTACGCGCCATTGCTATTTCTTTGTCGAGTATTCTCCCCACACAGATGCTGCATTGTGGAGATGCTTTGACGTGATATATCACAGGGCCCTTCGACCACAACGTTGACATTGCCGTTATGAACTCAACAAGGCCGCTTGTCGATGGGGATGGCCTCCCTCTTGGCGTAGCATGTGAGCGTCTTTTAATTCGAAACCTCTTGTCCATGACGACAAAAGATAAGAGAGTGTTATTTAGGATGTTGAGATGACTTCTTCTAAGTATGGGCTATATTGGCATAATAATACCCAACCACCAGCCCAACGCTGCCTTGTGTGATATATAAAAGAGACGAGGAGGTAGAGACCTCAGCTGAGGGCGGGGAAGTTTGTACTGTTTACATCATGCGCATCAATATATGCACCTCTCTGCCCTGAACCCTGCGAGGCTAGCCGAATCCTTTGTTTCAGAGGCCTTGCATGGAAAGATATCATTGGCACTCTCTGGGCAAGGATAATAAAAAGGAAATTCTTCCATTCTCTGTTCAAGATAACAACTTTCGTACCTAGCTTGGGCAAGACGATCAAAAGTCGGGCGTCGTTGGAATAACCAAGTATTTTATGGTATCAAAGCGACTATTTAACATTTGTTTGGTAAAAGAGCTTGAATTGACAAAAATGATTGAAGGCTTTGGAAAAAGATGGCCAGCATCTTACGATGATTGCATGTAATCAAGCTAATACTAATAATCTCTGCTTTATTGCGCTATATTACGCAAAAGATGCCTCTCATGGTGTTTCATATGTATTAGTTTTAATATATACACCTGGTCTTATTGGGGGATTTTCTTTTCTTTTTTTCTTGTACTTGACCACAGTTACTACCTATTTGCTGTCCATGTGCTTTGCGTTGGGATCCCACAAGGCTCTGCTTACATGTACTGCTTGTTGTTAATGCATAAGACATATTTTGCCTCTATGGTCGCATAACTCAAGTTATTCGAATAGTAGAGCTAATTTCATGCAAATATTAACATCATTGTCTTGGTATCAAAATGAACCTATTATACTGCTACTTACAGCTGAGCTGACGTATGAAGCTGGGCTGAATCGTGGTCCGCTTTAATCGGGGGCTAAATCCCGTGCCGGAATATAAAGCGGCAAGTGATTGCAGTGATCCCTTTAGCGCGAACTTCAGTCCATGTCATCTTTTCTCGGATGCCGAAAGACGATGAGATGATGATTGACAAACGGCATCCGCTAGACGTTGCTTCATCTGGTTACGCGTATTATGAATGCGATCGTCGAGATACATCATCTGCGGTTGCATATCATCTCAACGTTCCCCTCAGTTTAATGTTAGGACAAGCAACCGTCGCCTGGCGGTTCGTATCATAACAATTTCTCCTGCACTGCGTATCGCCAACATCCTTCATCAGAGGAAGAAAAAAAAAGATGGTCGGAGTTGGGGGGAGATCCAAAGCTTGCGACGAGTGCCGACGTCGACGGATAAAATGCGGTGAGTGCCGTGTCTTTTCTCGGTGCTTCTTTTGAACTGCCTGATGAGCCAGCTCCTGATTCTAGCCACCAGATCTTTCAACTCCACACTGTAAGCGGTGCCTCAAAGCAGGGCTGCAATGTGGAGGTTCTCGGGGCCTTAGTATTCTTCAATATGATGGACGGAGCGGTCGTGCTGTTTCATCCAACACGTCCTCCATTGCACAGGCAATAAGCAGCATAGCTATGGGACAAGACGTTCATTCATCTGGAGCTAGCCACTTGGAAAACATGAATCCAACAGCGCCTTGGAGTATATACAGACCTCAGATGCCCCACGAGGACATTTTCATTACCTACACTGTGTCTCAGCTTTTAGAAGATGGCGCTGATGTTTCCTCAATGCCTGGAACCAGCGGAGGGCTAGCTAAGCAGTGTTTGGTTGCTCTATCGACAACGTACTTTGGCATTGCACATATGGAAAAGGAGATTTTGAGGCGTGGCATGTCCAAGTATGGAAAGTCATTGCGGACCCTTAATCAGAGGCTAGGTGATCAGAGTGCGAGTCGTACGTTGGACGTGCTACAGTCCATCATGATCATGGCGCTGTTCGAGGTAAGAGCCGCCTCCCAATGAGGCGACTGCTATGCTGACAACGGAACAGTATCTCATTAGTGATCTCGAAGCTGGGTGGTTACAACATTCACGAGGGCTTGAACGGCTTCTGGAGATTAGAGGACCTGAATCTATGGCATCGCTCCCTTGTCTGACCATATTAGAGAGCGTCCGCCCTTCCATCATCTTCTCGGCACTCTTGTTGCGCCAAAACACCATTCTTGCGTCTCCGAACTGGAAAACTCTCCCATGGATGAACCATCCGGGACGAAAAGACGCCATGCAGCTTTTGATCGATATTCTTGCCGACTGTCCGGAGCTTTTTGTGTTGCGAGAGTGTCTTCCTGCTAAATCTGCCCAACTAGAGAGGCGTTCTGCTCTGCATCATCTCGAGGAGAAAGCTAACGCAATTCTGGACAGTCTTCACACTTGGAAGCAAAGAAAAGATATACTTCCGTGGACTGAAGTACCTTCACCTTCATCAACACCAGAAATTTTGGACTCGGGAGGACTGTCAACGCCTATCTGGCAAACGGTCTATCATTTTGAGTCCCTCTATCAGGCCAATATCATGAGTCTATATCATGGCGCGGTTATTCTCGTATCAAGGCTTTGCCTCGGTATTCAACTCGAGTTGGACGAGAATAAGTGTGAGGAGATACGAGCTTCGATAAACATGGCAGGGTTGGCGATATGCCGCAGCATAGATTACCATATGGAGCGAAGAGGAGACGACATTAGCAGCCTCTTTATACTCTTCCCGCTGAGAATGGCTTTTGATGCAGTGGGCGTTGACAACGTGGAGATTGGATCATGGCTCAAGGCAATATTGCAACAAATCTATTCCGGCTCAGCGGGCAGATGGGCAACCGCACGATATTTGCTCGATATCCAACCATTGTCAAACAACCCAACTCCAATCTAGATGCTCTTGGCTACATAATCAGACTATCAACATCAAGAAATACCTGTCAAATATTTTCCACGACCACAAACTCCATTCTTCCGGCCTTCCGACCGTCCTTGGATAGCTTTTTGTCCTCCTTTCTTGAAGCTTTGGACATCTTCTTCTCAACCTCCTTATCCAGCTTCCTCTGCTCTCGCTCAATTTTTCGCATCTCTTTTGCTCGCCTCTCCTCTATCCTTGAAGCCTGTCTGGGACTTGCATCAGCCAATTTTTCGTCGGCCTTGCGCTGAATTTTCTGCATCTTTTCGTCCAGCTCGCGCTGCTCATCCTCCCAACTTGAATCGGAGCTGTCGCCGCCGGAGTGTCCCTGTGACCTTCGGGCCATTTTTGAATCCTTTTCTCGAAGCTTTAGTAGCTCTTTGCGATTACTTTTCTCGCTCTTCTTAATTTGAGACTCGACTTGCTTGGCGCTCAATCTGTCGATGATATTGCGCTGCTCGGAAGGCGGGGGGACATCTAAAGACAGTGGCGCTATGTTTGCAGCGATGGACTGCATTTGTCGGTCTCTGATGCTGATGCACTGTGATCTGAGATCCATTGGTCTGTGCATGTTAGTATGATCGGCCGGTTGCTTTAAGAAGAGACTACTAACGGTATTTCTGGTAGAAGTTGCCCGAGTCCAATCCTTGGAGCCAAATCATGGCCTTTGCAAATGGACACTTTCAGTCCTCGAGGCCCGAAATAATCGCGATTAACGGCCTCCAAGAATCGCTGCGTTCGAATTCGAGTGACCGCCGCTGTACCTACACCTGCGGCCATGCCTATACCGAAACTAGCAGCTTGCGCCCAGTGATGCGGACTGCAAACCAATTTATCAGTCAGGATGAGATGACTTCGGTGAATCACCTACTTACACGAATCCTATTGCTTGGCCTGCAACGTTCAAGGCTTGCAATGGAGCCGGCGGAGCTTCTGCCACGGCAAGATTGTCGATGAAGGCAACAAAGGTCTCGGCGCTTATATCGTGGCGATATAGATCGGGGCTGTATGCTCTCATGAAAGGAAACGGCGTTTGGAAGGGCCTAGCAATGTCTACTCTTGGAATCACGACTGGTCTCTTTGCGGCGTCAGCAGTTTTAATAGCATGGTACAAGGAATAGGGTACAACTTACACTGAGGCGGAACATGCGCGCCTCTCTCGCGGGCGGTTGTCTTGGGATCCAACCGGTAACTTGCTCTAAGAAGAGCGCTTCCTCTTGGTCTGTTGGAGGCAAAGTTTGATCGATGGCCTGACCACCATATTGACCATCATATTGATGATATACAGCATCTTGATGGCGAGGCGGGTCCATTTGACTATATTTTTGATCCATGGCAAGGAAGAAAATTGATGAATGATGTCTATACACTGTATTTGTGAAGCGCAATTTGTATCAGTTGAGAAGAGCAAGAGAAGGCGTCATTTTATATAACTGTTGCTGTTATGGGAACACCACTTGCTGTATAGCCTCCTGCAACTCAAAAGAGTTCATTTCTCGACCCAATTACAGTCTATTTCGTATAATTGATATGAAGGAAATCTTGTTTTTCTCTTTATTATTTCTCCCTTTTCCCATCCTTTGGCCGGATTTCCATTACCCGATTTGGCGTATTTCTCGAAGCTAAGGTGGCGTAGACATGGAGCACAAGCCGGAGGATTCGAGACGCTGACTGACTATTCCTAGAAAGGATCATTTCTCGAAGTCTTAGCTTCTCTTCGAGTTCCCACTTATTACTTCGTTAGGCTCAGTGTTCGAGGGATAGAACTGGTGTCTTTGGATGTGAAATCCTCCAGGTCATATTCAAGAGTCAAGCGACGACGACTACTGTGGCTTGGATTTTGTTCTTGAATGAGGTGCCGAATGTTCCCCTGTCAACCTGACCCCCTAGGCATAGGACGAGAAATTACCTTCTAATGAGGCCTCCGCCATAGCCAATATTTGCAGTACTAAAGATGGAGGGTCCAACTATCGTATAAGCAAATAACACATAATGCATCTCATATATCACAAAACGAGCAGCGAGTCGCATTGCAATATTTCTGCTTAGATTACTTCATGACCCACGCCCAATTATATCCAAGTATTCATCCTCAACCGAAGCACTATCTTGATCTTCATTCATAGCTCGGTCGCTATCAGCGAATCTACGCCAACCTAGGCTTATTGCTCGTCGGATATTTATCCTTCCATCTAGTCTAAGCATCAGTTCGTGCGTCTAATATTGTCGCAATGGAATGATTGAAGGTGTGTAGGAATCTACAGTCTATAGAGGTTATATTTATTATCAAGAGGGTCAGTAAAGCTGCAATAGCTAGGTCAGAGGAAGGCTACGCCTCAGCCTTTGGATCTACAGCCTATATTTCTAAATTCTAATCAGTATGAGAGAGAAATACCTGATTTAATAAGAGGAAGCCCTATTGCATTGGATTCCTATTTAAAATAACCGTCTTGCTGAATTATATTAATTGTTTTAGAAACAGATAGTATATCTCTAACGGGGCGTATGTAGGAGGTGCTGCATATCCCGGACCGTAGTCGTATTCGAATACTAGGCTCCAAGGCCTACATATATGTTCTTATCGGACGACGGATCACCGGCGGGAGGGTGATCGTTCATTCGGAGGTCGGAACACTCATTGGCTTCTAGTAAACGTGTATGTAGGCCTTGGAGCCTAGTATTCGAATATAATCAAGGTCCGGGATATACAATACCTATCACACACGTCTGTTAGAGATATACTCTCATTTCTGAAATAATTTATACCGCTTAATAAGAAGAATATTCTATATATGCGTACAATGCAAAGTAATATAAGCAGCTGAGGAACTGCCGAGGGATGTAGCCATATAAATTCAACGTCTAGAATCAAGCTTTATCTCCATAAAATCAGGGCAACATTGATTGCTTAAATCCTGAAAGCCTAGACCATATCACTGGCAACAGCGCATTGAAGCAAGACCGCGAATGAAGGTTAAATACCAAACTCAAACTGCCCAAGTGAGAAAAATGCGCAAAACGGCCCGAACAACAAAGTTCAAACACAGTGTAACAAACTTCAAGGCTGTGATTCATAGTTTAATAGCTCTATCGATTCAGGAAAGATTTTCTATTGAGCTATAAAAGCCCTTGGCAGTGCTTAAAATGGGCTGTAGATGTGCTTGAGCATTATATTTAAAATAATGATGCTACTATGTCGGAAAAATCTGTGCCGCTGCATCTTAGAGACGGAGCCACAGGTATGATTTCTACTTGAAGACATGGTGTAATAAGGTACAGGTATAGTTCCTATGACAAGATTTCTTCTCCACCCTTGGAAGTATCACCACTCGTCTCATGTACATGTGTTTTGAGATCACAGAATCATTAGAATCGTGCTACATTAGTGGTGGATGGTTTCATTGACATTCTTGAGGCTATTATTTTCTATGTTCATTACAAAAGATATCATAAAACGAATAGAGCAGTACAAAAATACATACTGATCCAACATCATCTCATTAAACGCCAGGATACAGCCATTTTCAGTTGAAAACTTTCAGCCTATGGCCGTCGTGCTTTTACTAGCTCATCCTATAAACATCATCTTATGCTACAGTGTGGTATGTAGTACGGGGTACTCATGGGGCCGAAGCTTGCTGGATAACATCAAACGTTAATTGTTGTTATATGCCTTTGGTTTCAATGTATATAGGAAGTAGATTGTTCTTCAATAAATCTGCTCATTGCGAAGTTAACTGGAATGTGATCTGCAGTAGTGACGTATGGGAAAAGATAGCAGGATACTTGTGAAAGACATGTCCAATTTCCACAGAGGCCGGCTCACAATGTACCTATGTAGGTAGGGTGACAAGATATATGTTACCCATTTCTAGAGAAATAAGTTTGAACAGCCATCTTGAATACGAGACACGCTAACCCAGATACCTTTCTTATTCATCGGGACTGAATTGAAGATCTACACGGCCCGAATTTGGCCTTATTTCCCCCTGGTGTCTCACTTCATTTCCGCCCACTAAGATATTTGCCCCAGTAAAGAGCTGTAGACTAATAACACCCATAGCCACGTAGAGGGCATACTTTCTATAATCTGAACACTATTTGATGAAAAGTATACAGATCCAGCAGATCATAGCCTATATAGTGGAGCGTCGGTGATCGACAAACGGTCGCATATCTTCTCCGTAACTGTCTGACTTTGAAACGACCAACACAAAACTCTTGCTTATAGGAAGTTAAATTGCAATCAAAGGCCCGCCACAACTCGATGAATGAAATCTCAACCCGATGATCACTGCCACTGCATGTTTCATTCGGTTCCACATGATACCTCAAACGACATCACGGTGGAATATTGACTCTATGAATCACAGAAAGAGGATGGGCAATTAGGACTGGAAAGACTCAGGAGGACATGTGGAACGTTTCATCTTGAGATGCCAAGACAAGGAGGGTAAAACTCAACATTTTGATGCCATGCTAAGGTATGATTTCCCGAGATCACACTTCTCATGGTGAAATTGTAAGACAGAGGAAAGTCTATTTTATGCTTAAAGTTTCCCACATTTTCCTTATCTAAAAACTTCTCATATCTAATAGCAACGATTAGTGTTAGCTACCTACTTCCAATTTTCTTCCGTCTCTTCAGATTTCCTTTATCTTCGACAAAATGTCATCCAAGGCCTCAAGCGTTACTGAGCGGGCATCCTCTGAGGAGACCTCGCTCGATATCAAGTCTCTGGATGATGATATGAAGACTCCGAACTCTAGAGAACGACCTCATGAGGTAGAAGCACAGCCTGTTTATTCCATTTATACTCAGCGACAAAAATTCTTCATTGTTTTCATGTCTAGCCTAGGAGGGTTCTTCTCGCCTTTATCAGCAAATACGTATTTACCCAGCATCCCCAGTTTATCAGAATATCTTGGAGTGTCTCCATCTTTGATGAATCTTACGGTTACTGCATTTCTTATTTTCCAAGGACTGGCCCCATCATTTTACGGCGATCTTGCCGACATTGCTGGTAGACGGCCGGCATATTTAATATCATTCGTCATCTACATAGCTGCAAACATTGGCTTGGCCAGTCAATCGTCTTATGCGGCGTTATTTGTTCTCAGATGTCTCCAGGTAAGAGAACAATGGCTAGACCATATCATATATATCTAACATTTCAATAGAGCTCAGGATCAGGAGGCACATATGCGTTGAATAGTGGAGTTATTGCCGACATCTCAACCACGGCCGAACGTGGTAAATACATGAGTGCAGCACAAAGCGGGATCATGGTAAGGATACACAATGTCCCTTGGAATCACAGTCTCTCAGTCACTAATCAATGCTTTCTTAGCTTGGTCCAGCAATTGGTAAGACTTTCATGATGTATCGCCATAAATTTGGTACTTCGGTTATTAACTAGAAGAAAGGACCTATATTGGGAGGTGTTCTTGCCCAGCATCTTGGCTGGAGGTCTATATTCTGGTACAGTTTTGCCCGAGTATTTATAAGTATTCCTTACAAAGTGGCTAACCCATCTACAGGTTTCTGACCATCGTATGTGTTTATCAGAGTACTATCATGAGCCTCAGGAAGCTAACTATTATAGTGTGGCAGCATATACCTCATTGTTTTTGCGATCGCGGTTCCGGAAACTGCCAGAAAGGTGGTGGGCAATGGCTCCATTCCCCCGACGGCATGGTGGAATCGCTCCTTGCTGAGCGAAGTTGCTCGTCGTAAAGCGCGTACCAAGCAGGGAGACGAAGGCATTTCTCCATCGCCAAAGCCTCGAGGGTTGAGATTTCCGAATCCTTTGAAGACATTGTTGATCATCAAAGAGAAAGACTGCGCGATGATGCTGTTCTATAACGCCATCATCTACTCGTCGTGGTATACAGTAACCGCCAATTTGTCAAATCTACTCTCGGAGAATTACCACCTAGACACGCTACACTTGGGATTATGTTATATGTGAGTATTGTTCTTGAATAACTGGCTGAGAGTTATACACTAATTTCCGAATCTTAGACCTTTTGGCATTGGGGCTGCGCTGTCTATCATGGCTAATGGATATATCTAGGACTGGAATTATGCACGTGTTGCACGTCGTTACGGTTTCTCAATCGACAAAAGGCGAGGCGATGATTTGACCAAGTTTCCCATTGAGAAAGCAAGACTGAGCATTGTTTGGCCATTTGTTTATGTGGGTGCTGTGGCCATTATCTGCTTTGGCTGGGCTGCCATGCTAAAGACGCATATCTCGGTCCTTTTGATCCTCACATTCGCCATGGCCCTATTCCTTACCGCTTGCTATAATAGCATGAATCTCTTGCTGGTTGATCTGTATCCAAATTCGCCTTCGACTGCCTCTGCCGCGAATAATTTGACTAGGTGTCTATTGTCGGCGGGAGGATCTGCCGTTATTGACCCCATGATCCGCAAAATGGGTACTGGTTGGGCATATACTCTTGTTGGAATTCTCATTATTGCGCTGAGTCCTTCTCTTCTTATTGTTACCCGCTATGGTCCAGTCTGGAGAGAGGAACGGAGATTGCGGTTGGAACAGAAGGAAGAGGCACGTAAGCAGCCAGCAGAGCGGCAAGTGTGAGAGAGAACAGTACATATGTAGTATCTCACCAAGGAGGTTGAGGGATGCACATAGGCGCGAATATTTCCTAGAGTAAAATAAGAATAATTATAGATAATTAACCGTCATACTGTTGTATTATACACTGCGGGAGGTATACCTCAGTAAACAACATTGTTTGTCTATGTGGATAGCTATTTGTGGTATTCAATCTCGTTATAGATCAAGAGAAGAACTATCCAGCACCCCAGCAACGGCGTGCAGTTTGAGCATCAAAACCACATGTGGAAGAAAACCGTTCATTTATGACTATATTCGTGTAGTATTCAGTATTATTTGCGACACGGGATGCTGGATAGCAACATACATGTAGATTGGGGTGCTGAGCAGGCACTCATAGGCTCAAGCAATACGGTGTAAAACTTCTTTTCCTTCAAGCCAACGATCGATATTCTCCGCTGTTTCGGCATACCATGCATTCACCAATCTTTCATCCATGTATCCCATATGTGGCGTGGTGATCAGACGTGACCGTCCATCTCGGCCCCAGTAATTAGTCCTCCTCCAAGGGCTATACATGGGAAGAGGCTCAATCTCAAACACGTCTAATGCAGCACCACGTATAGCCCCGCGCTCCAGTGAGTCAAGGAGCGCAGCTTGGTCTATCAGTGGCCCCCTAGACGTGTTGATTAGCATTGCAGAGCTCTTCATGTGTTGCAGCTCCTTGGCACCAACAATTCCCCGTGAACGATCGCTCAACACGTAATGCAAGCTCACGACGTCGGAGTTGCAGAAGAGATGATCTTTGCTCACTGCATGGAATGTATCTGGTGGCAAGCCCGCCTCAACAGCCATGCGACTAGCCTTTTCCTGTGTCAAGTTTTCGCTCCAGCACAAGACTTTCATGCCCCAGGCAAGATGTCCAATCCGAGCGACTGCAGCTCCCAGTCGCCCCAAGCCAACAACGCCTATAGTGAGTCCCGTTAGGCCTATCGCCAGCTCAGTTTGCCATCCGGTGCCGGTTTTCAGAACGGCGTCATCGGCAGCGACATTGCGTGAGAGTGCCATAATGAGAGCCCATGCATGCTGCGTGGTTGGATGAACTCCTCCTTTCTTGATATTAGGCCGCGAGCCAATATCATTGAGTTCATCAGTTCGGCCAAGGCCTGGGGCAGCAACGACGGTAATCCCCAACTCTTTAGCAGCGGCAAGATCAAATGTCTCAAACTGTGTTCCTGTGGCTAGCAGAAGCTTCAAATTAGGCAAGCTTCGCAATAAGGAGCCCGAGAATGCAGTTCGTTCGCGCATCGTTGAGATCGCCTCAAAGGGCTTCAGCCGCTCCACCAAACGAGCGGTCTCTGCTTCGTTAATAGGAGTGATGGTATCATTATATGTGGTAACTTGCAGGCTCGATGGTGAAATATGAGCGAAATGCGATTCGGATGTGTTGAGATAATCGTCTATGATGGCGAGAGAGGGGCGTTTTGGAAGCCTCGCAATGCTCTGCCTGACTGTAGATGGAAACATTTTTACACCCTCCTGGAGGCTGAGAAGCGGGGTAAATAAGAGATGAGGGTTGGCAAGAAGATCAAGCAAACTTCAAGTCATTTGTATGAGGTACCGATGTTTAGGAGCGTAGTGGAAGAATGGTATCAAGGCAAGCAAGAGGCAACCTGCTTTGAACAGTAAGAAGCTAGTGATATATCGAAAGAAGATGGGAATTCAGTGAAAGAAATGCTTCTTTTCCTTTGAATCAAATGACCCAATAATTGGCTTGCATTTGAAATCAACCTCAGACACGGCAACACACCCAACCGGCGAACACACTGATCTTATGACTTTGGCTTATCAGGACGCTCATTCAACCGAATTCGAGGGTGATGAATCTCACTTGCACGGATCGGCTAGGCCTGGTCTACTCTAGCCTATCTTCGTTGGCCTATAGTAAGCTAGATACGATCCCAAATTGTTACTCTTCGGACTTATTGCTTCACCAAACAAAATTGTGACATATGAATACTTGTAAAATGCTACCGTAATAGGTGTGATAGGATACTGAGATCGGCGGTATTCTTCTCGCCCGAAGAACGCATTCAACGGCGGACGCTCGGAAATGGCACATAGCCTCGGATCCGACCGGAGGTCCGTACGGATATACGATACTCTTCACCAAACACAATCATGAAAGAGTACATAATCTCTGGCTTGCAATTTGCAGTTACTGTTATTTAAACAACAATTTGATCAAATTGGATGACTTTTCGGTTGCTAAACAATACATCATCTAGGGCTCGAAGTCTAAGTGAACAAGCGCCCTTTCCAACATCACCATACATAAAACGTGCAAATCGTTAATACTATGTTGTAATAATATGCTGCCTTTGAACTATCTCTACGTTTGTTTGCTAACAGAATAGTTTGAACGTATTCACCAAAGGTTGTATCAGAGTATGTGTAAGCTACTGGCATTTGTGTAAAGTAAAATAAAAAATGACCCCGAGATAGGACTGGTCTCGAGAGCTGAACTGCAGAATGTGGATAATATAATGTGAGTTAAGCATCCAGGGGCAAATTTCTGGAACCCGTTCGATATAAAGTAGTATTCCCAAAAGCTGGAGAAACCTTCCACGCGGTCTTCCATAAGTAGCTGTCAACGGTACCCAATAGAAGCACAACTAAATGGGTGCACTTAGCTTTCGGAGTTTTTAATTTAAATTAGACCACGTGGTACTATAATAAAGCTCCCTGTATCCAAAGCTTAGAGGGTAGTATTTCTTTATGATTTGAGAGCAATGGAAATGAAACATCCTCCAGGCACTATATATGAGCCCTGCATCAAAACATTAAGACATCAGTTGAATGACGTTCTCTATACACTAAATAATTGGAGTTTGTTTATTTTGAACATTCTAATCATGAAAAGAGATTTAGGCTATATTGTTCTACCAATCAACAATGTGAAGGATATTATGAACCTGGACAGAAGAAATGCCGTGTGGGGATGTTTATAAATGAACGTGCCTGAGCTAGGAATTTTTCCTATTGGAGGAAACATTGTTCAAGCACACAAGCGCTCCCCAATAGACTTTATCCCAGTACCCAATGGATCATAATGGTCATTGTACAAACTACTAAATAAGCATCTACCTATGGAGCTTAAGCTTGGCAAAAGTGAAGCTACGGAATACCTGGCATATGCAGTATTTCAAGGTTCTAATTAGCCGGACAATGTCAGCCATCCATGGATGTCTTTCATCGACCAACAACCAATTTCGCTTGATCTTTCTACCTTTGTCAATGAATTTGTCTTAACTGCTATACCCGTGGAAGCAACCCAGCAAGCCAAGCTACAGGCCCTTTTTGCCGGAGCCCCTCATCTCAATCGACTGACCATTTCTGAGTTTACATGGATCTCTGCAGCTTTGTGGGGTAACGGTTGTGACTTTCCGGCAGATGCTACCTTTTTCGATGTGGGGAGTAGCAGCGAGTATGGGGAAGCTTGTAAGCAGGCTCATTCAATTCTCATCAAGCCACAGGTAAACATCTATAGCCCAATATTTCGTCTCTTCTTCCAATGTAGAGCAGCAAATATAGAACTTTATTCTTCAATCGGACATCTGAACTCTTAATCAATGTCCAGCTTTCCCCAATTACCCCATGTTTTACCCATCGGCATTACCGCTGCCGAGATTAAAGCTTGCAGATCTCGTCTATTCAACCCCTCAATCTCCAGTGCGGCCAGGATCCAGTCTCCAGGCGGATCTTGGATTCTGTATTTTAGGCTAAAGGCTATGCCTTGTTGGCGGGCCAAAACAACCTGCTGCTTGGATTTGGTTGACATTCGGGGAGATGATTGATACCTCGACAAGAAAACGGGCGGATGGAAGCGGTGTATTTGGACATAAAAGATGACAATGGCCATCACACCGTTGCGGTGGTCCAGCAGCCTAACCAGACAGCCTTGATCGTAAGGGAGCAGCCATGGTGATACAAAGCCTTCTTCTTCTCTTCATAGCGGCCATTGCGCCTGTCTATGCCGAGAGCGGCATTGATGCGTGGTTGCGATACGCTCGATTGCCAGCCTCTGCAACTAAAGGACATCTCAATTCTTTTCCGAACCGCATCGTCGTCCTCAATGCCTCGAAAAATGGACCATTGGCAAGTGCTTCATCAGAACTGCACAAGGGTATCAAAGGCATCCTGGGACTTGATCTGGATGTGAGCTCCAGTGTAAAGAGTTGCTCTGCTCAGAAAACCATTGTCGTTTCCACTCTAGAGACATACAAATCCTCTTGCGGCAAACTCTCACCGAAGGTGAACCTGAAGGAAGATGGATACTGGTTAAACACCAAGGGCAACTCAGTGCAAATTATCGGCCAGAACGAACGCGGTGCACTTTACGGTGCCTTTCAGTATCTTTCCCAACTCGGACAGGGTGATTTTTCAGATGTGGAATATGCCTCAAACCCAAGTGCGCCAGTTCGATGGGCCAACCAGTGGGACAATTTGAACGCAGCAACTGCAGCACATGGTAGCATAGAGAGAGGCTATGGCGGAGCTTCAATCTTCTTCGATAATGGCCTGATCAAGGAGGATCTTTCGCGAGTTCCCCTGTATGGTCGCTTGTTGGCCTCTGTCGGCTTAAACGGCATCGTCATCAACAACGTCAATGCTGACGCCAATCTTCTCAACGAGACCAATCTCCAAGGCGTCAAGAGAATCGCAGACTTGTTCCGACCGTGGGGAGTTAATGTCGGCATTTCGCTCAACTTTGCCTCGCCACAAGTTCTAGGAGATTTAACGACATTTGATCCTCTCGACAGCACAGTCATCAAGTGGTGGACCGACAAAACCGACAGAATTTACCAGCTTGTGCCTGATTTTGCGGGATACCTTGTCAAAGCCAACTCAGAGGGTCAGCCCGGGCCTCTGACTTATAATCGCACCTTGTCGGAGGGCGCCAATCTCTTTGCTAAGGCGATTGAGCCTCACGGTGGCATCGTTGTCTTCCGTGCGTTTGTCTATGATCAGTTGAATGAAACCGATTGGAAGGCCGATCGAGCCAATGCTGCCGTTCAGTACTTCAAAGATTTGGACGGCCAGTTTGACGACAACGTTCTTATCCAGATCAAGTTCGGCCCCATCGATTTCCAAGTTCGAGAGCCTGCTTCTCCTCTCTTTGCTAATATGCCCAAGACGTCTGTGTCAATCGAACTGGAGGTTACCCAGGAATATCTTGGTCAGCAGTGCCACCTAGTCTATCTACCGCCTTTATGGCAGACTATCTTGGGTTTCGATATGCGATACAATCACCGGCAATCTTATGTTCGCGACATAGTGTCAGGAGAAGTATTCAATCACAAACTTGGAGGATATGCTGGAGTTGTCAACGTCGGTATGGATGATACGTGGATTGGTAGTCACTTGGCCATGTCCAACTTCTTTGCTTTTGGTCGGCTTGCCTGGAACCCTCAAGCGGATTCTCAGGACATTGTCGAGGAATGGACTCGCCTGACTTTTGGTCTAAGTCGAGACGTGGTCGCGGCTATTGTTGATATGTCCATGAAGTCTTGGCCGGCGTATGAGGGCTACAGCGGCAACCTTGGCATTCAGACCCTTACCGATATTCTGTACACTCACTATGGTGCCAATCCCGCCTCTCAGGATAACAATGGTTGGGGACAGTGGACACGGGCTGATAGCAAGACTATCGGAATGGACCGTACAGTTTCAAATGGAACAGGAAATGCAGGACAATATCCCAAAGATGTTGCCAACATGTTTGAACACACCCAAACCACGCCGGACGACCTGTTGTTATGGTTCCACCACGTGCCATACACCTTCAAATTGCACTCTGGCAAGACTGTTATTCAGCATTTCTACGATGCTCATTATTCTGGTGCTGCGACGGTACAGAAATTCCCCGCAACGTGGAAATCACTGAAGGGTCAAGTAGACTCTGAGCGATACGCCGACGTCTTATACAGGTTGCAGTATCAAGCAGGTCACTCACTCGTCTGGCGCGATGGTATTAGTGAGTTCTACCGTAACCTATCGAGCATTCCAGACAAACTCAACCGCGTCCGAAACCACCCACACCGTATTGAAGCTGAGGATATGCAACTTTCGGGATTTACAAAAGTTGATGTTTCTCCTACCGAATGTGCGTCCAAGTACAAAGCCATTGCTACAAATGGAACTGGCACGGCCACCACGAAGTTGAACGTTCCGAGCGGCAAATACACGGTGGCTATCAATTACTACGACGTGATGGGAGGAAGTGCTAGTTACAACGTACTACTCAATGGCAAATCTCTTGGAACCTGGAAGGGCGACTCAGAGAACTACCTTGGTCATGATTTCAGCACGTTCCTTGACTGCCACTCAGCAATTCGTATCACTTTTGAGAATGTCAAGATCTCAAAGGGGGACAAGCTGACTATTAAGGGAACCGGAGATGCACAAGAGCAGGCGGCGATAGACTATGTCGCCATTTTGCCTCAGGGAGTGGTGGACTAGATAGCAGTTATGACTAGAAGAAGTAATTTTTAAATAAATTTTATTTTTGCTCATGAAGCATTTGATCAGTCGCTGCAAGTCGACATTATCATTTAAAGAAGATTACAGAAGCACACCTATTTACTCAGACCGACGCCATACTGCTTCAAGAGCTCTTTCACTCGGTCAACTGGCAGAGCCTTTGTCGTCCTGCCCTTGAAACCTACCATAGTCTCGGCTTTGCACATGGCATTCAAAATGGCTTCTTCAGTTGTCTCTGATACAACGTAGAAAAGGGTATCAATCGTTTCGTTCTTGAGTGTTTCGACAGGCTGACTCTCTAGCGGCGGTAGATAGCCAAGACCATCTGATGCGGTAGCAAGTTGATTCGGCGAGGTTCCTGTCGACAGCGCAAGGAAGATCTCCCCAGAGAAGTTTCTTCCAGCAGAATGGCCTCCTACCTATAGTTACAAATATTTTATTAGTAATGCTATGGACGTGTGGTTTTTGGACGTCGTTATCTGACCTGGGTGATGCCCATTCCGGCATGCTGAGCGAGACGGCGCAGTTGATGTGGCAGTAAGGGAGCGTCAGTTCTGAATTGAGGTCAGTGGTTCAATGCGTGCATTTTCTTAAGATGGCGAGATAGGTACATGATTAATACTATGATGCCTATAACAGGAATCGTTAATACTGTTTCGATTATTGCAAAAGGGAAAACTTACTTCCTTCAGCTGCCTTGCCGCCCGTGGGTAGCTGGCTAGACGCTTCCGCTGCCTTTTCTTTGGCTTTAGCTTCCTCGGCTATCAGTAACTCGCCGATTGGCACATTTCCAATCCTAAGATCAGGTTTCTGCCCGTGATTAGCTTGGACCAAGACACCAACTGTGTAGTCACGATCGGCACCAGGAACAATTCTTGAGCTTGTGCCAGTTCCGCCCTTGTACCCGTGGCATCGCATAGCTGTACCACCGCCATAGTTGCCTTCTTGGACCTCTGTTTGAGATTGAGCAACTTCGATGGCAGCATAAACAGAGTTTTTATCCAAAACAGAGGCGCTGATATCGTTTAGGAGCCCATCGTATGTCTCTCCTACAACAGGTATGCAAAAACGTCGTAGGCTTTCAATGTCATCTTCCCCGTCTTTACGAGCCTGCTCAATTTGCCATAGAAAGAGGCCGTCGTAAACCTTACCCACGCTCACAGTGTTGGTGATTGCAATTGGCTAGAGTAATATTTTCCGGGTTAGCGAACAAACAATGACATGATGATCACCACAGAGGCATCTTACTGTGTTGATGTATCCATATTCAGCGAGGGCATGAGTTCCAGTCAGTTCACCCATCCCATTGAGGTCGTGAGTTGCCGCATAACATGGTGTAAGGCGGGTTTCTCTTATTCCACGCGGCAAAACGAGCGTCACTCCAGTATGGATATCGGTACCTTCGTTGACGGTGACTTGGCCGACTTGTACACCTAGGAGGGATGAATGAGTATTTTAGCAAAGCAAACATCGCCACATGATAGAATGATAGTGAAAGAAAAAAAGAGTCCAAGTTACCTGGTACGTCAAGAATTGAGTTCTTGGGTCCTGTCGCAAACTTTCCGGGGCTGTAGCCCAAATCACGAATCCGTGGTCGAGCTGAGGCTGGGAGTGGCGGCGATACTAATGGTGAGAATTTCTGTGTCATGGTGAATATCGTAGATGATGAGTTCAATTGCACTGGACTGAATGTTTATCGTAGTGAGCAAGTCTACCAGTATGTCAGAATATATATAAGTGTAAGATCGATGCTCCCTTATGAGTGCTCAGAGAAGAGGAGGGGTAGCAATATATAGAAGGGTTCAGATGGTAGCGAGCTGCCCAGATATCTTGCTTTTAACAAGAGGGGAAATTTTCCTCTGATAGGAATACGAAAGGGGTTTTGTTTAATAGAATATGCTGAAACGAATTCGCTGGAGGGGCCGTGTTATTGGCTCTTAATCCGGAAATTGAAGGAATTGGTACGTCAGACCCGCACTAGCTAAATGTGTGTAAAAACTCCATCTCACAAGTTGCAACGCAGTTGTTCAAAGTTGCGCTTAAACGCCACATAAATCCCATTCAATCATCATCACGGTCGCTAATATACAGGTATATTAATCACAAAAACCACAACAAACCGCTCATTGCATACATGTACTTCGACTATATCTTCTCCTCCAAGTTCCCCTTTCTCTTCTCCTCTTTCTTCTTCTCATCACCATCTTCGAAATATGAGCTCTGCTGTTGATTCTACTCAACGTGTGCGACCCCCTCCAGGCCGCATGCGTATTCGAGATCTTCTACCTAATCTGAGACTCGGCCGACATTCCCCAGGCCCGTTAAACTCATTGACCGATGTTCCCGGCGTGCTAGTACACACTCAATCCATTGTTCTGCCAAAAACCGCCCATCACCACGAAGTCAACACCGGAGTTACGTGCATTTTGCCGAGGAAGGACTTTGTCGATCAAGGCTGCTATGCGAGCGTGTTTCGCTTCAATGGATGCGGAGAGATGACTGGCAGTCACTGGATAGATGAAACGGGCCTATTGAATTCTCCAATTGTTCTCACAAACAGCTACTCAGTTGGAGCGGCTTACTCCGGTATCTACCAATACTGCAGATCTCAACTCGCTGTCAAACAAGGACCCGAAAAGGGTCTTTGCAATGGATTTATCCTCCCTGTCGTGTCAGAAACGTTCGACGGTTATCTATCTGATATCGGCGCTATGGCAGTGACACCCGAGCATGTTGTACAAGGCATTGAATCTGCTTCTGCAATGCAAGTTCCAGAGGGAAATACGGGAGGCGGCACAGGGACAATCTGCCAAGGGTTCAAGGGCGGAACCGGGTCCTCAAGTCGAGTAATCGACGGATTGATATCAGAAGGTGGTGAGGGAAGCAAACCTGTCAAATATACAATTGCGGCCTTAGTGCAAACCAACTTTGGCACGAGTCGCGATCTGAGAGTTGGGGGAGTTCCAGTTGGACAGCTGATGAAAGAGGAAGTCATAGCAGATGCCAGCACCCGACGTGAAGACGAAGGAGTCAAAGACGGCAGCATTATCGTCGTCCTCGCTACAGACGCTCCGCTTCATCCTCTTCAGCTACAGCGGGTCGCCAAGCGTGCTTCCGTGGGATTCAGTCGTGTTGGCGGCTGGGGAAGCAACAGCTCGGGGGATATCTTCCTTGCGTTTTCGACCTCGCATCACGTCCCGAGAGATCCTGCGTTTAGCTGGAAGCCAACGGTTGGCCAAAGTGTTCAGGTCGTCCAGGATGTTACAAGCAATGCGCTTTTCGAAGCTGCTGCAGATGTAACTGAAGAGGCCATCTATAATGCGCTTTGCTGTGCACAAGACATGAGAGGTCCGGCAGGGAGATTTGTCAAAGCTTTAGATCTTCAGAAATTGAAGAAAATCGTCGATAAGTATCTATAGCATAATTGAATTGGCACCAGAGTCGCAGTGACTATTGAAGTCCTTTGATATAGTTGAATTGTCGCGCACGACGTAACATTGGCGACCTGTTTGTCCAATCACCAACTAAGACTGAGTATATCGTCCAAAGTGCTAACGTCCTCGGTGATTCCCCATTGTTCGCCATATTGATAGCTCAAAGAGTTCTCAAGATCCTGGTTTTCAGAGGCCAGCTGTGTCTGAAGTTCCATCCGACCTCCTTCTCTGTCCCTCTCCTCTGTATTCTGCAAACTCGATTGGATAATGTCCTCTTCCGCCGGGTCAAGCATTTGGTGGTCTTCTGGAGAATTTTGGGAGATAAAATTGAGTGATTCATCAACTCTATCTGTGGGTGATGCTCTCCTGTCATCTTCTTCCTGGTTTGTGAGAGGTCGGACTGCCAATGGTAGTCCATCGATTATATGCGATGTATTAGAAGTTGACCCTGTACCTACCTCTGGTTCAGGTGCATCTAAAATTTTCGATTGCCTTCATCAGTCACACTACCATCAAGAAAGTGACAGGCGAATATTGTGTACGTGCATAACTTACCGAGAGAACATCGATGTTTCTTGGAAGGATGGTCGTGGTCTGACAACACTGATCCCTTTCTCTTCTCCGTAAATACACTGCTATTCGGTGTCGGAATAGATGTATGAACGAAGGAGTCTAAGCTCTCTTCTGTAACCCGTCCGCTTTTGGGCGTCGACTTGTCCAATGTAGAATACAATGTGCTCTCCAACTGTTGCATATCTGTCGTTCGCGTCGATAGTTGATCCTGTAACTTTTTGAAGAGCGTCTCACTGCTCTCCTGAATATTTAGCGATGCATATTTTGCGCAGCGCCATTTGTATCCGATGTGAATGCTGAGGATACACTTGATAGTGATCACAGCGTCATCCAAGTCTTTTGCGCGGCTCAACACAATTCGGCCTTCTTCGGTTTGCTTCAAGAGTCTATGCAAAACTTCAACTTTTTTACGAGAGAAGCGCTTCTCCCAACTATAGCAGTTTGGAAATGTGGTTAGCTGGCATCAATTAGGGGCTATGTTTGAGAAGAAGTTAGAAACTTACACATCTTGTGATCGCGAGCCCAACAGGAGATTGATACCTGGTGAAATGATTTGCTCAGCAAAGTTGTAGGTAATCGCCGCCCGAATCTCTTCTACCACCTCTTTGTGAGTCTTTTTCCACTGCTCCGCAAGCATTTTATTTCCCATGATTGCTGTTCGAAAGCCTTTTTCTCGCACACCATCGTAGGATCCTCCGAGATCATCCCGCATATCAACCAACAAAACCGCAGCGACTCTGTCTATGGCTATAGCCATATGCTGCTCGTTGCGAAGTTTCGAACGTAAGGCAAATAATCTTGCTCCTGGGTTGTCTAGATGGTCTTTTTCCGCTATCGCAAGTAATGATGTTTGGTTTTGAAGGCCTGTCAAACTCCAACGAAGATTCATGACATTTACGATGGCTTTGTACGCGCGAATCACAAAATGATCCGCATCCACTGGTTGAGGCTCTCTCATCGAGCTACCAGCGGCATTAGACGAAGTACTGAGTTCTTGATCAATATCGTCATCATCATGCCTACTGCCGCTGTGGGCTTCGAGTGGATGGTGATGTCGCGGCGAATTCGGTGTATACGAAGCCAGATTGCTTGTAGTGGAAAGAAGTCGACTTGAATGGCATCTATTGTGAGCCATGGGCGCTGAGTATATCCGTAATGCCACATGAGGTGAAGTAGTCTGCTCCGATGTCCCAGTAGCTTCATGGGTGGCACCAGTACTAACAGCATTTCTCTGCCCCTTATTTGTCGACGAGGCCTTGTTGGAACCATCGCCGTGTAGGAGCATGAGCTGCTCCTGGCTACATCGTCTGAGAAACTCTCTCAGAGTGTGTAAGTAATGCTTCTAAAATTAGTTGACCTGAGCAGATGGAATTATAGGGGATAGTGGACTCTTAGGAGAATGGCGTGTCTCATCTAGACCAAAGTGCATACCTCGTCTTTCAGTACATCAGATGGGTCTGCATGAGATAGGCAATTCAGCAAACAGCAATTGACATGTGACAACCGCCCATACTCCATCACATTGCTGCAGAAAGAATTTCAAGAATAAGACAGATCAATTTAATGAGTCCTGCAAACGGCTATAAGCCAAATATCTACTGCTCAATACAACCAGAAGTAATAATCAGAGGGTAACAATTGAGCCGAATGCCGAGTCGGCATTCTGTAACTTGCCAATGGGAGTCAGAATTGACTAGTGCCGTAACCAATTATCACTATCTCGGTTTGCTTTTTCTGGTTAGTGGCCGTTTTCTTAAATGCATCACACTGATAACGGTTCAAGTGACACACTGTGGAGGTGGGAAGCCAAGCATTGACGAGAGGGCTGAACGGCAAAATAGGATATTCTAGAGCAACTGTTGCATGCAAGCGAACGGTTAATCTCTTCAATATATCGAGAAGTGAACACCGTTACGTAAATAGCGAATCGGAAGAGGTTGCTTTTATACCGAGATCCATTTATGACCATATCATGTGCTTGATTGCAGATGTCATTCAGCTGAGCTCTACCGTTTGTCTTTATTTAATCGTCTTGCCCAATCTTGGTTCAGAATATAATTGCCCTACTAAACAACTAAGAACAATATCATTCAATTCACACGGGATAGCATCATGTCAACTGTTACAAGTTCAGGAGCCGCTGATACGGGCCCTAGTGCAGTACTACATCGAGATTTGAAGCAGGAACCTTTTCGAATCGTATCTTCTTCAGGATTTTATATCCAATTCGATGACGGTCGCAAAATTCTCGATGCTACTGGAGGAGCAGCTGTATCGTGTATTGGACATGGCGATCAGCGTGTCATAGATGCCATTACAGCCCAGGCCAAGACGCTCGATTACTGCCATTCCATGTTCTATTCGTGCCCAAGCGCTGAAGATCTTTGTCAACAGTTAATTAGAAGCACTAATGGCCAGATGGCAAAGGCTTTCATTGTTTGTTCTGGTTCGGTCTCTTATTCCACCTTGATGGGTATTCAGATAAAGGTGCTAATCTACGAATGACAGGCTCAGAAGCGATGGAAGCAGCCATGAAACTATGCCGGCAATATTTCTTAGAGTTACCAACCCCAGAGCCTAACAGGACTCATTTCATAGCTCGCAGAGAGTCTTATCACGGGACAACTCTGGGTGCTTTATCCGTGGGCTGCCACGTCGGTCGAAGAGCGGTATATGAACCAATCTTGATGCAAAACATCTCACACGTTTCTCCATGCAACGCCTATAGAAACAAGTTGGACGACGAAAGTACAGCAGAATATGTGTCAAGACTCGCAAAAGAACTGGATGACGAATTCCAGCGCGTGGGGCCTCAGATTGTTTGTGCCTTTATCGCAGAGCCGGTTGTTGGTGCGGTTCGTACTTATCATTTATCCTGTTGATCTATATGATACTAACTTGATTCAAGGCTCTTGGATGTGTTCCAGCGGTCGAAGGATATTTTAAAGCCATGAAATCCGTATGCGACAAGTACGGGGCACTTTTGGTGCTTGATGAGGTTATGTGTGGGATCGGCCGAACAGGCACGATGCATGCCTGGGAGTTCGAGGGAGTAGTCCCCGATATTCAGACCATAGGCAAGGGCCTTGGAGGCGGATATGCACCTATTGCAGGCTTGCTTGCTGGTCATCGTGTTATCAAGACTTTGGAAAATGGATCTGGGTGAGCCATTGGGCGAAGTTACGCGTACTTTGACGATATTAACGCTGACATTTAATGGCAGACGATTTTCTCATGGACAAACCTACCAGGCGCATCCTATTTCATGCGCAGCAGCAGCAGAAGTACAGCGCATTATACAAAAAGAAGATCTTGTGCATAATGCATCCTTCATGGGCAAGTATTTGGGAAGCCTACTTAAAGAGAAGCTTGGCCACCACCGTTATGTTGGTGATATTCGCGGCCGTGGGCTCTTTTGGGGTGTATGTGACACACATTTTCCAACGTATCTATATTTATTATATTGGATTTTTTGAACTGACAATTCATATAGATTGAGTTTGTCAAAGATAAAAGCTCCAAAGCTCCTTTCGATCCCAAGCTCGACATTGGCATGCTAGTTCATCAAAAGGGTCTGGGCTTAAGTGGGAACAGCGGCATATTGTTGTACCCAGGAAACGGAACAGTCGATGGCAAAGTTGGTGATCACATTTTGATTGCACCGCCATATAATGTCACAATGGTAGATATAGACCTGATCGTTGATCTTACGGTCATGGCGATTGAGGCAGCATTTGAAGATGTGGCAGACCGATTAGCATGAATAGGCCAGGACAAGAACTAGCTGTACTGAGTTTTGTTATGTTAAATGTAGTTTCGCCTCTAAACAAGTCAACTCTCTGCAGCTGGCAACTTACGCAACATTGCTATGTTATTTAAAAAGAATTGAGTATAACATCAGATAAGAACAAAGTCTTCCCAGTTGTCGTCACCGTCCCAGGCACTTTTCACCACCCGTCCAACTCCAATTCTCTCCACAAAGCTTTTTCCATCAAACCACTTATCCATATGAGCTGTCTCAGCTGCAAGCTGGGATTTATACTGCGCCAACTCCTCGCCAACAACTCTCCGTATCATCATCACATCGTAAACCTCAAAGGGTTTCATTTTCATGGCCGCCGCTGGTGCCATCTCTTGACGATCGAATCCATAGCTTTCTGATAGAATTATGAACTCATGGTCTTGGGTCATCTTGGCATGATATTGCACAGATAGAAGAATTGTTCCCAACCAGGGGCGGTCGCCTGTAGATGGTGACGGCAGAGAAAGTCCAAAGCGGCCACGTTTCTCGATGGGAAAGTCTTCTTTATTAAAATCAGAACTCAAAACAAGATTTGTTAATCGGAAACGCGCGACACGCGTGCGTAGACTAAGCCAAAGCGGTTGCCCAAATGTCTTGACTTCGTCTGGCCTTGTAGATGGTGCTATGTAAGGGATTGAATGATACCTGTTGGCATTGTCATCCAAAGCATAACAAGTTCCATGTCTCGTTGTGGAAATTTTTGACCAATTGAGAGACGATTGAAGCTCTGTTGGTAAAGGAAAATATTCGAGGTCTCTTGACCCCATCTTGGCCAACTTTCCGAAAGGAATGACACGCTTGGCACGATCTTCCAGGTCAGGCATACTATTGAATGCATCCCAGTTCTCATATCCAACTGGCCCAGTCCAGCCGGTCCATGACCAACTCGGAAAGAACGGTAAACCTGTCTTTGGGTCTTTGGGTACGCGCTTCATCTTGTTGCGTGGCTGCCAGAGAAGAGCCATATGAATGAGAACTTCCGGCAGCCCATGAAGAAACTGAAGGCCAAACTCTCTTCGAAAAACGTCTAGAACGCCATTGATGCCGGGTAGTCGATCGCTCGGGTATGACAGATCGCGGCCAGTGTATTCTTCGACAAGTCTGCAGTATTCCTGTAGATACGGCGTGTTTGTTATATGCACAGTTGGAGCGCCTCTCTCGTTGGCATATCCCGGGGCCATCCAGCTTCGATTCAAGGAAATGTCCATCATCGGCGCGCAACGTTTCAGATCTGGCGTCTCAGCGTAGTAATCTTCACCCCAAACAGCCTTTGAGCATTGAAAGCTCACAGATCCATCAGGGAAAGAGAAGACACACCGTTTTGAGAGAAGTCGTTCCTGATAGGTCCAGCCTCTTGTATTCCATGTTGTAGCTGTCGCTTTGCGATGAGTATCTGGATTGAGGGCCACAAGAGTCAGATCTTTAGAGATCTGGACTGTATGCTGTTTTCGTGATCTGGTTGCCGGTTGTAAACCAGGAATTCCTGCGTTTGCATGAGCGCCAGCTGCAGCGACAATAGTGAGACTTGCACGACTGTAGATGCTGTCCATCATGCGAAGCTGCTGTACTTTGTCGTCCCCAGAATCTTGTATGATACATATTGAATCAATCCATATGTATTGAAAACCAAGGTCGCGTGCTAGAACCATAGCATCACGAATCGATTTCGGAAGAGACGGCAATGGTAGGCCTTGTGGCTGCATCAAGTCTTTGACATTGCTCTGCAACGTCTTGAATACGGGAGAAGTCCCCCATACGTAACTCAACGCTGCATAAGGTAGAGGACAAGATGACTCAATCAAGTTGTAGTCGGTGAGGGAGATCATCCGAATAAAAGGCACGCCAAAGTGAGACGTCTGCCACGGTGTCGTATCTAGGCACTCGCTGCCATGCCATTCGGCACAGCGCTTGGTCCAAACTTTGACCAATTCCAGATCGAACTGATCTTCCTCAATGTTTCTCCCTAGAAATAAAGAGTCGTTTGTGCCACTGTCTACTAGGGGAACCAGATCAAATGGCTCAAACAAGTCTTCCCAGCCAACCATCTCCGGGGCAACTCTCAACCGGAGGGTTCCCATCTCGTCGCCGCTCCTATTGAGCACTCCGTCCCATATCCAGCAGGCAATTATTTCCGCATTGTTGCGTTCTAACATGGAGTTGGCTGGATCCTCATTAATAACATCTGCAATGAGGCCACACACTTGACACCAGCTCCGATGCGACAGGATATAATCGAGATTCCCGAAATGCCAATCGCGATGGGGAGTTGCTGAATCCACGCCAACTGGGTAAGGACCAAACGAGCTCCTATTCAAGCGAGCAATAGTTGTAGCATGGCGAGGACAGAATTTCTGTGTGGGATCTTCATCGGGTAGCGGAAGATCAGTAGGACTTGTATAACTCCATCGAGTTTTATGAGTGGGATCATTGGAGGCATCGTCAAGCAACGGCTCGCCAGCGACAGGCATGATGAGCGAAATGCCTGGAACACCAATCAATAGTCAAATGAGTTTCTTTAGCTCTGAAATAGATACAAGAATAATGATTGCAGTTCTTGCTGACGGGTCATCAAGTTACAGGTATATTTCACTCATTCCATGGGTGGGCTCTACCCCGCTCATCTTTTCGTCTCAATAATACATGTGATCAATGATATGCAGCGTCAATTTGGGACATGTAAACGTGATCTGGTCTGAAAAGCTTCCGAATATAGATGTGTGGAACATACATCCGTTGATACTATCAGCATCACCAATAAAACATACGCTCTTTCCTCATTGCAATGTCTTTCGCAATTAAAAAGACATCTCCACGGTATCTGCATCTGGGAGCTCTGTCACTGCCTCTTCCGCGCTCTGTAGCAGCACTTGAACTGCTTCGTCAGATCGAGGCGTAATGGATACTCGGAAAGCCTTAGGCTTCTTAATGAATCCGCCTATATAGCACCAGAGTGTTAGTTTAGCTATCAAATACAAGTATACGGAACAAATACTTGCCGTCTTTCTCATGAATATTGAGAGGTGGCTCTCCAGGAATGGTCGCAATGTCAAAAGCCCACAGAACACGAGAAACTTGCATATATAACGAATTCTCAGCCAGATGAATACCTTGGCAAAGTCTTCGGCCCCAACCATAGTTGATGTGGTCTCGTTTAAGGAAATCACCCTGCTTCGCGCTGGTGAAAGCGTCGAGGTCATCGCCAAGAAACCGCTCCGGTGCAAACGCATCAGGATCGGCATACCGCTCAGGATCCCTTGAAAGAGCAAACGCATTCGGCAGCAGAATTGTTTTTGGTATCGTGAGTCCTTTGTAAGATATTTCTTCTGTGGAGGCATGTGGTACCCCAATATACAAAAGAGGAGCAAACCTATGGAGCTCCTTTATGAGAGCCCGGATATATGGAAGGCTGGAACTATCCTCCCAGGTCGGTAGACGTGAAGGGCCTACAACCCGATCCAGCTCTGTTCCAATGGCATTGAATCAGTATCAATGACCTTCTACTCGTATAAGGACGTATGTGAACTCACCTTCTTGGGCTTTTTTCTGAGCCTCGGGATGCATTGCCAGTACTTTGATGATAGATTGCATCATGCTACTGGTAGTTTCGGAGCCAACATCAATTATTCCCTTGAGAATATCTATCGTAAGCCTGTCGTCAAGCCCTTTTTTCTTTTGAAGCTTCAAAACATCAATACCAAAGCAATAAGACTCTGCTCCAGTCTCTATCTGTTTTTTTAGGACTGCTAAAAACCCGGCGTGAAGTGCATCTTCGCGACGGCGTAATGAGTTCGCAGACCAAAGCCATGGCTGAAGAAACTCGGGTAGCCTCTCGAGAATTGGTACATAGTCTACCAACACTCTTCCCGGCAGAACGCCTATATCGAATCAGTATGTCCATTTATAATTTTAAGTCCAACATATTCGGATTAACTTACTGTCTGCTGCACGAGTTAATATGTCGAATAGCTCACGCATGATGGGATAGTCAAGGCGGGTGACTCTTACTCCATACACCGCACTGAAAATCACACTCGTTGAAAATCGTTCTGTGTGGGCTCTGAACGCTTCAGGGGTATTATATAGATCGCGAAGCATCATTCTCGACTCATATTCCTGATACTTCCTTACCGCTAGCGATGTCTGGGGACCAAGTAGGTCAATATAAACTCGCCTCAGAAATCGAAATCCTTCACCAGAGGGTTTGATCGGCAACATGTTTGGCCAAATCTTTTTCACGACGATATTCAATGGAGGCCTATCGGAGAAAATGGCCCCTCGCTTGGAACAGTTAATATTTAGACGTTTTTGGTTCATAATCTAGAAGGAGAAACATACTTTGTCCATTAATTCTTTGGCATCCCTCAGCTTGGTCACAATCAACACTGGCCGTGAAAAAAGCCAGAGCATGCAAAGGCCAGTAAATTCTTTTGCCATGGAGGTGAGCGTTTTGTCATTGCCCGCGGAGACATCTGGGAAAAGGAACAAGTTTCCGATCACGGGCCATCCTTTGGGTCCCGCTGGATATTTTTTCGCCGGACTTGCTTTTCGAAGGGAACGGCTAAACAGAGCTGTAGCGAGACATAGTAGAACTCCAAGAATGGAGGCTTGGGTAATAGCCCCCTTGTTGGATACAAGAAGGGATAACATGAGAAACCAAGCGTTGAGAACTAGCTAAAACTCGAAGAAACTTAGAAATTAGCTTGAAATGAGTTCCTGTTATGACTCCCACATCAGCTTGCAAACTGCTCAATATATAGGTATGATTAAAGAGCAGACCCGCTTGCAAACTCGAAGACTTATCACATATCACATAGATAAGGGGCCTCGACAGTCTATGGTCCATTGGATGCGACGTTGTTGATGCGAGTAGAGGGGTAAGGGTTGTACCAAGTGTAGCAAATTGCATTAAACCCCTGTAGATGCCAATCATCACATCACAGCTGGATGGGTGGCTTCTCTAGGAGTGGTGGAAGAAAATAAATAGATATGAGACTCCTACATTATGGTGTCATTATTTATTCAAATCAAGTTTTCAGCACTCGTGTAGAATATGTAACGGTGGGATTCAAAGTGACATTGTCCATAGCTCAAATTGAATGTCTGAATGCCCTTTATCGGCGTATATCTATACATGGACTTTGAGTATACTTTGACTATAAAATACGCGTTGTGAAAAGGGTTCCTAAAGCTTTATACATGTTATGCTTTGGGGGGTAATTTATAATGATATATTTATATATATCGACAATGTCAGCGCTACAAATTTATATCCTAGCCTTGAACCTAAGAAGTGGAAATTCCTATTATTCTGCATGTGTATGACATCTAGAGTGGAGATTTATGTAAGAAAAAATGGAAAAAAGCTTATGGGAACCTACAGGTCCAGATTTGTATCTCCATTAAAGAAGCACTGCCAAGTTTACGCGTTGCATTCAGCTGGCAAAAGTGGCTTAGATCCTAGCTGCAAATGAGGGGATACAACTACAGTACGAAGTAAACGAAACACGATTATATTCTAATAAACGCACGAAAGAAAGGAAGAGGGAATTATACTTCTAGAATTCCACAGTTCATGTGCTTGTTGACCAAGCCTCTTGGTATTCGTTGAGAACAGCAGGACGAGCCGAAACTCACGCAGTTCACACATACAAGTAAAGCAAACTCTCTCGCAATGGCGACTTTTCCAAGTTTCAACAAATTTACTGTGCAACATGTAGGAATTTGGCCAAGAGCCGCTTTTGTATGCAGTGGGTGGTAGGCCCCGGCCGCCGGTCTCATGGGGATACCCCTGACTGTTAGATACATGTACTCGTACAAAGTACGTGTAACTTGCCCCCACACTCTAGTTCATTGCATCTCTGTATGAGCAATCTCAGTATAGTCTATTTAGTTGGTTCCCTTCCTCCGTAAGTTAGCTTGTTCACATGCTTTCTTGGCCGCTGCTAAAAGTCAATTCTCGTGATGCTCGAGGGAACATCGCCGAGTAGTAAGGTCCACGTCACATGGATTAGTACTCCGCCCGCATTTTTGCTTACAGCATTGGTACGGGGATGTGTATTCTTTATCTCTAGCGTCTATTGAATGTCCCACTGCCGTGTTAATAATCTTTATGTCAAATCTGCATGGCTGGACGGAGCTGCTTCCGTATCCCCCACAGGGGTTGCAACAATGCTAGTGCTGACACAGCAAGGTTGCAAATACTGCATCAATCGTTGCCAAAGTCTCATGCTAGGGCTACATATGCAAAGAGTGTCTCGCTGTTCAACGTTGTATCTGGCCCCAACTCGCCTAAAGACCCATGTATTTTATTTAACTCGTTCGCTTGCTGGAGTCAGACTACACAGTTCTCTTACAGAGCATGACTCGAATCCTCAAGTTGTCTGCATGTGTCGGACCATACCATTTCCCCACCCACTATCTGAAATAAAAAGCACAAAATACCAAACAGACAGAAAGCTGACATGCACTCTACATGCATTATGACTCTGCAGAGCTCCAGGTCGAGGAACTCTGGGAACTATCTCTCCAGGAGTTCATTCCAAATACAATTTTGTTATCACCATTATTATGGAACAAGATTTTGGGTGAGATTTCCGCCCAAGCATGAAGTTGCTTGACAATGCCCAGTTTGGACAGGAAATACAGCTCACTTAAACATTGGCCGGTAATAGCCGTTGTTTTACTAATTGGTTTGTAATTTGAGGCACTTGTCGCTACATACATGTGATCCTTCAGCCTCGTCACGACTATAGAAATTAATATCATATTCCGAATTGATTGGCTGCTATGCAGCGGGGATTTGTTGCTGCCTAACCTTTTGCCCGCTTCATCTTGTCATTTTGGGCTTTCTTCAGAAAACTCGAACATTGCAAATGACTCTGTCTACAGAACACATCCACAAAAATTCTTAGAAGTATTGATTACCTGTACCTTGCGAAGGCCTCTTCTTCCATCCCTTGTCTCAACCCATTCCATAAAAGGACATCATGGCAAACCCTGAAGTATATGCTGTTGGTTGGATCTGCGCCATAAGTACAGAATACGTTGCTGCGCAGGCTTTTCTAGATGAGAGACACGGCTCTCCGAGTAGCGTCTCTAGACATGATAACAACGATTATACACTGGGGAGAATCGGACAGCACAACGTCGTCATAGCCGTTCTTCCTGACGGAGAATACGGGATAGCTTCTGCGGCAAGCGTGGCGAGAGACATGCTCCATAGCTTTCCAAATGTCAGGATTGGGTTAATGGTCGGCATCGGCGGCGGCGCGCCCAGCCTAAGCCATGATATTCGTCTCGGCGATATTGTTGTGAGCGCTCCTCGTGATGGAATGGGCGGCGTCTTCCAATATGATTTTGGTAAAACAATTCAGAATCAGAGTTTTCAGACCACTGGATTCTTAAATCAACCGCCCACAGTCCTGAGAACAGCAATGGCAGGGCTCAGAGCTCAGCACGAAGGCGAAGGACATGATATCGAGACCACTATTCGTGAGATTCTCAATCTAAAGCCACGACTCCGGAAGAAGTACACGCGGCCGGATCCAAGCAGCGATAGGCTGTATCGAAGTGATGTGGTTCACATTGAGAATGATGGCGCTGGCTGTCAGACTACATGCGGCGACGAAGCAGTGAAATTGGTGTCACGCTCAGTGCGGACGGAGGAGGAAGATAACCCGGCTATCCACTATGGCCTTATTGCTTCTGCAAATCAATTGATGAAAGACGCTATCATGCGTGATAAACTCGCCACCGAGAAGGGTGTTTTGTGTTTTGAGATGGAGGCCGCTGGACTTATGAACCAGTTTCCGTGTTTAGTCATTCGAGGCATCTGTGACTATTCCGATTCACACAAGAATAAGGACTGGCAAGGGTATGCCGCAATGACGGCAGCTGCTTATGCGAAAGATTTACTATACCGCATACCATCGAACAAAGTTGAGGCTGAACAGAAAATTAAAGACACCTTGTCGCACGGTCAGTCACCCGTCGATTGTGTGGACTAGAGTTTGAGGATAGTTACTTATATAGCATTAGTTGTGAGCACTGTTGACCATACGGAAAAGGCATGGAAAGGAAAATAAAGACATTGGGATCCTTGACTAGGTGGTCTTACTTGATTACTATCCTTAGCAGCGTAATTTTACCAGAATGCAAGCCACAATTAGCCAATAAATTTCAGATACAGTAGAATATGACTCTTAGCTGGATTATAGTAGCTAGACGCTCTTCTGTCCCGATATTCTCTATTCTTATTACACGTAGGTACATAATATTGCTGCCGAATACATCATCAAGTCTAGGATCTTTACTTGCGTAAGAGAGAGTTACTCTCCTAATATTGTATTTGTAAACGATGAAATCCTTCTAATAAATGAGAGAAGAAGTTCCAGGCAGCCGAATAGAGGCTCCAACTCACGCCTTTGACCTTTGCAGGATCTCATCCACAATACCTAGATAATCCTGAGATCTGTACGGGACAAACGTGTCTTTGATTCCTAAACCACCCTTTCGTTTCGGCTTTAGTCCCATATCTTTCATCAATAAGTCAATGAAATGCTGAATCCCACTACCAGCACTTGGTTCTTGGGATAAATTCTTCCGAAAGCTGAACGCATTTACTTTTGCAATTTCATAGTCTATGTCTTCCTTGTTCTTCGAGATGCCAAGGTCGACGAGGTTCTCAAGCCAGCAGATTGCCCATAAAGCAGAGACTTCGCTGAGGATGTGAGTTTGAATGCTGATTAAGTATCCTAGAAAGATGAGGGAGTGGTCATCTGCCGCGGCTAATGATGAAGGCAGCATGTATCGATATAGACGGTATGGCGTTAGGGCATCTGCTGTCCTGCGTCCAGGAGAATCTTTAAGAATTGGCAAAAGCGACAATATGTCAGAATCAGCTTTTGTATGGAGCTTTTGCCAATATTCTGTTGAGACGTCGTCTTCGAGCACCGCAGGCTTAGGTAAACCTAAAGAAAGTCCGAGCGCAGGATCGAATAGGACATCTTCACTCGTCCATCCCGTACCAAACACCAGAGCCTGACAGCTGATGGTTTTGCCATTGGAGAGATGAAGAATTTGGTCTTGAGCAGACGTGATACGCGTTCGATGAACTGTAAGGAGACCGTCTGGCTTACTCAACTCTGAGATGAATTTGGGACAGCTGTGCAAAGCTGCACCTCCAGCCGCCGAAAACAAAGCACTGCGGCAAGTCGTGTTAGTATTATGTTCAGTATCGTATACCTGCGAATTATTCGGTTTGCTTCTTAAAAGACTTACCTGTTACTCTCAGGCAACAACTTTTGCCTGTTTTCGTCGGTCATGTCTGCATAGAGTCCGCCCGTTTTCGTCTTCTTCGTCGCAAAAGACCAAAACTTACCAATGAGCCACGTCCCCAGCTTATTCTTGCCGCTGTAGAAGAATCTTCCAAAGAAAGTGTCGATGCTGAAGATGCTGACAGAAAACACGTCCTTCCATCTTCCAACAAACTGGCCGACGTGATAGCCCCATTTCAGTCGAGTGCTAAACATCATGTTAGGCCCGTTGCCTTTGTCGCTGATGATCCAATGCACTTTCTTGCCAGCTTCGATGCAGAGGTTGACAGCATCAATAGCTGACTTTCCACCTCCGTACACTGCAACACTCTCAACGTCTGCTCCAAGAAGGGCCTCGTACTGCTGCCCGATGTTTTTGGTGTGTATGGCCAGGCCCTTGAACTCGGCCATCGCCACGTCGGGAAATTTAGGATTCGAAAAGTTTCCCGTGGCAACAATTAGTTTATCGCAGTCAAAAGTCTGCGAAATTTGCTTCCCACCATCACCGGTGTTTTGAGCATCGACGATCCATCCCTTCTCTAGTGCTCCTCGGCGAACATTCGTGACTCGGTATCCAAATTTGCATCGCTCCAGAAGATGGAACTTTCGAGCATACTCGTGCAAATACTCGTGGACTTTCATGCCAGGCAGTTCATCCCAATCCTTGAGCCCAACGACGCCGGGCATTGGCAGGTCGCTAAAGTCGAACAGTCCCACGGGGCCATCCGCTATAAAGCCCGGATAGCATCTTGCCTTGGACCACACACCACCTACTGTAGACTCTGAGTCCAGAATCGTTAGAGATATCGCAGGGTTGGCCTGTAGATACCTATACTGCGTTAGCAAAAGCTGAATAGATTCCTCGTGTTTCTTCTCAGAGTAGGTATGGAAGTCCTATACGTTTTTGCTGCAGCCAGGCCAGCCCACCCTATCTCTAAGTTAGTAATGTTCTTTGCTTTTTCGGATTTCACTTGGATGCAACTACCTGCGCCAATAATAATCACTTTTGTCTGTTGCTTGATTTGTTGGGCCATTGCTGACTTGACCACGGCTTGGTTCAAGTGATCGGAATCTGATCTGCCAAGCGATTATAAATCTAGAAAACCCAAGACTCGAAACATTCACAGCATTAGGAAAATACAGATGCAAGAGAAAGTCAAGCCCAAAGATTCGCAGATAGGCTTGGTAGCCCCTAAAGAGAGGCTACGGATTATTACCATACTGTAAGATACACGTAAGCACCACTCAAGAAATCCCCCCTGTTATATGTTTTAGTCTATAAATTCTAACTTGAACCGGCCTTAAATCTCACCTCGCTGCGTAGCCCCTATATGTCGAATGTGCGACACCTCTACAAGTCGCATGTTGATATCACAAGTCATTAAGCCGAGTATACTTCGTACAACAGAGGCCTTTTCCCCCAAAGTACAAGAAGACGTGGGCTCACTGTGACAAATCTATACTTAGTAGATGGATTGAGCACATCCTCAATTGATCCTTACCTTTCATCACCTACAAATACTCCGAGCTCATGAACAGGCTACAGAAGCCGCCTGTCAATATTGATGGCAGGAACGCTAATGTAATTTAGTAGCCAGGCACTTAGATAACATTTAATATTATCAGAAAGAATCGGGGAAAAGAGAGATTGATTTCATCCGTAAAAGCAGGTTAATTAATACATGTAGCTACACGAAAAGTCACATCAATGACATTCGCTACATCACCATCTAGGCGGCTACCTATAGTCCATCGTGACAAAATGTTGCCGTTTCCCACTAATCATCTACATCTTAGATAAAAAGAATATCATACCCATCTCTTAGACGGAAATCTTCAGGAATTGGCCCAGCCTTGTCAACCAATACCCAATAGCCTGATTGAGGTTGAAAGGTATCATGCTGGTTTCTGTCTTCCGTCGCAGACGATTTTGCTCCCACAAACCCAGCTATCGCAGTGGTTTCGTAGCATGTGAAACTTCTATAGTCTAAAAACATTATCGGAACTTCGGCCAGCGCGATTGGAACATCCGCAGCACGTATTATGGGAAAAGCAGTATCGTCAATGATGAATCGCTTCTTATCCGCTGCCGGTCCTTCAACATCGCGAAGCTGGTAAATCTTCTTACCCTCGGCATCCCAATAGCAAAAGGCGGTGATCCATCCGGAAAGGGACTTTACCGTACCGGATCCATCTTTTCCGGTGTGATGGACCGCCCTCATCCAGAAATCTTTGGTTGTCTGCGAGTCCGGCTTGTCAAATGTTTCGACCATTTTCTCCGCCACTTTGGTAAGAAGGCTACTCCAGACTGAAAGTTCCTCGCCATAGGTAGCGATTTTTGCAACTTTCTCGACAAGTTTGACCCAATCTGCTCTCTCTCCAAGGAGTGTAACACTTGGAAATCCGCACCCACCCTTTGCGATATATTCAAAATATTCCTTCACAGTCGCCATCATAACGACTGCAGCGGTGGTTACATCCTCACTGGTTGTAGTTGAAAAGTTTGGCAACATCCACGACTTGAAGTTGGGGTCGATTACATTCCTTTCTATCAGATCGGCAAATGCTCGTGCAAGCGTGTTGAGGTCGACGCACTGAGGGCTCACCAGCCCCGTATCTACAACGAGCTGCTTTTTCCCTTCATGGGTAACGAAGAATCGCCTCATTTCTTCAGCACGACCATTGACGTAGAAGCCGAATTGAACCATGATGGCAAGCCATACATCGTCAGGGCGCAGCGTGAGATGGAGGTCTTGCTGGAAAGCACGAATAATTCCATCAACGAATCCATTTCTGTAGGGTACCAAAGACACGTTGTTCTTATCCATGTCTTCAAAAGACTGGTAGAGTACTTGGCGCGATTCTGGTCCAATCTTCTTGTTTGTTTGCGCAAATTTTGCATCCAAGGCCTCAATCGTCCAAGCTTTAGACGCACAGCGCAGTAGCTGGGCGGAAGATGTAACAGGCTCGTCTTTGTTGACGCCAACAACATCTGGATTTGGCCTGGTCACGACATGTGAGCCATTGCTACTCTTAGAGTCTGCAGAAGCTGGCATGGTCTCTGTGGAAGGTGGAAGATGAGGTAAAGTATGATGGTGGCTTTGCTGATGTGGATATTGATGGGTATTGATGACTTGTATGTAAAGGTCCAATAGCTCGAGGAGACCTGGACCGCATGAGAGGTATTTATAATCTTGGTAGAGTGGGATCATGGGATATACACATGCATGTAGGCATATGTCAAGTATACCAAATCTGCTTGGTGACTATAGCACGTACTTTCAGAACAAGTTGTTTCAGACAAAGTGAATTAACCAATACTAATTATGCGTGTAGCAAACGCGAGATACCTAAGGTACATGTACATGTAACCTGCCGTTAATTCCGCCCATTCACATCCCTTTACAACTGTAGATATTTGTGCTTCGAGATCATGGCAGCAAGTGAATGACGTGGCTCCCGTCTCTTGTGGCAATTCACACCTTATGTACTACAACTGGAGTCTTCTGTATCACCGCTTCCCTTCCCTAGATACATGTATCCAAGGCTGCTTTTCGAGCCCCTTCTACCCACGATGTACCGTGACTGTCTCAACTTTGTGGTTGAGGTGGTGAATATAGTTGAATTGGCGTTGATGCAACTAACTTCTTACTATAGGTGAGTTTCACCTCTGTGTCGGCAAAAGCCTTCCGTTTTACAGTAAAGGGAAACAAGTGAATCCGTTGGGCAAACGTCTCCGTTTGTGCAAAGCCGGGAAGAAGTTGTGTCACAATGCTCAGTATCATTCACCTCGTTTGTCAATTTCCATCCGTTTACGGGATCATATGTATATCTGACCTTGAGTAACCATATACAGGTACTACACTTCATATACTAGGCCAAGCGTCGGGTCGATGCTTCCGTTGCAAAGCGACTCCCAACCCTTGCTATAATCCTCCATTCCTTTACCCCATTGCAGCGTTAATCCGCTGATGCCTCCATTCTCTTTGAGTCGCGTCCATTCTTGTGAGAGACCCTCAAAATACCCTACTTTTCCATCACTCTTCATTCCGGAGTCTCGCAAGCCAGAAGCATTGCACACAACGACACCGCTGCCGGGTACTTCTGTCAGGGCGTTCAGCTTGGAGCCTTTTCCCTGGGGATCACCACCAACGATGAGAGTAATAACACTTTTTGAGGCACGCGTAAGGATAGCATGCAGATCCTCATCGACTGTGCCTCTCCCACCAAAATTGGCGAGCAGCACCTTGGTGTTGGCATCGATGCCTAGCCGAGTCGCAATGCTGTCATCCGTACTCGAAATATCTGTGTACAGTAGCAAGTCGTCATATAGACCAGTTGCTTCGGTAAAGCTGCGTGATTTGTCTGACCCAACTGCCACGACCTTGCGAGGCTGGTGTTCAGCGGGCCTCGATTGGCGTAGTAGATATGCAAACGAGAGTGCCGTCTTTCCAGATGCCCCGAGAAGCACCACCACGGCGTTTGCGAGATCAGCATCGCTTGAACTCCAAGGTAGCGGGACTCCAAGCGGGTGGGAGAGCTTGGCCGAGTCCCAAGCAAATGCATATCGGTTTAACATGTAGCTCGTCTCAAAGAAGACACGAAGGGCAGAGTCTAAACCTCGGGACGATTTGTCTGCCTCCAAGTCCAGCTCTGGAGGATACGGTATATATCGGTTATATATCTGCATTTGACCAGCCCTTCGCTCACTTGTCTCCAAGACGTGGCCAGTCTCATCTTCAACGGTTACTTGGAGTATCTCGGGATAACTCCCGATAGGAAGGTAGCCATACAGCTTGGTGCCAATGGGCACTCTATCATTTTTGCTCTCAATCACTTCGCCGTAACCCCAAGCAGATACGCGACCGTACTTGGAGTCATCATTGTATGGTGCAGGCAGTGATGGAATTGTAGCCCAAACATTCCACCAGCCGAAGAGATGGCCAAGTCGTGCATATGTAAAATTGTTCGTCGTATTGGAGATAATCCTGCTACGGATACGGATCTCCCGGGCCGCTAGATCGGGCAGAGGGTCCGCATTGTGGAGAGTGACCAGATACTGCTTTGTATAGTCCGATTTGTCCAAGATTTGAACCTGGGGAGCTGGTGAAGCCATATTGAGTAGCAAAGTGAGTCGATTTTGGTCTGCTGTGAAGAGGCACGAATGAGCACAGTGTAGTGGGAGAGAAGTTGAACCCAACAAAAGTCCAAGCAGAGCAAAGCTTTGTTCACGGATGAGCGCATTAACTCCGTTCCTCGGTATTCACTACATATCGGGCCGAGCGGATCCTCCGTAGGATCAGAGGGTAGCTTGAAGTAAGCATGAGTTCAATGGTAGCAACAAATATGACAGGGATTCGTAGTTGGCTAACTTGTCGCACATCTCTAGGTTTTAGTCTATTCCAACAAAGACACGCCTTTATGTAAGATCAATGGTCTTACATTGTCCTAGTCTTATGCATCTAGCTCCTTGGTTCTATACTTTCGCTCTGTGAGGCCCGTGGAGTTTATGCGGTTTCTCCTGACGCTCTCTCGAACCGTATCGTTGTAATAAGGAATACTCCAGCAAACGTTAATAGTTCCCAACCCAGAACCCCCTCTGTAGCAGTAATCTTCCTCCTTAATTGAGAGGTGATCTCATCACTTCCACGCCCTGATTTCCATCTTTGCCAGCTACAGCTTCCATGATATAATCTGTGACAGGAACTTGGATTTCTCGCTGATCAAGGAATAATTTATTGTTTTCATGCCTAACCTTTATTTCCTGCTGCGGCCTTGACAACACCTTCTGTGATATTTGTTTAGACTTGTGTCTATTGTGTTATCTAAGCATTATTATTTACTTTAATTATGCGTCGAGGCAGTAGTAGATACTGAAGCAAGCGTAAGCATCTGATGCTCGCCAAAGCTGCCTGTTGTTGTCTCTGAAGCAAGCAAACGACCTCTGCTGGTTGTTTCCACTTCCCGCATACTGGCCAAAGCTGAAGCTTCCAGCTCCGATATGAGTTGTAAAGGTGTTTCCAGTTGCGAAGCTGGCAGTATAAGAGTTTCCCTCCCAGGTCACCACGCGCTCAGGGTTGGTGGCAAAGGCAATATTCTGTGAAAGTGGCTCGGTGTTGGACTGAGAGTCATCTGGGTAGTAGACGATGACACTGGTTTCTGGCGAGCCGACATTGGGGCCACAGTTGGCAAGATGCACTCCCCTACATAGAATTAACAATACTGCCCATATAGTACTTGAGGATCTGAGATTGGCTAAAACATACTCGCCAGCTAAAGCGCTGGGAATGAAAAGGGCAACAGCCGCGAGCAGAACAGCGGTAGGTTGGAACATGGTGAAGCTTGTAAGGAGTAATAAGATAGAAATGCTATTTATTGGAGTGTTGAGTCTTACTCTGCAAAATAAAAATCAGGAAATGGCGCTTGGATTGTCTTTATATATCTAGAATTTGTATAGTATAAACTACGTCTACCTATATTTAGAGTCCTTCTAGATGAGGCTCATGATAGGTTGGTATACAGATGGAATCATGCGTCGCCCAACCCCACCAGTTAGCGGTGTGCAGGCGCCTGTAGTAAGTATTTCCAGGTGTAAGCTATTTGACTTATATGCGCCACAACAATTGAGCTTTGGAAAGGAGAGTAAGACTATATACACCTGATGGGTCCATGAGGCGGAAAAATAAAATAGTTGCACAGGCAAATCCACCAATTGCGTATGAGTACGGATACATATTGATATAGAATTTGCGCGAAAACCTCACGTTTTGAAAGCTGGAAAGAGATTGGGGATAGGATAAATAAGAACAAGAGCGACAGATGATGGAAGAGCCAAAGTTGAATGTGTCTACTACGGAGTCCGGTTCCAGAGTTTCACATCTATAAGGTAACTCTGGGTCCCAAGAAACTTGATAGAAGAGATAGTAAAGACGAAGCTGAACGTTGCCGAGCACAACTGAGTAAAATCGCACGTATGAGTATTGCATGCATGTGAAATAAATGTACAAAATCCATTATCAAGTTATAGTGGGTTTCGCATAAATGCAGATGTTATTCCGGATGTAGTAAGAAACACGAAGCATTAGGTTGGCAAGCAAATCCACCAATTGCGTGTGATTGTATCACTATTACAGCTCTCGCTGACGATAAACAGTGGGCGGAAAGAAGCGGAAAGAAGGGAAATCCACACACATGCATCCAAACTAGACATTCACGATAGCTCGGTTGACCGTTTGGAAAGTACTTGCTAGGTTTGCGAGCTACGAGAATTCTGAAAATTGTTTCTATTACACCGTGGTCCTGATGCTGTCTACATGCACACCTATAGCCAGAATGAGGAATTCTCGGCAGCTAGTCCGCAATTCTCTTCCTCTGGCGGCTCATCTTGTGTTTCATTCCGGGTGCTGCATATGCATATTTGTAGCTGCAATATGGATATGTCGGCAACTGGTCCGCAAGCAATTCTCCCCTTCAGCGGCTGCGCGCTTATGCTTCATATGAAGTGCGGGCGTTAATAGCTTTCCAGCATCCACTCTTTCCACGGCGGGAATTTATACTCAAGGATTAATAAATAAGTCTTTCTATAGACTAGAATTTATAATTGTGCTAAATTGGAGTTCGATCTTTGTAAAACAGCCCCTGTAGAGGCGCAATCATTTAGTCCTTCTATCTATATTTGTTATTTATACGATGTAAGTAGCCCCGGGTGCGCATGTTTTAGACAATCCGATTGATCTTTTTTCTAGTACATTTCATCTGACAATGAGAGTGAAAATAAAGGAAAGAGTTAGGAACTTACATTACTTGCCCATGCCAAGTTCAAGGTCTCTTCTTCAAGATACGTAGACTTTAAACGCCGTTGTTTCTGGTCCATCACGTGCTCTTATAGTCTTATATGGCCTCATGTGTTGCGCAAAACATATTTCATATCTCACTTATATTGAAGTATTTGATGAATTTCATGCCCAGTTTTTTATTAAGTTTCATGTCTGATATAACTCTTATAACTGGGTGAATTCCTCTACTACCGAGAGATATTCTTTTTAAGTCAGGCCCTTGTATGTATCTTCCCATACAATTGAGATGCCATGAAATAACCCTAGAGTGCGAACCAGTTTTAGGTCAGGTTGCAGCGATATAAAAATAAAAGTGCAACTTGCAAACATGAAGACTTGTCACTCTTTCCCTTTGATTAGGTCGCCTCATGGATATTATAAGCGGTTTACGCGAGCTGGGCTGCCTAGCTCCCCACATGAGGATCTGAACAAGTGGTCCCTCTTTCAGATTTCCCGTGGCACTAGGTATTTGCTGATAGGAATTCCCTGTTAGCGACTTGGATACATGAGCCTCCATCATGTAAAATGCCGTGTTGAGCGTTGAATCGCTATTTAGATCTTGCCATTCAACTTACTCTTATCTGGCCGCTACATATACCTCGATGGGTGTGTGTCCTTGGCATCAAATGGCAATTGAGCTGTTAACTGCATGTATGCACTTATATAATACTGCAGGTATCTGGGCAACCACTGCCTACATGTAGCTGCGATCTTATTCCGCCATCAATCCCGCCACTTGTGTTAGCACGTAAATGAACTTAGCTCAACTACTTGTTGTCAAATCCTCCATATAGCCATGGGGTCTGGCTCATCAAGAGAACCTCCCAAACATCCCGAGCAACAGCATCGTGATAATGGCCCATTCTCAGAGGCCGCCATGGCCAGAAGAGCCGATAAGATACGCCAAATGTTTCCAATCGCCACCACGGCTGACAATACTAGTTCACCCGTCGATTACACAGCCTTCACACCGCCAGGTGCATTTGCACACCTCTCCGCTCGACGAAGATGAAAGAGGCGCTGATTGCAAGCTACAGATTCTCCTTCATTGTTTACCACGCTGCCTCCCGAACTCATAGAGAAAACTGTGAACCATCTAGACAATCGCTCAATCAAGAGTCTGCGCTTGACCTGTAGACGCTTTGGCACCATCAACCTGCGCATCAATCGAGTCTTTCTTTCCGCTAATCTGCTGAATATTCAAGTCTTCCGCTCTATTGCCGATCATGGCTTCTATCGCAAGGGCATTACCGAGATCATTTATGACGATGCACTCTTTTATCGCTCATTTGACGACCAATGCGTTGAATCAAATGAGTGGTCTTCCCTAAGCTATCCATTTCTAGAGCTATCAATAGATAAGAATTGGTTTTACACTGAGCGGGACGACCACATATCCGAGTTGAAAAATCGCCAACTCACTGATAGACCAGGCCGTCCTGAGAATGTGATACGAGCACTGCAAGCACGTGCCGAATTATCCTTCTTAGAGTCATGGATATATTACCAAGATCTTCTGAGCCAACAGGATGAAGTATTTGCCAGTGGAGCTGATGCCGAGGCTCTTCGATATGGTCTGCGACGGTTTCCTGCGCTGCAGAGAGTCACTGTTACACCTGCTGCTCATGGGTGGTTATTCACCCCTCTCTATGATACTCCAATGATCCGAGCCTTCCCCTACGGGTTTAACTATCCAATTCCTCGCGGCTGGCCAACTCGACGGGCCGGTGAAGCTACTAAATTTGACAAGCCATGGGAGGATTCAAAGACGAAATGGCGTGGCTACTGTCTAGTCACCGAAATTTTGGCTCAAGAGCGGCAGCACCACCGTGTCTCTGAACTCTCCATCGACGCCCATTATCTTCATACCGGCGTTAACTGCCGCCTCTTTCAGCAGCGGTGCCAGGAATACCTTAATTTTCTATCTGTTCTTCAGCAGCCTAACTTGAAGAAGTTGCAATTATCCCTTAATGTGGATGGACAAGAACGCTCAAATTGGCCAGCTTTTCGCAGCGGCCTATTACGCAACGCCCTAGCAGAAGCTTCACACCTTGAGCATTTCAGCATGGAGACAAACTGGGATGCAAATTATTACAGAGCAGAGACTCTGCCACCGGCGCTGCGATCGTTTCTTCCTCTTGATCATTGGACTGGGCTGCGGCACTTTCGGTTGTGGAACTTCCCAGTGGTGTGCGCTGATCTAATAAGGGCGCTATCACAGCTTACTGGGCTGCAGTCTCTTGAGTTGGGGTTTTTGTCTTTATATCCTGCCTCTGATTTTGAGTTGCTCAATGAGATGCGCGACTCGCTGCGTTGGCATGAGTGGCTTACGCCACCAAGAGTCGACTATGTTGTACCTATCCCGGGTGAGCATACTCAAGGGCGCGCGATTTGGCTTCATGAAGCCGTTGCAAATTTCTTATATTATGGTGATACAAATCCCTTCGATACTGCGACTCGTAAGGTCGCCCGTGGAGCGGGCATAATTAGAGATGCATATGATCCAGCATTTGAGAGGCCATATGATTACTAGATAGATGTCTTTAGATGGACCTGAACTATTATCAAAATTTTGTCTCTTTTTTAATTTCTTTTTATCAGTAATAACCACGAGCATTGTGTATAGAGTTATCAAAATACAGAAAAATCCACATCTGGGCAACAGTCTAGAGGAGCCCAACTGCCGTCTTAGCTACCGTTGCGTAGTGTGGTGGTTTAGGGACCGACCGAGCCAGACAACAAGCCAGACAACAAGCCAGACAACAAGCTTATGGACTAATAGCTTGGGCGCTGGCTCTTGTCCAATAGGTTGCAGTGCGATAGAGGGAAGTCGTAGAAATTATGTCAATGAGTAAGGCAATCTAATTGATGGGAAATATTCCATTCCGAAGGAGAAAGTTTGGTGGTTCCATATCATCAAGAGAATTGAAGACGACTTGTATAATTTGTTCCAGGCTTGGCAATGACGCACGGAGAGCTTTTGATAGGTCCGAGTGATGGTTAGCCATTCCTCACGAGACCGTACAAAGAGAAAAATAACAAGCAAATTAACAACAAATTAACAACAAATTCATCTTTTCACTTTCCTTTCACTGAGCCACAGCGAACACGTCAAATTCCGCTTGGCAGCTGCGCCATCTGACTTGAACCCAAGCCACCAGAAAGCCAAAGTCATACATGACTAATTCCAGTCTTCTGGACTTCGCGTCTTCGACCCTTATTTTTCTTTCCGTCGCTTATCTCCGCTTCCGCCCAATTGTTTAAACAAAAGAAAAAAGAAAGAAAAAAGAAAAAAGAAAAAAGACAAAGCAAACAGTAAGCATCTCACCCAATCAAATCGAGCTCCGGAGTCCGGATCGGGAACCCCGCCTACCCAATACCGCCAAGCGCCCAACCAAGCCGCCACTAGCCCCTCCTGGGATGCATTAGCGAGACCCTCGACCCATCGTCTCCGTCATACGACGTCATCGATGCCAAATCCACGGCCACAGGGTCGCGTGTGCCAACTTGCTTTCTTCTCGCTGTTGTTTAGTAAGATGAACGAATGAATGATAACATGATTTGCACGCTCTAGCAAAGAATTATGGGAACGGGGCGTTCGATGACTTACGTATGTACTCCCTCGTAGAAAAATGCTTGCGGCGATCAGGATATGCGTAGAAGATTGACGGGCAGAAGCAGTGGTCCGCTTTCCGTGTACTTCTAGCTCGCTCTTCCGATCTTTCCCTGGCCCTGCCCAGTACTTTTATACATCATGGCCCATGGATTCCGGAGCTTTTTATGCTTCTTTTCTTCTTCTCCTTATTTCATGATCCCTTTGCTTTGACGATACTCATTCGAATCTTGTACACTCAGTAGCCGACACTCCACTAATACTCATCCTCATCATCACCGCACTATACTGTAGCTCCAACCTACACACTTTATAGAGTTGAAAACGAAGAGCCAGCCAGCCACCAATCCCGCCATCCGCCATGGCTGCCAGAGGCTTCGTATCCTACTGGGTAAACTCCTCCAAAACGTAAAGCCCTCACAATAACCACAATTCCTAACCAACGTCTTTAGATCCTTCCAGTCTTCTCCGCCCTCGTCTGGCTTGGTATGCTCCTGGGCCTCCTCCTCTACTGGGTCGTCGACACCAATAGCGAACATTACTCGTACATGGACTCGGACGACAACATAGCCTTCATCTCCGACATTGGCGCCAGCAAGCTCAAGCCGCTCTTCATCGCGGGATCGGCCGTCACAACCGTCTTCCTTAACCTGTCGTTTGCTGCCGAGCGCCTACTGCGTCACAATGGACGACTGGTCCCCAACACGACTGTCAAGGAGAAGGTTCTCTCCATAATCAGCATAATTTTCGCCATTGTCGGCATGTGTGGCTTGATCCTCTTGTCCATTTTCGACACGCACCACCATCACAAATTACACGACATCTTCCTCTTCCTCTTCATTGCTGGATACATTATTTCCGCCATCTTCATTTGCTGGGAATACCAACAGCTAGGCCTATGTAAGTACAACTATACAAGAATGCTCCTAGGACAATCTCTAATACTCTCAAACAGACAACCGCCAGCACCGCATCCTCCGCATCTCCTTCTGGGTGAAACTCACCTTCGTCATCGTTGAGTTCATTCTCGCCATCATCTTCGTCTCTACAAACTGGAGCGACAACCAAAACGTCGCCGCCGTCTTCGAATGGATCATCGCATTTATCTTTACATTCTACATCCTTTCTTTTGTCATCGATCTCTTGCCCGCCGTCCACACAAAAGCTCCCGCCTCACGATTTAGCAAGGCTCTTGAGCACGAGATGGAATTAGCAGAAAGCCAAGACGGCAACAGTGGCCATACGGGCTCTTACCGCAACGACTACGGTCGAAACAACAACCGATACAACTTCCAATGAATGATGTGCGGGAACAGCGGTTTCTGGTGTTTTTAGGTGTATGATCAAGCAGCGAAGTACTTTTTTCTTTTATCTTATAACGAATGTAAGAGTATGTAAGAAGACATGGGAACGAAAAGAATCAGAGAGGCATTCAATGAGGCGTTATCAGGCTTTGCGTGGATGTTCAGGTTAACGGGTTGGGTATAAATTATCAGAACGAATAATGCATAGTTTTTAAAACATATGACTATTTTTATTAATGAAAGAAGTATTCCTATTTTCACTCAGAGAAGAAAAATAACCCACATGAGACTCTACGGCAAGCATAGATTTGATCCTCTAAAACGCCCCAAGACATGATGCCTCACCACCTATTGAATAGCCCGTTGCGCACACAACGATTACGATTAAAAAATTAAGAGAATAAATGGTAAGTAGTGGTATAAGACGTGGAAGCGACGCGGCGGTTGAAGCCCAGAAAAAAAAATCATCAGCGCCGTCATGGTATACCTCGAGCACATTAACAGCCCTTGCTATATCGCAACATTCAACTTTCCGAAAGAGCAGAGCCATCTCAATGATCCATCATTTCTCTGAACCGAGAGTCACGCATGGGGCTATTTCCTTGCCACGGCGGTTGATCCATGATAGCCCTTGGTGTTTCGAAACTCTCAAACTCACTACTCCTTCCGCTGCCAGAGCTGACTGGGCTCACACCGCGCGAGTCTCTGTTGGGAGGCTGAGGGTGGCTCTCGGTAATCTCTTCACCGCCCCTCCCAGTAAGCGTAACATCACGCATGCTGGAGGAGCGGTTTCCCAAGCTGCCGGTGCTTCCACCCGGGCCCGAGTCCCTCAGCGCAGCGCCGCCGACGAAACTCTTCTTCTTTTCGCCAGGCTCGCTCACAGACTTGCCTCGCGAAAATCGATTCTTGATCCAACCTTTGACTCGTGCCGTGGGTGAGGTTGCTCCTTCAGGTGACTTCTTTTGTGAACCCTCAACGTTATCCACAGCCGCACTCTGCGGAGGGGGGGTCGTGGGCTCGGGGACGCTGGATCCCCGCCTGCTCTGCGTCTCTGCTTCTTGTTCTTCATTCTCTTCCCGGCGGATGTCTTGGCTGTGAGCGCCGGAAGTCGCCTCGACCTTAGACTTGCGCTTTTCCTCTTTAGCCAGCTTCTTTTGTTCTGCTTTGGCGAGTTTCTCCTCCTCCTTCTTTTGCTTTTCCTCCTGCTTTTCCTGCTGCTTTCTATTCTTTTCTTGCACCTTGTCCTCGTCTGTTGAAACACGATCAGAATTAGCCTTATGACATGTAAGAGAGTGGGATGAGTTGACATATACCTCTAGCCTTCTTCTGAAGGTCTTTAAGCTCACGCTCCCGGGCTTTTTCTCTCTCGGCCTCAGCTTTGTTTGCTTCTGCTTCCATTCGAGCCGAGGCTAGACGCTCCCGTTCTGCTTCCGCCTTTTCGTGGATGTCGTCCAGCACGGGTCGTACTCTCCTGGCGGCGATGGCATCGATCTCGTCGGCGCCCATAAATACTCCACCTCCAATGTCCACTCTATCGTCACCTTCTGTCCTTGTGTCGTGTCGAAGCTGGGCAGCTTGCTGAGCTCTAGTCTGCCAGTCACCCAAGATTGTCGGATTGACCTTTCCGGTCTCAAAGTAGACTTTTTCGTCCATTCCCTGGAGGCTTGCTTTGACGTTCCGTCGTGCAGCAGTCAAGAGGGCCTCTCTGTCTCTCTCTCGTTTTTCTTCGTCCACTTGATCAAGTCTTGATGAGAACATGGTCATTTGTTGGCGTATCATGTCGGATCGAGCGCGGTCCTCCATGTCACTGTCACTGGCAGACCGACGACGCAGCTTGTTGACAATAGTAAACCGGCGACGTAGAGGCTTGTCTGCGCCGTAGTACTCGTGATACCGTCGATTCTTCTCATGCTCATCTTGAAGCTTGGCGAGACGTTCTTGGGCTTGCCTGTATGCAGCATCTTGTAAATCGACGTAGCGATTCGTTGATGTCTCACCTGCATCTTGACTATCTTGAGAACCCTCCTGTCGAATTTGCTGCTGACGGTACATCTTCTTTGCCATTTCGACTGCCGACTGGTGGATCCTTTCATTATTCGTCTGTTCATCTATTTCGGGCTGGACGGGCGGGTGTGAGGTAAACATGTTGCGGGTCATGGTGGTGACTGGAATTGCGCCAGTATCCTCCACCGGTGGCGGCCTGTTCATGGCAGCTCGGTGGGCTATGGACGCCCCATTCAAAGCACTCACGGACGCCCTTGTTGCGTCCGCATACGGTGACTCCTGCGGGCTAGAGAATGACCGTAGCCTGGAGCGCGGCGTACCTTGCTTTGAGGGCAACATGGCTCCCTTGGCAGCCACCAAAGACTTCTCCTTTGGAGAGGCGGGTGGTGATTTGGCGGCCACTTTGGCAGACTGGACTCGATTCGCATGGAAAGCTTGAGTCGCGGCAGAGCTTCCGTGAGACGTTGTCAGGGTCACCGGCTCTGGGTCAGGTGGTCGGTTCGTGTTAGTATTGAAGGCCTGCGTGGCAGCAGAACTGCCCCAGGAATCGCGTGGAGTTTTCTTGACGCTTGACTGTCTGTATGCGGTGCTAGCAGAGCCTACAGCCAGCACTGCTGCTTTGGTACCCGTTCCATCCATGGTGGGCTCCCACAACGGCGATATCTTGTAGTCTTTGGCGAGAACTGCAGCGGCCGACGCTGATGACACTTTATCTGGCGTCCACGTCTCTACCGGCTTGTGGCTAAACCAACCAAGAGATGCAGCTGCGCTGGCAGCTGCGCCACCCGAGCTCAGACCGGTAGACGGGAAGCTTGGAAGACTGCGAGGATCGGCGTATTTGAGCCTGCCGGCGTTCGACACTGTGATGGTAAAGTAAGCAAGGGGAGCTGGGAACAGATCCGATGACAAAATGACGGCGAATGGCAAAGAGTAGCAGTAAATCAAAGGTGCCGCTTAGCTACGGAACAGCAGCCAAACACGAGAGCAGTCTTACGATGAGTAAAAAGAAATCAGGCAGAAGTCAAAGACAAAACTCGCCAACGAGGATAGGAAGATCTTTGATGCTAAAACAAAAAGAAAAGGAACGGATCGCTTCAGCAGCAAAACGAAAGACGGGAAAACGAGGGGAAACGGAGGAGTGTTTTTTTGTTTTTTCTTCTTTTGTTTTCTTCTTCTTCCCCTTCTCTTCCACTGTTTAACATACATGGACTATTATGGGATGACGGCTCATGGTGCCGCGAAGGCGACTTTGCCACGGATGGCCGCGCTTCCCCAGCTTCTGCAGCTGTTTGCATCATCCGGGTGGGGTGACTCCAGATCAGATACGAGGACGACGAGAAAAGGCGGTTAGTGAGGCGCCGCCAGTCCAAAAAAAGGATGTTGCAGTGCTGGTCAAGTGACGCTGCACTCGCGGGCGCGATACGACGTAATTGCCAATATCAACGACGGCTGTCAGTGGAAGAAGCTGCCGAGTCTAGCTGATCGTCTTGGGGAGCTAAGCCAGCTATAGCAGCTCTGGGGGCTCGATGCTCATCACCTGTCTGCTTGCCCGTTTGGTTCCTTATGGGCGTCTGGTCTGGTGTCTCGGATCAGGCAGTCCGGCAAAGCTTGGTCGTTTTCTCGTGTCGTTTCGCAAGGCGGATTGGATTGGCGGGTTGGCGGATGTAGGTATTGGGTAGGGTCTTGCAGCACACGGAGGATTGTGGAGACTGGACGCAAGGATGAGGATCGGAGGGATGGCAAAGGAATGGTGATGATGGTTGAATGAACGAATGAAGAATATCTCGATTAATAGCGTCGATGCCAATGTTAAATGCTAAACGTCAACGTCAAGTGTCAGTGTCAATGCCAAGCGTCAGTGTTAAAATGGGCGGAATGGCATGGCTTAATAGTAAATCGCCAGATAACAAGGAATTGGAAGACAAAGTTGGAACGGCCGGCAAGTGGCAGGCACTAAAGCGAATCTGATGTGGTTCCTGCTGTCACTGCCTACATCCTACATCATAGAAGTACCGAATACACGTCGGTAAAGACAGATGGAGAGCTGCTAACCAGGTACAGTCAACTCTGCTTTGCGCGCTCCTTACTCAATTAGCTCTTTCCCGCTGATCTGCAGCAGAAAGATACCTACATGTACCTTGTTCCTCGTACTCGACTGCCTTAGGTAACAATTTCTTTGCAGCTTCATCACTTCTCCCAACCTACCTCTTTTGCTTCAGTTCAAAGGCAACTTTTTTTCGTCGCCCTTTGACATGCATGCTTCACATAAGCTTCTCGTAACGCAGACACGCCCAAAAGCCATCAAGAAACGCCTCCCCCAAGTTGTGACGTCATGATGCCCGAGCTAGGTGTTGGTGCATGACGCTATTGCAGCTCTTTTCAGGCGACCAAGGTATTTTCTATTTCTTTGGCGGCCGGCTAGTCCGCAGCTTCAGGTTGAGACAGCAGCTAATTTTCCTGTCGACAGCTGTGTCAAAAGCATGTACTGTCAACTTGTCTAAATCAGGCTCTGTCCTCTCCTCCCCCCCTGCCAGCGGCTCATGTCGATCGCCCCCGTTGTGGAACAAGCTGGGACGGGTAGGTACCTTAGCTGGCGGACAAGGTGAAGGATACTAACTCTTGCACGTGTAATGAGCTCCCAGGATGCTACCAATGATGTTATGGATCTTATCAAGCGAGCGTCTGACGAATCTTGACCAGGAGAAGAGGCTATCTTGTGCATGCGGCGGAGGGCTTGCTCAACCTTAACACGGATGTCAATGCCAACCCTCCATCTTTGTTCTCGCCGTGGCAAAGTATCATGAGTTTCGAATTCCCCAGCAAGCAAGTATGCTTAGCATTTCTTGTCTGGGCATATTGCCTCAGCATTCGCCCTTCCAAACATTCGCCAATCACCAGATTAACAGCCCATTGCATCTTTGTCTCCGACCTGAATACCAGTGGGGCTGGGTAACAATGACGTAACCTTGAATCCATGTGTTACAAGCAATTTGAAGTGTCAGTCATAATCAATTGCGCTGCATTTGATGGCGCAGCGCTTTTTCAGCCTCTCCAAGCCTTGATTTCCGTAACGGGTATTCATGGATCCCTTCAGGGAGTTAATAGCTCGTATTTTATCCAGTTGACGAATAGCCTCAAGAGGCACTTCAGTTTGAGGTAATGACACGAAGCTTTCTTTCTTCGTAAAGGAGAACAGACTCTTAATATGGAACTGGTCTGGAACTTTTGACATGCCGTTGGTGGAATTCATCTAGACTTATTCTTTCAGTTGGATATACTGGAATTAGGGTTTGCTGGTTCACGTATGTCAGCGATGCACGTTGCGGCGAATACCCACCGGCACCACGACGCCAATTGGGTTTCTACCAACACAAATAAATGATTGAATTGAATTCACTTCATACAGCACTAATAAACCACCAAATACTAAGAAGCAGGCAGCTTATTTAGACTTGGTTGCCGCGCCCCGTGAAACATGCCAGCTTTACAGGGTAGGCCGTCCGACATGTTAGCGTCGCTGACACCGCGGCCAACAAACAGAAAATCCTCTCCTTTGTCTCTCTTGAATACGATGGTAGCACAACAAACCTCCATACTGATATCAAATTGAATCACCAAGAAACCCACGCCTTACTAAATCGGCCATGGAACAAGACCACCAGCTCCAGAAGGTTCCCAATTTCAGAGACGTTGGCAAAACCGTCAACCAGTTTCTCAGAGAGAGGTGAAGCCCCTCGCATCACCTATTGATCCTCTCTTTTACCAATTGTCTGACAGTCGAGCAGACGCGTCCGAGAGAACCTTTTCTATCGATCAGGAAGGCTAGGTACGATTGTTGACAACCAAGACAATTTCCCTCATCCCATGAAAATATAAAGATTCTCCAGCCACTTACTCGCCCCTCCATCTTTCACCAGACGACGCCACGGCTGCAGACAAGGACCTACTCAGGAATGAGCTCGAGATAAAGACTATTGTTGATTTACGCACAAAGTGGGTTTCTCTAATGCGAAGAATGAAAAGCACATTCTCACATTATGCTCAACTGCTAAAACCTCAACTAGAACCGAAATTCTTAAACAAATCAGAAAACACCGACGCTCTGGCGAAGCGAGCGAGATCCCAGGTGTGCAATACTACGGCATCAAGATCAATGGCAGATCCTTCGAGAGACATTTATTAAGTCTTCTATCATGGTGGGATTTTTTGTAAGTCTGATGGGCCCTGCTGGGATCTCAGAATAGTATTCTTAGACACAGACCTGAACCTAACCCACTGCTGAAGCAAGGTCATTTTCTTCTTCATTGCGGGATACCGCATAGACGCAGTCAGGGTTCTCAGCACTCAAGTCATGCTGCCCCGTGGCCTCGTCCGTCTCGGTCTCGACACGCTTGATCACTGTGGCTCGGAGATACATCAAGCCCTCTCGTTGTACACTTCTCGCCAGACCTTGCCATGCATCATTCATTGTACCCAGGGAAAAGATCGCACAGGTAAGATGAGCTCTCTTCATTCCTCTGTTTACAAGGCCGAATATTTAATCAACACGTCGCAGGGCTTATATGCGCTTTGGTATTGATGATACTGGGGATTCCCAGAGCGGCCATCGAGCACGACTACTTTCTCACTGACGCTGAGCTCATGCCCAGCCGACCTCAGATGCTGGTAGAGATTCATGAGATAGGCTTGACAGATGAGTGGGCTAGCACTGCAAAGGACATGATCTCGTCCATTGAAAGCCGCATCAATGACAACTATGGAGGCTTGGACAATTATCTAGATTCCATTGGCTTTGACCAGCAGCAGCGGACTAAGATCCGGGAGACGCTGCTCTACTAAAGAAAAAGCGACGCTATGTGGTGCACTGGGGGGGAGCAAGCAGGCAAGCAATCATCGTTGCGCAATATCAAACGGTCTATTTCTTTCTAAAGCGCCCCTGCAGCCAGCAGCGGTACATCTTAATCTTCTCAGCTCTATTCACGAGCAGTCTCCGGTCAACGCCGAGTTTCTCAATCGTAAATCGTGGGACGCCGGGCTCTTCGGAGTTTTCCTCAGCGTCCGGTCCAGACCAGATGCTTGCAAGTTCATCTTGGTCAAAAAAGTACACGCGTGTACCGTCTCCGCGGATGTAAAAGTTTTCTTCCAGGTAACGCCCCTTTCGAAAGCGGACTTGAGCAAGATCCCCTCTTCCATAATCTCGGAAGCAGACCAAACCTCCAGGCTTCAAAACTCTATAAACATTCCGTACTGCCTGTGCCCATTCGCGGGGAGACAATGCGGAAAATACGAAAATCATAATGGCCAGATCTACAGTACCCTCTTCGAGGTCGGGTGGGAGGGTCTCTCCAGCAACGTCCCAGACATCAGCTTGGATGTGCTTGGGATCATAGGATTCGCTTTTGCGCATAACTTCTACGGCTTGCTTAGAAAAGTCGCAGGCATGGATCTTCAAGAGTGGGTTCTTATTATTGGCCAGGACTGGGAAAGCGGTATTACCCGCACCTGCGCCAATCTCAAGTATGAGTTGCGGTCCAGCATCCTCCTTGGTCACTTCAGCCAAGATGGGAAACTCTTGTTGTAGCCACTTGCGGTCCTTGAAGAAATTCGCGGTATTGTTTTTGTAGAATTTGTTCCACCACATGGCCGGGTTGGAATTAAATCTGGCTGAACACACATGTTAGCGACATGTTATGTAAAAGATGAAGTAGACAAGAATAAATAATAGATTTGGTATATCAGATGGGAGCGAAAGAAGTGAAGGTAAGTTTTCATCAGAATATTCAGATGAACTATGCATTAGGATTGTGTATCATCACGATACCGAACTGAGGAGAAGGAAAAGAGGAGCAATGACTTACTCTTATCAAAATCGGAGACTGGAGACTGACGCTGCTTTTCTAACTGGCCCTCAGCATACAGTTTGTACGCATCGTCAGTCTCAACGTGGTCCCAGGCATTGAACTCGAAGACGTCGTCTCCGGCCTCCAGATAGCGGCTACCGAACTGGAATGGATCGCTTCGCTTCAGGTTCTTGGCCGGATCATGCGACCGGTGGGATGGTTTATCGCTCTGAGCCTCAGCAGCTTCAACAGCCTCAACAGCCTCAGCCGCCGCCTTGAGTGTGGCCATATCCTCCAGCCCAGAGGCAGTGGCAGTGGCAGCTGCACTGCCCGCTTCGGGGTCGATCATCGCCGCGGATCCGACAACGCATAGAGTTCTTCAAAAGGAGACTCGCGATTGTCCTTCTCGCTGCCAGCAGCAAGATTCACCCCTACAAAGCGACGTTTCTCAAGAAAAGAAAAAAGAGAATGGACTGGAGAGAAGAGAAAAAAAGAAGGAAAAAAAAAAAAACCATTTGCTGAGTGCTAAAATAAGTTGCAAGGTGGGCAAGGTGGGGTTCAGAAAGTGTTAGATGATTGGCTGATCTCGTCGGTGTCGGAAATTCCCGTCTTCCGGTTGAGCTTGTCTGAGAGCAGGTGGGGAGGTGGTAAAAGTGGAGCATACCTTAATAGCAGTGCGATAGCATCATGGCGAACATCTGTTAATAACTTGCGGGCTTGGTAACCGTTCAGCTCTTGAGAGACGCAAGAAGCTCCATCACCAACCGTCTGCCGGTATTGGCTCTTCTACGCAGCTTGTTTAAAGAGCATCAAAACCTCAACCGTCAATTGTTCTCATATCTCGTCACCACATCGCTCCTAATACCTTCACAATGCCGTCGCTACTACTTCGACCTCATGCCACTCTCTCCCACGCGGAAGCTCTACAGGTAGCGCAACAAGCTCCTGAATTTCTACGCAAAAACCCTGCATCATACTCTGCATCGCCATTCTTTTCATTATTCTCTCCGCCCGAGAGCTCCAACACGTGGACAATATACGAGAATCTTCTGCTGGCCTGCCTAAGAACCGGTGATAACACAACGGCACACCAATGTCTCGAAAGATTGGTGGTCCGGTTCGGAGCTAGCGATGAGCGCGTTACAGCACTTCAGGGTTTAGTGAAGGAGGCCGAAGCAACAGACGATAGCGAGCTTGAAAAGGTGTTGAAGGAGTACGAAGAAATCTTGGCCAAGGACAACACCAATGTGGTGAGCATTGCAAAGCTTCAACACAATAGATGTCAAGACTAACCGTGAACAGCCAATCTCAAAAAGAAGGATTGCGCTACTACGTGCGATGGGTAAAACCTCCGAGTCGATTGAAGCTCTGGTACAGTTCCTGGATTTCTCATCCACCGATGCAGAGGCCTGGATGGAGCTGGCAGACTTGTATCTATCTCAAGGTCTCTACGCGCAAGCCATCTATGCCCAGGAGGAGGCACTCATCATAGCGCCGAATGCATGGAATGTAAGCTTTACTTTTTGGGAAGAAGTATGCTATCTAAAGGAGCCATTGCTGATACCTATTTTCTTGTTGTAGCTCCATGCCCGCTTGGGCGAAGTCCTTTTGATGGCTGCAGAGTCTGGGAATGAGGGTAACCCTCAGAACTATCTGGCAGAGAGCTTAAAACGCTTTTGCCGAAGCATTGAGCTCTCCGATGATTACTTACGAGGTTACTACGGACTGAAACGGGTAGGAGGTCTAAAGACTGTCTGTAAAGTTGGGCTGCTAACGCTTGAAACAGGTCACCGATAAGCTCCTCGATGCAAACTCAAAGGGGAAGAAATCAGAGTCTGATGAGTTCACCCTGCCGGAAACATCGACCATCGAAAAGCTCAATCAGGCTGCGACCAAGAAACTGGGCGATATCGTGCGCAAATACGATGCAAAAGATCCTCTTTGGCAGGGATACGATGCTGGAGAAGTGGCTGCCGCCCGTACTTATCTTTCGGAATCTTCACAAAAAGTTGTGCGATGAAGACATCAAGTGAGGAAGCTAATCACGCTCTTCAAGTCGGCGACTATCTGTATATCGGTTGTTCAGGCTTAAGTGGTACAATTGGAGACCGGCAGGCGTGCTCTATCTGTCTTCAGATGGAGAGATCACCGCCAGAGGCCAAATACGTGATCTGTTTAAAAACAGGTTGGTGGGCGCCTTGTCGTCGGAAAGGTGGGATGAGGATACCCGACACGTGGAGGTGCTATCGAGCCATTCAGAAGTGCTGCAATAATGGATATGATGGATGATCTATGGCAAATATGAAATAAATGCATAATAATATGCAAGATGACTGCCTCGCTTGGGTGTGTAGTGACTTGGTGAATAACGGCCATGGTCCTACTAAATAGCAGTGCCAAGACACAAGCACCCAGCATTGAATCATGTGAATACATACATGTACCGTTCATATACTCTGTCTGTATGTACTCCGTACTATCCGGGTGGGACGATACAGATCAAGATATCTGACCTACGCGACCTTGTACTGCTTGTCGCACAGCATTGTGCGTTACACATTACGCAGACCAAGCAATCCCGTGTCGGCCTGCGAGTGGCTCGAGCTCGGCCGCGACACTGCCGCGACACTGCCGCCTCATCTGATTTCGGGAGCTGGGAAACCTCATACGGAAGCATGCATGTACTGTACATGTATGGTGCATATCGGCAAAAAGAAATAAGGAGAAAAGCGGACAGCGCACATGTCAAGGGAATATATGTAGCCTCACCGATGCAGCACCGGAGGCTAAAGAAGCTCCATGCTGGGTTGCAGATGGTTTGCGGTGGTTGTGAATGTCATGTACCTAACTTACGTGTAAGTGGGTAATGGTAAGGTTCAAATCAGAGCACAATGAATGAGGCTGTGAGCGGACCCTCGAATCGAAGGGCATTGAAAGATTTTTCGGCACCTTCTCTTTGCCACGATGTCCATCCATGATTTTCTAGGCTGCCTCTTGCTGCCTGTCAGGTTCATGCACCCGTGCAGCGCTGTCCAAGGCATGAGTCAATGGAGCTGGTTGGGCGCCAATGCAGGTTATTTTGGGCTCCGCAATGAAGAAATTCGAATCCCTGTGACTCCGGATTGAGGCCATGGCAGAAACCCACATCTGGAGAGGACAAGGGTTTCGCGGGATCAAAATGAATGGGGCAACGACATAGGCTACCAACTGTGGGTATGAGCTGAGGCTGATGCTGATGTTGAGGTCGTCGCTTGGAAGATGCCAACAGGTGTCAAGCTACTCTGTTTTTGAGCTCTTGCTGATAATGGTCCGGTGAAATGGATTATAATGAATAACCGTTTATGTATAATTCGTGAGCTTCATGACGAGTGGTACACATAACGACAATAAATGTTATAGAGAGGCCCAGAATAAATAGTTTTCATCAACCGAGCTTAGAGTTTTCTTGCTGATATCTCGCAACTTCTCAGTGTATATACTGTAGAACGAGAGAATGCGCGCCTGGGCCGTTCTATTGTCATATATCGTATCGTAGACACGATTCCGCCACCGCCAGGAACACGTATCATGTTACATTGCTCAGGGATCAGCATCGGCCTCCAAGCGACTCAGGCGAAAGGATTTAATCGATAGGTAATATGCTCCAATACGGTGGTTGGTCGCCCATGTACGTCGATATGGAAACGTCCTCGTACCATATACAAGACCAATGCAGAAGAGGGCCAATCAGCTCGATAAAGTTGGCCTTGGAGCTAGCTGACCGCACCGTCGGCTCTCTGTCTGTTATCACCTGCTGTAGCTATGGAGAAGCAGTACCGACACCTGCAGGTAAGTATCTGCAACGAGAAAGGAAAGGCAGTTGAGAACTGAGAATATCCAGAAGGCCTGCATTCACCTGTCGGTGAGACTGTTCCTGTTGCCGTCATCACCAAAGCATGATGAGAGAGAGAGTATATCGTCAGCGGGGCGGTCAACCTGGTAAATGTACAAGTCATCGGCTGTCGCGGGTAACCTGACAAGCTGCGTGGCTGAACAAGTCTGTCAATGTCAAGCTCGTCCCTGTACGACGAGAAGAAGAAGAAAAGAAACAAGTCATACGCACGCAGGCAAGAGTCAGTCAGCCAGCCCATAGGCGCACAGCAGACCAGTTACACGACGCATCCTCACATATCACATCACACGCTGCAAAAGAATAAATCATAGTAATAATAATAATGGGAAAAATGGGCAGTTCCGCACCGCCCTGCTTTGGGCATTGGTCTTCTCTGAGACCCGACTGGCTTGGGGTTGATGATTTGCTGTGATTCTTTTGCGCTTCCCGATATGGCTGCCCGAGTCGAGTACAGGGGAGGTACTTTTTCTCACTGCCTGCTATTACCGATTGCTAGGTACTAGGCAGGTACCTGGTGGTTTCCGAGTTGGGTAATTGAAACAACATGAATCCATCCATAGCCCTACTGCCACCATTTGCAGGGAGTTTCTTCAACACGAAATCTGTGGAGAGAAACGATATTAGAAGAGTTGGGTTGAGCGGGCTTTTGTTTAAATAACAACCAAGTTCGCCATCGGCTCAACCAAGATCAAAAGAAGAGAAAAACCACTCAAACACGGAACGGCGGTCTCACCAACATTATGCCAGCCTTTCCTATTTGATCCGTGCAGTGAGCTTAGTACAGCATCCTCCTCTCTAGCTCCAGACTCAACTCACCTTGTTTCCCCCCTTGTCCATATGCCGCAGTGAGTCTCTGCCATTAGCCACCAGGGGTTGAGCCTCGATCCGCCAGAAACAACAAAACAAATAAAAACAAAACAAAAAAGTATTTGATTGATTCTGAGCCGTCACTCGCTCGTCCGCAGTGTGCGTTGTTCATCTGCAAAAGTCTCTCCACTAATACAGCGACAGCGACTCCCTGCTGTTAGAAGAATCGGCGGCTGGCAGCGCCACACCTTGTTGCTGTACGTGGGAGTACACTGATGCTACCCGGCCTTGCATCTACGCTGCCCAATCCAATGTCCAATTGATGGTTTCACCAAAAGTATCTTCCCCGTACACTCCACGTACTCGCATGGGTGGCACAGCCGCTTTGGCCTTGCGCATTAGCACCTGTCGATACCTGCACCTTGCCTGCACCTGCACCTGCAAGCAAGCAAAAGCACACAATCACACACACTCTCGACTTGTCCTCACCTCACCTTGGTTTTTTTTTTCCAGCTTTTTTTTTTTCTCCAACCAAGATCTCAGCATCCCCTCACCGCCGATCGCCCGCAGCCCCGTCGAGGCTGGCCGTTGTTTTGCCTGAGCTGTCATTTGCATCTGACGCACGCCTTGTGGTACCGCTCGACTCTTTATTCTGTGTCCTACTTTGGCAGCTTCATAAGGCCTCGGAACCCCCTCCCGCAAGCCGAGCGTCTTGTCCGTCGTCTTTGTTTTCTCTCTCTAGCGGTTTGAGACACGAGGGAGCACTAAAATATCTTTGCCATCTTGTATCGCCCTGCTAGATTCGGCTTGTCCTCTGGCTGGTTGCCCGGCACATGTACACACTGGTCCGCTCTACCATCCCTCGCAAGCAAGAGTACTTTTCTGCTGTCGCATTAGCGACTGTTGCTAGTCATTCCGCGACCAGCCCTTGATTCGCTTGAGCTCTCTCTTCGCTCTCGCTCCTCTCACTTTCTAATTTCTCCCTTTCCCTCTTATTCCCTTCTCTTCCCACTGCCACCCGCTACGGATCTGCAGGTGCTCGCCAGAACTGCACTTTGCTGTCGACTCTGCCATTGTATTTTCGGGCTGCTGACTGACTGAATCGGCTTGGGCTCGTTGCCAATTTTTCCCCGTTGCCGCCCGCCCTAAAGGCAACCCAACCTTCGTCCCCCACCACCACTCCCCAGGTATTTTAGACACAAACGCTCGTCCCATCGTCGGGCGATCTTGTGCGGCCCGTGGTGAGTAGAAGAGGGCAATACTGCCACAAGCTCGCCTGTTATGTGGTTAGTACAGTGCCTGATGTTTGCTTTGCCACGCCTGCGACCAACCTTACTAACTCTCATCTTCCGTCAGTGCCTATAGATACGACGACCGACGACAGCAGCCTCGGTCTACCTCTTACGAGAGGACCGCTGGCTACAGGCGCCGCAGCCCACCATCCTACGAGAGTGACGAAGACTCTCAGGACGAATATTCGGACTACGACGACTACGACGACGACGTTCAACCTTCTGATTCTGCCTCCACAAACCACGGCGGCAGGCCACAGCTACGCACCCGCCCCTCGGAACAAGCCGCCCCGAGGCGCCAACGCCCAGCGGCTAGACAAGACGCCTCCTACCATCAGCAGGTGCAGTCTTATGCACCCGTTGCCGCCGCACCGCCCAGCGTGGATCCGTCCGAAGAATACGGCCACTATGGCCACTATGGCCATGGCCAGCATCAGCAGCACCCAGCTGGGCGCAACGGCTACTACGGCCGTGGACATCCGTCTTATCCCCCTCAGCAGCAGAACCATGTAGGCCCGTACATGGGCTACAATGGTGGAAATCAAATGACGCCCTACGGCAACTATGGCGCCAATCCCTTCTCTAACAGCTCCAACGCTGGCAGCTACTATGGAGGGGACCAGAGGGACATGTATGGCATGATGCCTTATGGCGCTCCGCCTCCAAATCCCTACTATAACGGACCGCCTGGGGCCCACTACAACAACTTGCCACCTCATATGCAGCAATACCACTTGCCGCAGCCACCGCAGCCACCGCCAACTGAAGCTCCCGCCCCCGCTACTCCTCCGGCCCCGAAAGAACCCACTCCAGCTCCGCCCCCGCCGCCCGATCCTGAAAAAGAGCGTCTGCAAAGGGAGCTTGCTGAATTCAAGGCCGAACAAGAGAGGGCTAAGGAGGCAGCAAAGCAGCGTGAGCTGGAGGAGAAAATCCGCAAGGATGCCGAGGATGCCCTGGCGAGGAAGATGGAGGAAATGAGACTGCAGCAGGAGGAGGCCAAAAAAGAGATTGAGCGAGCCCGATTGGAAGCTGATCGCATAGCTCGCGAAAGAATCGAGGCCGAGAGGAAGGCAGAAGAGGATAGAAGGCGACAGCATGCCGAAGCTATGGCCCGGGCAGAGGAAACTGCGAGACTCAAATTTCAAGCAGAAATCAAGGCAGCCGAAGAGCGGAGAAGGAGAGAAGACGAAGACCGCGCTCGGGCCGAGGAGGCAGCTCGTCTCCGTCTAGAGGCTGCCATCAGGGCAGAAAGCGCTGCCAAGGCGGCTGCTGAGAAGAAGGCCGCCGAAGAAGCAGCTCGAATTGAAGAGCAAACTCGCCTTCGGCTTGAAGCCGCCATGAAGGCCGAGGCCGAGGCCAAAGCGGCTGCGGCAAAGAGAGCTGCCGAAGAAGCTGCCCGGATTGAGGAAGCGGCCAGAGCTCGTGTTGAGGCGGCTCTCAAGGCCGAGGCCGACGCCAAGGCCGCAGCGGCAAAGAAGGAGGCTGAAGAGGCCGAGAGAATCAGATTGATCCATGAAGAAGCCAAACTCAAGGCCGAGGCTGAACACCGGGCCCGGCTCGAAGCAGAAAGAGAGGCGGCACAAAAAGCTGCTGAAGCTGCCGCCGCTGCAAAGGCCGAGGCTGAGGAACTGAAGAAGAGGATCCAAGATGAGACTAGGGCCACCATTGAAGAAGCGACTAGAAAAGCAGACGAGGCTGCCAAAAAGGCAGAGTTGGCTCCTATCAAGTTCAAAGACGCCGTTGGCCGGAAGTTTAGCTTCCCCTTTCACTTGTGCAATACCTGGCAGGTACGTTACGGCTGCTGATATGGCATCCCTTCTTGTTTGCTTGCTCACACTTGTTTGATACTTCTTTGGGCATGATCCGCTAACATTATTAACAATAGGGAATGGAGGAGTTGATAAAGCAGGCCTTCCTACAGGTGGATGTCCTAGGGCCACATGTCCAAGAGGGCCACTATGACCTGATCGGTCCTAATGGCGACATCATCCTTCCCTCTGTTTGGGAGAAGGTGGTTGAGCCGGATTGGGCCATTACCATGACCATGTGGCCACTCGACAAGGCGCCACCGGTAGGCCCAAAACTCCCCCCTGGGATGCCACCGATGCCAAATAAGGACCATCTGCCCCCGGGAATGCCACCGCTCAACCGACCAAGACCCGGTGGCATTAATATTCCTCCTCCGCCTCCTGGTTGGCACGGAGGAGGACTGGGAGGAGGACTGGGAGGAGGAATGCATGGGCCAGGAGGAGGAGGTATTCCTCCTCCGCCTCGGGGACCGCCAGTTGTGCCCCCCGGTATCAAGATTGTCAATGCTGCGCCGCCCAAGAAGAAGAGTGGTGGCGGTAGCAGTAGCAAGCAAAACACCAGCATGCTTAACTTCCTTTCTGGAAAGCCTGTGAAAAAGAAGTAAGTTGCCGTCTGTTAAAAGGAGAATAATAGTGTTACTAACGCCAGACATAGGTCATCAAGCAGGAAATAATGTCGCTCTCATACGTTGTTGCATGACTTTTCATTCAAAAGAAACGATTTGGTTACGTTTACGCCCTATATCCGAGCGATTTGATTTGTTTCTTCTCCTATTTTCTCGTTCTTTTTTTGTCTGTGTGTTTCGCCATCCGATTCCCATGTTTATGATCCTTTTGAGCGAAAGATTCCCCTCCTGTTTCGCTGTCCGTGGTGGTGGTCTAGGGCTCGCCGTTTTAACAGCGGTTCGTTATATTCACATCCGGTGGAGTTTATACTGGAGTATGCGACATGGGCCTGTATGAGAGGGACGAGTGCGTTGCGCTGAGTTCCAGGCATGATGGGCCCTACCTTTGTCTTATACCCGGCGGGTCGACATGAGAGGCGAGGATGTATGGCGTATATGGAGGATGGCATTTGGATATTAGGGAGCAATTGGTGGGGGTTAGACAAGGTGGATGGCTACGTCTGATGAAGTTATGATGTATTTGTGCGTTTTGTGAATTTTGTCTTTGTGCCCGCAACGGAAAGCTGCTGAGCTACGCAAGCAGGGATGATTAGTTGTCGCAAGTCTAGGAGATCTATCTATCAAAATAACCGTCTAACGTCTACTCTTGTTTCTGTTTCCCAGTGAACTCTTATCTTCCCTCATTTTTATCTTTTATCGTCATTCATGGATAGGCCTCTACAGCTCTCCAGCCAGAGTTATGCTACAGGCGCTGTTGAGCCCCCAACTTGTGGTGCACCCGCTTCTCAAAGGCGTCAATCATTAGCGCAGCGATCTTGTCGGAGACAGCAGCGCTAACAGCAGCATAGAGCGGGTTGACGAATTCAAACTTGATGGTGAGCCGAACCTCGGTCGAAGGCGCCGCAGACTGGCGAGCGACTGGTGTCAAGTACCAGAGGGTCTCGAGAGTCTTGAATACGGAAGAGGCATCCTGCGCAAGGCCACCTCCAGCAGAGCCGCCGCTGCGCGCCTCGACCGAGACGCCGGGAACACAGAGCAAGCGGCTTGTGAAGACCTCATCGAAGCCGCCCCAGCCCACGTGCAAGTCGGCGAGGGCGGGCCAGCGGCGGCCGGAATCGTCTGGCGAGGACCACTTTGTGACTTGGGAGTGCGAGCAGTAGGGGACAAAGGCGGAGTAGGAGTCGACGTCTGCGATGAGCTCGTAGAGAGGCTCGTGACGGTAGGGGAGAGTTCGGGTGGCGAGGAGGGTTTGGGGGGATGTTCCGGGGAGGGAGATGAAGGCGCGGCGGGAGGGAGAAGAGAAGAATTGAGAGCTGGAAGATATCCTTGAGGGGCGAAGGAGAGGGATAGATGGCCTAGGAAGGAGAAGTCGTTGAGATGCTGTTCGGGCGGCCATGGCTTGTGTGCGGTTCGTGGTGCGATTGCGATTGCGATTGCGACTGAGACTGAGACCGAGACCGAGGGTGGTTTGCGCCTTTTGAGGATTGGTTTGTAGAAACGGTTGGAATTAGGATTAGATAAAGGCCAATTACATGGCGATTGATACCAATTGACGACGTTATGCAGGCAAAAGAAAGAGAGACAGAGAGATATAAAACGGAGACGAAAGGTATGAGTTGCAAGCTTTATGATGGCCAAAAGGGTTCTCTTGCGAAATCCTGCGCCAATAACTGCAGAGGGCGTCACAGAGGTAGTGACGGACAAAATAAGCGGGACTGTAATGAACAAGACCTCTACTTCCTCGGACAATATTCTGGGTAGAGCAGCTATCAATCCTTGATATCTCTCATAGAATACATTATATGTCTCCATAATTACTTAATTACCTAACTCTTCAAGTCTTTTTATAGTTCATTATCTATGATCAAACATCATTTGACTTCATAGATGTAACTCTTACTGACTGGTTTATTTTGTCTATAATCTGACCGGGGTTTCGCCGCACTTTCAGCTTCCGAAGTTTCGGCGGTAATTCCGTCATCAAGCTTGGACGACGTTACGAGTACCTGCTTAGGTAGTCGGTCACCTAAGCCAAACACCACCAAACGACCTTTGAAGCTATTCGAAGCTCTCCCAGCTCAGCGCCAACGACCCTCGATTGACGTGATAGCAGGATGAACCGGCTGCTGCAAGCCTTCATCATCCCCTGACGAGCTACGCCTCGCTTCTCGATAGATCTCGCAGACTTCACCCGCTGCTGCACCGGCCCCGCGTGGGGCAGCAGTTCGTCAACATGTAGGGTCAACCCGAATAGCTATGTCATACGTTAGATACGAGTTATGGCGCTGATGGTGGGAATCACAGGTTCGAAAAATCTCTATACGACCTCATTCGAGGTCTGCGCAACCACAAGGGCAATGAGAAGGAATACATCCAGAAGACGCTCAAGGAGTGCCGCGCCGAGGTTCGCAGCCAGGACATGGGTTGGTTCCCTCTTTCCCTCTCTTTCTCTCTTCTAACGCGATTCTGATTCTGATTTTGATTGTGCCTTCATCTAGACCTCAAGGCAACGGCTCTTCTAAAGCTCATCTACCTTGAAATGGTCGGCCACGACATGTCATGGGCCTCCTTCCATGTCCTCGAGGTCATGTCGTCGCCCAAGTACCACCAGAAGCGCGTGGGATACCTAGGCGCTGTGCAGAGCTTCCGGCATGACACTGAAGTTCTCATGCTAGCTACCAATCTCCTAAAAAAGGTATTTCATGAGATCACTTTCCATTGCTCCTCTCAGGGACTGCTCGATGCTGATTCTTCCATCATTAGGACTTGGCTGCCACCACTCCAACAGTTATATCCCTTCCGATTGCCACTCTCCCCCATGTCATTACTCCGTCCTTGGCTCTCTCGACCCTCGCCGACTTGCTACCACGCTTGAACCATAGCCATGCAAACATACGCAAAAAGACCCTCGTCACACTATATCGCCTGGCGCTCGTATACCCTGAGGCTTTGCGTGCTGCCTGGCCAAAGATCAAAGATCGCCTGATGGATCCCAACGAAGACCCGAGCGTAACGGCAGCCATTGTCAACGTTGTCTGTGAGCTTGGTTCGCGGCGACCCCATGACTTTCTGCCTCTGGCGCCACGACTCTTCGAACTGTTGGTGGACAGTGGTAACAACTGGATGGCCATCAAACTCATCAAGCTCGTCTGTCTCTCCTATCCCTCAGGCTCTACTTCTGTTTAGGCTAACATCATGGTTCAGTTTGCGACATTAACACCGCTTGAGCCTCGTCTTGTCAAAAAACTGTTGCCTCCTCTTACTAATATTATCCGAACCACTCCTGCCATGTCATTGCTGTACGAGTGTATCAATGGCATCATACAAGGTGGCATTCTAGACAGCGCCGAGGACATCGCGGGAGCTGATGAAATTGCAACCCTTTGTGTCAATAAGCTGCGAGGAATGATAATGATTAATGGCGATGCAAATCGTGAGTACCATGATGTAAATTTTTGATGAACTACTTGAAGTGGCTAACCTATCCATTCAGTAAAATATGTTGCCTTGTTGGCCTTTAACAAGATTGTTCTTACACACCCACATCTTGTTTCTCAGCAGGAGGATGTCATTCTGGAATGTATCGATAGTACAGATATTACCATCCGCGTCCAAGCCCTTAATCTTGTAAAGGGCATGGTTACCAGCGATAACTTGGTCCCCATAGTGAGCCGCCTGATGAAGCAGCTCAAATCTTCTTCGCCGTCCAAGGATCGTCGTCCTCCAGGAAGCTCATCCAACACTCCCGAAACAGAATCAGACGATGAATCGCAAACTGCTATTACAGCGCCAACTGTCCGAGACACTCAAGCTCTCCTCATTCCTGATGACTACCGAATAGACATCATTGAAAGAATCTTGTTCATGTGTTCCAAGGACAACTATTCGAGTGTATTGGACTTTGATTGGTACATTGATGTACTGACACAGCTTGTTCGAATGGCTCCTGTCCCCCGAACGTTCGATGCCGATACAGGCGCCTTACTCCCGACCCGCCAGCAGGTTGACGTTTCCGAAAAAGTAGGAGACGAGCTGCGCAATGTTGCTGTCAAGGTCAGAGCAATGAGGGCAACTGCGGTTAGGGCAGCGGACGTTATTCTCGACCAGTTGCTCAGTGATAATCCGGTTGGACATCCGCTCAGTTCAGGGGCTCTAAAGTCGTCCATATGGATCATTGGTGAATACTCTATACAGCTAGCCCTGCCAGACGATAGTCTCAACGGGCTCCTCCAGGCCATTCCGAGAATCGGGAAACCAGAGATCGTTGCGGTAGCCCTCCATGCTACTGCCAAAGTCTTCTCATCAATCGCCGGTAGCGAAGTTGAATCGTGGACCTCGGAACGAAAATCGAGGATATCACTCCTCCTTGCACGCATATTAGATGTGTTAGAGCCGCTTGCCCTTCACCCGAATCTTGAAGTGCAAGAGCGGGCGGTAGAGTTCATAGAGCTGCTCAAGCTGACGGCAGAAGCGGCTTCAGGACAACCTCCATCAACAGATGAAAATAGCCAAGAGCCGCCATTACTCCTCACACAGGCTATTCCATCCTTGTTTACTGGCTGGGAACTCAATTCGGTTGCTGTTCATGCGCAAAAGAATGTGCCCCTTCCAGGGGGTTTGGATTTAGATGAACCAATTCACAGCAGCCTCGGCCGGCTCTTAGCTCAAATTGATATTGTTACCCTTCAGTCAGATGAGGCTGATGAGTTTGAGGTTTACTATCACCAACGACCGCCCCCTTCAAGCATCTCATCATCGGCTCCTGCCATTAGCAGACTGGCCGATCCAGATGATGACATGGCAAGCTCCTATCAACAACTCAGCGAGGAGAGTTATTTGGATGCAGACATTCTGGCGAAGCGAAAGGCAGAAAGGATGGAGAAAAACAAAGATGACCCCTTTTACATCCCGAGCGATAATATCCTCAGGACATCAACCCCCATTCATAACATCCTACAAAACCAGAATGGTCCCGCCTTGGATATCGATTCCATTCCCGTCATGCAACTAGACCTTGAGAAGATTGGAAGTACAGTCGCTGCGCCCTCTCGACCGCGACCTCAACCACGGCAGAGAGTCATTGTTGCTGCAGATGAGACCCTGGAAGGGAGTGACAGCGGCACTGGGCGACAATACGACTCAGAAAATAGTTCTAGTAATCTCACCAAGGCCAAATCTAAGAAATCAAAGCAGCACTCTCTTCTACAAGTTGACTCGAGCACTATTGGGTCCTTCAGCCTAGAAGGAAACGCCTCTGAAGGATTCGACTATGAAAGGCAGCAGCGGGAGGAGGCGGAGATGCAGCAGGCCATGAAGGAGGTGGAGCGGTTACGACTGGAAATGCAGCGGGCCAACGAGAGGATTCAGATGGCTCAGGGGGCGGATGTACAAGGCGTCGTCATAAAGAAGAAGAAGAAGAAGGTGGCCAAGAAGACTGCGGGTGACGATGAGAACGAACCTACGAAGGTGAAGCCAAAGAAGAAGACCAAAAAGGTAGCGGCACAGACGGCGGAAGGTGGTGAGCCTGGCGGCGCAACTGAAGATGCGCCGGGGAGTCCTTCTACGAAAGTAGCGCCAAAGAAAAAGAAGAAGAAGAAGGCACCCGTCGAAGAAGTCGAGGCAACGGGAGAGGCAGGATCTTTAGTATGAGGCTATCGTCTTGGTGTGTCTGGGAAATAGAAACAAGGGGAAATACTCCCCTTTTGCCGCGTAAAAACAAGTTTGTACATATGGAGATGATTTGTATAGAGGAGCAGGCGAGCGTAGTCTTCGTCAAGAGAACAAAAGGGGGACATCACTATATCTATCACATTTTTTCATTTCCCTCCATAAGAAATCACTGTCACCGACGAAGAGAAGAAAATGCCAGGATAGCAATACTAGAATAAAAGATATTTCCAAAACAATAAAAAAACAAAAAAGCAAGATAGTGTAGCGCATATATGGCATCTCAACCTCCCCCCCTTAATCCCCCCTTGTCCTATAATCCCTCCCTTTACTCCAGATTTCCAGCCAACGCATCTATCTAGCCCTTCATACCAAACTTTTTTTGTTTTCCTTCTCTCTCACGACAAAGGGAAAGACAGTCCATACACAAGTTTCGCCATTTGCTCTGGTGAATCTACAACAAACAAAAGCACACACATTTCGTCATGGTCCGTAATCCATACAATGCAAACGAGAAGGGAAAACGTGTCATCATAGCTGGAGATTACTAGTACTCCATCGGTCTGTCCTCCAGTGTCACGCCGCGAGGGCTGGTCTCCCTTGGTGGAGTGGCGGGATCGCCGCCACCAAACTTGGCTGCGGCTCCCCTACCCAGGCTGTCACGCTTTTCCAAGCCCGGCTCGGGCTCAACCTCTGACTTGAGGGGAGATCCGTTCGTGGCGTCTGGGGGACTGGTGCTGCCATCTGGCGCAGGAACCTCCAAGCTGGATCGCTTGATGGCGTTCAGACTGCCAAGACTGCTGCGGTGGCGGTCTGACGAGGTTGTTGGGCTGGTCTGGATAGGAAATCGAGTCTCAGGGCCGCCGCTGCTTCGCTCTCGTCGGTGACCTCGCGGGCCAGGAGCTGGACTGGTGGCGCGGCTTCGCGGGGCGTGGTGGATCTTCTTCTCGAGTAAGGCCTTGTTCCTCTCTTCCATCAGAGCTTTCCTGTTGCTTTCATCGGTACTAATCGCCCGAGGACGTCCCGGGACGGCGATGGAGTGGCTGGCAGTTGACATGCGCTTGAGCTCGCTGAAGATTGCGTCTTTATTCGCAAACAAGTCACGGACAAGTCGGCTCGCGTGCTTCTCTTCCATTGTGAGAGAAGTTTCTGTTCGTGGGCGGAGGACGCAAGGAGCCAAAGAAGTGGCCAAGGCCGCAACGTACTCCTCATCAGCCGAAGTAAGATCAATGAGACGCGTAAAGTGGTTCATGCAAGCGTCCAATGTCGCAATGTTGGTCAATCGCAGCTGTGAAAGAGTCTGTTGAAGTACCGCAATTCGAGAGGTCTCTGACGAGTCGGTGGCCGGGGTGGTGTAGATTGTTCGAACGATTTCGTAAACGTGAGAGGAAACCAGAGAGTCTAGTAAAGGAGAGAAAACAAATATTAGTTTACGCAGAGGTCTTTAAATGAAGCGGGCCAGTGCTGTTTCTTACCAGGAAGTTCTAGTAGATAAAGCTTGAGAAGGGTCGCAACGGTGGGAATGTCAAATTCGTCGAAAACCTCGGGAGCAACTGGCTTGCCGTTGTTGATCTTTGCACGAAGCTTGTGTGTCTGGGCCAGGGGCACATCGAGCAGCCATACTCCTCGTCTCGCTTCATCGCCCTCCAAGTCAGGGTAGTGGTTGTCGAGATAGGTCAGGATAGTGGTGATGATAATCGGCACACGTTTCTTATCGGCTCTCGCGCGCGCCTCCAGATCAACGCCAAAAGTCTGCTCGTCAACCTTGTTGTAGTAATTCTCATAGACTACAACCTTTGGAATGAAGCTTCCAGTGCGGTAGTTTTCCAAAAGATATCGGAGATCGCCCGAGGGCTGCACAGTCTCCTGGAAAAGCATCATTTTGTCTACAGTCGACTGTAGGCTGGGAATGACGTTGCCAATGGTTCCCGTGAAGTCGAGGATGACTGTCTTGATAGCCTTCAACCGATCGAGCTCACAGCGCTCGAGAAACTTGAGGTGCAGGAAGATGAGCTCTTCCAGTTCGCAACGGAGCTCATCAAGCTTCTGGACACCGGCCTTGTATGTCTCATCCGCCTCCTTTGCTTCGCGCTGCAACCGCTGAGGAGCGGTCTCGCCAGGCCTAGAGTTGCCGAGCACACTCCAGCCGGACAGCAGCTCGCTCACGGTTCCAACGACGGGTGATGAGTCGCCACCATCTGAGCCCGTAGCAGGCATGGAGAAAGTCCGGCCAAGCGTCTGCTTCTTCTCGGGGATGCCCGCAAGTTGAAAGGCCTTGGGTCTCCACTGGTAAAACATCTTGGACGAATTGGCAAACGTGTTTCCGACATTTCCAATGAGGCGCAACATGCCGTTGGAGATGAGATCCTGCCCAATTCTCTCAGCGTAACTGACGCTGGTGGTTCCCATGCTCCGCTGAAGATACTCGACGATATCTGAGCCGGCAGATGTGTTGAGATATGTACCCAGAATGGGGACCTTGGTTTCTCCCATCTTGATTGTCGACAACATTTGGGAGAGGATTTTCTTCATCTGCTCGGGTTGGTAGACATCGTCGCCAATCTCGTAGACCTCCTCATTTTGGGGCTCTTCCTCCTTGTGAGGTTGAACCTTGATCTCGGGAATCGGCGGGGCATTTGTCTGGGCTTGCTTGGGGCTGGATTCCGGGTCCTGGAAAGCAAGCTTGTTCTCCTCTTCCAGGTCTTCCACCAGTCGGCACTTGTTGAAATAGTTTGACCGCAGCTTTTTGACCACCTCAGCTTGTTTGTCGTGCGCCTTGATTCGGAGCTGGAGAACATCTTGAGAATCCTGGATACGGGTCTCGTGAGCGTCGCACCATCGAGAAAAGGGATTGACGACTAAGTCGCGGATGCTCTGGGCAATTCGGATGTGGCTTTGCGAAGCCTCCTGCATCTCTGCTCGCATGCCATCGTAGGCCTACACATTTCGAGAGTTAGCGAAACCATTGCCTAGTCCATACACCAATGCAAACCGCAGCAGCGCAGCTTAGATCCAACTTGACTGACTGACCTTGCGAACAGTAGCGCCGTCATCTCGAGAGAAGCCGCCAGTCAACTTGTCTGCGGCCGGCGCAATATCACTTAGACGCTGTCCATACGCTTCTTCGGCCTCGGCGCGCAATCGAGCTATGGTAAGCACCTGGCGATCTTCTACAACACCCTGCTGCAGCTTGCTGAAGAGGACACCCAGTCCTAACGACGGTTAGAAAATGACGGCGGCAAGCACTTGCGCAGGGTCTGGGATTCAAAATACCAGCAGCATAATCGTTCGACCAGAAGGAATCGGCGAATCCAGGCATCGTTATCTATTCGGAGTTCGACCGTTGAACCGTGGGAGCATGCGATAGCTACGTCGTAATGCTGCCGAGGGGCTATTTTGAAAGGGGGGGTTCTTCACTCGCTAGCGAGTTACGGAGTTGAAAAAAAGACTTCCAGCAACTCGATGATCGCAACGATGAGGAGCTCCTAACACAGCCAGGAACACCCGCAAGAAGGAAAAGAAAGAAGAAATAGGGGCGCCAAAAATGTGACAAAGGAGAAGACACAAAATCAGCGCGCCGGGGGTCGTAACACGAATTGGAGCGGTGGCAACGAAGATCGGGCCGTCGAGTCGAAGTTGCGAAGAGGAAAGATAAGATATGGTATTAGCAGAAAGCAGAAGCAGAAGCAGCGAGAAATAGAAGACCAAGGCTGGACAAGAGCTTCGCAGAAGGCTCGAGAATAAGGAGAGGAAGTGCGCTGTGCTCCGCAGTGAGCAGATGTTAAATGCAAGCACAAAGATGGTGAGAGGCTCACATGGAGGCGGTTTGGCCGAAACAGCTAGAGCCCAGGTACGAGGTGCCAACGGAGGTCCCCTAGCCAGCGCCTGAGGTTTAGTGGTTTAGTGCAGGGAGGAGAACGAGGCTCAGACGCAGGTAGACGCAGGTATGCATGCACATGGCGGGCTGTTAGGCGATTGGCAGGGCAATGGCCGGGCTCCCCTATTATTGCCTGCTCCTGCTCCAGGTACCTCTTTTCCTCGAATCACCTCTGGCGGCTAGCAGGCAAACAGCATCCCAAGTCTTTTTTGGCGCTGACTGTGCTTGTATTCAAGTTTGACAGAAGCTGGACTGGACTCCATTCGTACATGCACAGGTACAGGTACATGCCAACAGAAGTAGCATTACCCAGTAGTGGTTGGCCATTCGCTCACTAGCTGGCCAACCAGCAGTCCCGTTATTAATAGGCCGCAGTGTAGTCATGATGGTAATAATCCCACAATACGCTCGTTCTCTCTCCTCTCTGTCTTCACGAGCTGGGTACGGGCGACCTGACCTACCTTGCATGTACCCGGGCGTTACTGGTTAGCGGCACCCGCCTGCAAGACTCAGGAGCAGATATCAAAAAGCAGGTACTTGGTACTATCAAAGTACGAGTACAGCGCTTTGCATGATTCCCTGCAGCAGTTGCAGATTCTGTACGAAGCTCCTGGTTTCCGCAACGTGCTTACGCTCTTATGAAGGGACTCTTGGTCATTTCGGCATCTTGGACAGGGCACGGGCCAGCCGTATTAATATTCTGCGTCTGCCTTTTTTTCACCGTATCGTCAAATATGGTCACCGCCTCATTGATATCAATTCCACTGCACGAACCCCAATTGACGGCGAAATGCGCTGCTTTTTCTTGTTTGGGACCGTAATATAGCTAGCTGCCACTAAGTAGTACTAAGGTGTCAAGTCAGCGAGGAGGAGTCGAAATTCCTAGCGACCAAAGTCAAGTGCTTCCATTCTCTCTTTTAGCTTCTGTCAGTGTCAGCCACGTAAGGCCGTTGGAGTTGATGCTATTCTTAGGGGAGCGGGTCATTCAATGACAGATTTTGCACAGTGGAAAACGCGGCCATACTTACTTGGTCGTAGGGCGAATCGTTGATAACAGAGGGTCGGGGTGCGTGCGGTGAAGATGTGTAGATTTGCTTGTGAAGATGTGCAGCAGGGAGATTGATTTCTATGCAATATTGCACAGCAGGAAAGCAAGAGCCAGTCATATCATCCAGTCTGCGGTTCGTGATAAGAGGCACGAGGAGGGATGATGTAGCAGTACCTGCCTGAGACCTTCAGATATCAATCCAGTGCCTGGCTTGTACAGTACAGCACTAATCTCGCCGAGTTTGTGGATGCCGCGTGCATGCCATCAGGTGCGCCGGTATGCCTTGGCGTTCAGCCTCGTGGGCGGAGAACATGTGCCCTTGCGCTTTTGTTTTCTACGGTTGGTTGTAGCCTCTAAATGCTCAAATGCTACTGGAAGCTGATTTGATGTTCTTGTTCTCCATGAGGTCAAGGGCCATGAACGGGCCAGTACTTAATAACACTTCGTCAAGCCAATCGACGGTCAGAAGCGAGAGCTGTACCTACGTTAGCACTGCTTCAGATCTACCAGCGCCGGTTCCCCCACCGTGTTCTCGCCCGTCAGCATAAGACATGCAGTCTAAGCCGGTACGGTAACGTACCTAGCTGAAGGTTTATTGCCCACTGAGGCACAGGACAACACCAAAAAACGCAGACAAAATACAGGTAGCATATAGTATTTCATCAGGTACTGGTGATTCGTTACGCAGAAAATGATGCCATCACAAATAGTAGTTGCACAAGCAGTCCAGATGCCGAGGCTGCTCATTCTACGGAGTACACACTCATCTACCCCGGGGGTTTAGTAAGACTCCGCGCCAAACCGCGTACTATCTTAACCAGATTGCGTATCTCGGAGATAATCATCCTCCCCTTCACAGTCGTTTCACTCGTTTGACAACCCTCAACCGCCTCAAATGGCCGCAAAATCGTACACGATTCTGCCCACCGCAGAGAGGGCAGGCTATTACCAAAAGTCGCGCAGGCCAAACTACAAGAAACTCGCCGCGGGTATCGCACTGGTTATTGCGTCCATCGGCTTGCTTTATAAGCCGGCAATCTCTCACTACGAACGCATCTATCAACAGTCACACTCCAAGACGCACTCAGTCGAGGAGAGAGCGCGCACTATCTTGTCGACTACTCCTTTGATTGGTAAGACACTCAAAGTCTGCGCTTACATGAAAAGGGATTCAAGGCAAAGGTCTAACACCCAATGCGATATGTAGATGGTCACGTCGACTTTCCTCTCGTTCTGCGCGGCTATTATGGCAATCATCTAGACGGAGACTCATTCACCGGCCCCTTTGAAGATGGAACGCTCAAGGGCCACGTCGATCTCGCTCGACTAAGAGCTGGTCGCGCGGGAGGTGCTTTCTGGAGCGTCTTCGCGCCGTGCCCAAAGAACGGCACAGACTTTTCGGATGCCAATTATGCTGATAGTAAGAGCTCTGTCACGCCATTACTCACCGCGTCTTTCGCATACTGATTCTTCACAAAAGGCCTCCAATTCACGCTGCAGGAGATTGACATCATGAAGAGGGTGTTTGCCGCTTATCCTGATGACTTTGCCCCTGACGTCGACGGCTCCGATGCGATCTCTGCATTCCGGGCTGGAAAGCTGATCTCCCCATTGGGTGTTGAGGGTCTTCACCAGATTGCCAACCTGGCTGGCAACCTACGCTTGTATCGCGATCTCGGTGTGAGATATGCGACATTGACTCACAACTGCCACAACAAGTTTGCAGACGCTGCCCTGTTGGAGAGTCCGTTGAGGGTAGCCCCGCCGGCTTGGAACGGCCTCAGCGATGATGGACGCCAGTTGGTTCACGAAATGAATCGTATTGGTATGATTGTCGATCTCGCTCACGTCAGGTATGTTAAGCCCCTCCGGTCATATGTGAAAACCCCCACTCACTCTCTTATAAAGTGAAAAGACAATGGTGGATGTCCTTGGCGGGACGTCATGGGAAGGTTCTAAAGCACCCGTCATCTTCTCGCACAGCTCGGCCCACAGCATTTGCCCTCACCCGCGCAACGTCAAAGACCACGTCCTCCAGCTGGTAAAGAAGACCAACTCCGTAGTCATGGTCAACATTGCTCCGCAGTTCATCTCGTGTGTCGAAGGTGACAACGAGTACGGCCTTCCCGACGACGATCCTGACAACGCCACCTTGGAAAAGGTCGCTGATCACATTACCTACATTGGAAACCTCATTGGCTATGACTACGTCGGCGTCGGCACCGATTTTGATGGCATTGGATCCGTCCCCACGGGTCTCGAGGATGTCTCCAAGTATCCCGACCTGATCGCCGAACTGTTACGACGAGGAGTCAGCGACGTGGATGCCGCAAAGATTGTGGGAGGCAATGTTATTAGGGTCTGGAAGGAGGTGGACGCTGTTTCTGCTCAACTCAAGGCCGATGGCGCGCCCATCATGGAAGACAAACTGTAAGCGTAGCAGATATATAATATATAGCGTTTTCTTCGTACGTTATTTTTGTCATATACACGTATTATACAAGGCCTGGTACACGCAGGCGATATTCTTTTTGACGCATTCCCATCCTTTGGGCTGGCTGCGAATTGTAACCTCCCGATTGCTGTTCCGAAACTCCGTATCCTCTCCGCCAACTTGAGCTCAGCCAGAATTCTAAGCTCTGCGATCTACTCTGTTGAGCTTGTTGGCGGTCGCTGTCTGTGTTCTCGTTCGCTGGCCCCGGACTGGCAGGCCCATGGCATGCCGCCTGCCTCGGTAGGATCCTATATCCTTCAATCTTCTGATGTTTTCCTGCACTTGTCTTCTTGCGTCTGTCTCTATGGACATTTGCGACAGTTCCGCCGTCAGGGAAGTTACTGTCCTCGGCGCTAATGAGCCGATTTTGGCAAGCTGGTGAATCGAGTATTTGGCCATGATGCGGGCAGAAGTTGTCGGGCCGAGAGCGTAGAAAGATTCGAGGGCTTTCTGCTTGAGTGTTAGAGTCGAACATTGGAAATCGAACGACAAAGCTGTGTTCCGGATCGCAGGCCTTCTTCATACCTTGACCAGCTGCCCCTCGTGGAAGCTGACTCCCAAGATGAACACCTAGAATAAATTGATTAGTCTCACATGTATCTTCCATATAGAATCATTAGCAGCAATTGCGTACCATTTTTTATGTCTATGCGAATTGCAAGTCGCACTCTAGAAACACCCAAACGCTACAATGCGCCAGTCTCTTCTCTCTCTACTTGCGCACCTTGAGAAATCTCGACCAGGCCATTGTGGTGTGGTGCCAGCCGGGTAAATAGTGGCTAAATGCATCCACCTAAACAGGCAGGCCAGGGGATTTGCTGTGGAGTCTCACCCACGCTTGCAGCCACTGATGCTTGAAAGCGGACAAGCGGGGCAAGGCGTGAAACGGACCGAGCTGCAGTTGCGATACTAAGCAAGGTGTACCAGTATATCTGTCCATCTTTATCTTCCCGGCTCTTCTTCTCCTGCTTCTCGACAATACGCAAGACCGAGATCCAATTGTCACTCGTCCAGCCATTCACCATGTTGACCTTCAGGCGGCTCTTTACCACCGCCATCTTGTTGGTGGTGGGATTGCTCTTCTTCGTCAAGTCGGCCGAGGCTGCCAAGGGCCCCAAGATCACCCACAAGGTCTACTTTGACATTGAGCACGGCGACGAGAAGCTGGGCCGAATTGTCCTGGGTCTGTATGGAAAGACTGTCCCCGAGACCGCTGAGAACTTCCGCGCTCTTGCCACTGGCGAGAAGGGCTTCGGCTACGAGGGCTCTACCTTCCACCGTGTTATCAAGCAGTTCATGATCCAGGGTGGTGACTTTACCAAGGGCGACGGCACCGGTGGCAAGTCGAGTAAGGATATAGCCCCAGAGACGATTCCCAAGGTGCCTGTCTATCTGACTAACAACTGCTGCGTCTAGTCTACGGCAACAAGTTCAAGGATGAGAACTTCAAGCTGAAGCACACCAAGAAGGGTCTCCTGTCCATGGCCAACGCTGGACCTGACACCAACGGCTCTCAATTCTTCATCACCACTGTTGTTACCTCGTATGATTGCCTCTTTCCCCCTTCTCCTCTAGACATTGATGAGAAAAAGAAGAAGAAAAGCTAACGTAATGCTCAACAGATGGCTCGACGGCCGCCACGTCGTTTTCGGCGAAGTCCTCGAGGGTTACGACATTGTCGAGAAGATTGAAAACGTCCCGACTGCCGCCGGTGACCGCCCATTGAAGACTGTCAAGATCGCCAAGAGTGGCGAGCTGGAGGTCCCTCCCGAAGGTATTCACGTCGAGCTCTAAATTTACTTTACATGGTAGACTCCAACTCTTCAATGTACTCTCTTGACTGGTATACTGATGAGTTTGGTCTTGATTTCAGAAGAGCCCTCCGGTACGGCTAACGCACCCGGAGCCGTTGGTGATGACGTAGCGGGGGTTATCGACGCTGATGGTGCGGGTTCTGCAGGATTTGGAGCACTCCGTGTGGTGATGTTTGCTGCTGTTGGTGCTACCATTATCGGCCTCACTCTCCGATTCAGGAAGTCTGGCAAATCCGCCCATGAGAAGAACTTGGCCTGATTCAGTGAACTGCGAAGCATATAAATAAATGTTAAAGATTGGTTACAGAATGTTCCTGGCCACTGTATTGTGATGAAATTTCATAAAGGAAAATTCCATGAATTGATTCTTCAAACTTGCAATTATACATTCATCTGTTTTTCTGTATGTTGTAGAGATCATAAGGAGTGCAACTGTATTGAAAGCGCGGAGTCCCCTGTCACGTGGATCGTGCAACTGTGGGAGGGAAGAAAAAAAAGTTGGAGATCCGCTTTGGGACAAGCAAATGCTGTGTCTCGGGCTAGTACTAAAGTTTCTACTACTTAAGTTGGCGGATATTTTCATACCATAAATACAGCACAGAATATCAACTGAAATAAGAACGATAAGAAGCAAACCTGAAAAACGAAGAAGAAGAGAAGAGAAAGGAGCACACGAAAAATGAAGGTCCTCAGTCTCAACTTCCTGACCTGCGCCGTCAAGGCCTGCAAGTCCTCATCCAGCTCATATCCCCTCCACCCTCAAGACGCAGAACTGGTGCAGGATGAAATCGAGCTCAACCCAGACATGCTGATCAACGTGCTGCCACGTCTAGACTGGGCAGCTCTGCGAACGACTTCATCAGAGGTAACGTTATTCTCTTACATCTTATACCAATCATAACCAAGGGTATACACAGAACGATCCCCCCGGTGAACTAACTCTGGAACTTTTCGAATAGCTCGGCTTTCCGCCTCTGCCTGAACAGGCGCCTACGCAGGATGAGCTGCGGGCTGATGAGAAGACGTTGAAGGACTTGCACCACTTGTTGCTGGAGACGCAGATTTCCGAGGGGAAGCTGGTGTGTGCCAACTGCGGTCACTCGTATGCCGTCAAGGAGGGCATTGCAAACTTCTTGCTGCCCAGTCATTTGGTGTAAGTTTTTGTGCTGTTGAAAGGCATTGGGAGGGTTTCCAGGATTGACTTGAGTGAAAAAAACAGGTAGTTAAGTTACAAGGGAGGAGATTGTCATGGGATGATAGGAGTACAGGCGTTTGTTTGTTTGGTCAATAGACATGGCCAAAATGGTCGGATAGAGAAAAATTAAGATTTCATGTCTTCACTATTATGCATTTCCGGTTCACATCATCTCTGCAGAAAGTACCATAAAAATTGTATTCTTTTGATATAATACTCGCGAAAAGCAAACACATACCCCTATACTGGAAATTAAAGAATTATTGTTACAGGATTCTCACGCATAACCTCGCTACATGATATCTTGCCAGGACCGGCAGATGCATTACTGGTTCTTCTTCTGTGCGGCAGGGCCCATGTCTTTCTCAAACGCACCATATGACACCTCGAGGCTTCCAAGAGCTCTAATACCAACGCTAAGAATAGCAAGCAAAATAACTGCGGTGATGAGCGCCATGAAGATACCTAGATGCTGATTAGCCCATGTATATGATTGCGAAGTGAGCATTTCAATTCCTACCGGGAGTAAAGAACTGGTACTTCTCGAACAAGGGGAGCTTGTCCCACTCGGTGTTGTTGCCTCCCTTTGACGGCTCGTCGCTCTGAACATTTCTCTTCAGCTCCGTCCGGAGAGCTTCTTCGAACTCGGGTTCGTAGATTGGCTCGCCTGGGGTCGAGTAGAAGAGGAATGTATAGCTGTCGCCCTCCGTGGCCTTCTCAAGGCCTTGTGCAAGTTTATCATCTGCCATATTATTAGCTACCGTCAAGGCCGACTATTGCAGTTTCAGCAGGACAAACCGTTGGCAGCGAATGCGGCAGCCCTGCCCTCCCAAGACAAGGGAGACAGATGGATTTCCTCCACAGTGGCTGTCTTGCCCTGCTTAGCACAGGCAGACTTGATGTATTCTGATAGTTGTGCATCTTCCAGGTTTCCTACGACCTCATTCACAATGGATTTGCCCTTAATTCGCTCGTCATCGACGACTTTGCAGAGATGCGGCATCACGCAGCCATTGGACCGGCGGATGTCTTGGGTGTTCAAGCCAGGCTGGGAGACAATGAGGTAACGATCGGTTGGGCACGTCGACAGCGCATCTTTGGTGAAGCCCAACACTGAAGAGCTGGTTTGAATCGAATCCGCGCTGGGGGCCTTGGCAAAGCTATGATGTGAATCTGGTCAGCGCCTCGAGCTCATATCAAGAGCATCATATCAAGGATATCAGTGACGAAGCATACGGCGACGTTGACAAAAGAATCCATGGCGATGAATCGAAAAAGGCGTTTGCCGCGCCGGAAAACGCCAAAAGGCTCGCAATCGTCTGGAAATGCATGGCCGCAGTTGTTTGTGATTCTGGCCAGCAGATGGTCTGGGTTGCAGATTAAGAAGCCGAGAACTTGGAGCTTCGGAGGTGCGACAGCGCGCTGCATCATCCGCCGAATATGCAACTATCGCAGTTATTGCTAAATCCGGGATCCCTTGCAGCTTGGATAAGTCGTCAGCTATTACCTTTTTCTGGACGAATACGCTAGTACTAAGTAGGCAATACTGGGACGATAATGCAAGCTCCCTGAAAATCGGCCTCAAATTATTTTCTAGATAAGGTGGATGGGAAATTTTACAATCACGACAACAGGTGACAAAAGTTGCAGCAAAAACTAAACCCCCAAATAATTACTTAAATTACAGCACCATGTTTGCAAAGCCGAGACCCAAGAAGAGCGTCCTCCCTCCACCGAGCAAAAAGCGCAAGTATGGCGTTGAAGAAGTCTCTTTCGACTTTGACGCTCGACAGGAATACCTCACTGGCTTCCATAAACGGAAACAACAGCGTATAAAGCTGGCACAGGAAGAAGCTGCTAAGAGAGCACGCGAGGAGAGGTTAAGGACGAGGAAACAGGTAATTTGCTTCTTCCCGGGTTTACTGGTAGTGCTTCTCGTTGCTTGGTCTAATGTTTGCATCGTGGATAGATTCGAGATGAACGCAAGCGAGAAGTTGAGGAGCACGTCGAGCACGTCAATAAGCTACTTCGGGAATCAGGCGCCATTGAGGTTGACAGCGCCGATGAGCAATCAGGATCGGGCGAAGAGGCGAACGAGGGAGAATGGACCGGGTTTCCAGACCGACCAAACCTTGACATTGTTGATCACGAAGAGGAGTACATAGACGAAGACCGATATACAACAGTCACAGTTGAGTCCGTCTCAATATCAAGAGATGGCTTAGAACGGCCCGAGAAGCCTCAAGAAAAGACCGAGGGAGATCAAGAGCAAGAAACGGAGAAAGCGGATCAAGACAAACCAAAAGCCAAGGAATGGCCCAAGAAGAAGAAGCAGAAATTCCGTTACGAGTCGAAATTCGACAGGCAGCTTACAGAGAGGAGGCAAAAGGCGAAGAGCAAAGCCAAGAGCAAGGCGCGCAGGTCGGAATGAAGGCTTTGAAGCACGAATATAGTTGCCAGCTTCGGTAGCGATCTATGGATACCCCAAAAAAGGAAAAAGAAAAAAAAAGAACATGGTGATGAAACACGTAATTGTTGTAATGCTGCTGCTAAACATGACGCTTCCCTGTGACACTTGAATCTTCTCTATCAACACGCGTCCCGCAACATCCTACATTATTTCCTTTGTGGTGCCTATAAGGGGTCCAGCCGCACAACAGTTTGTGTTGGGCAGCCAAAGGGTATGCTGGCCAGCGAGTACAATTTAAATGTTTCCAATCTCGTTCTGGAGCTCCTCCAGCTCCTTCTGCAGATCGGTGTGCTTCTTTGCCATCTCCTCATACTTCTGCTCCCACTGGTCGCGTTCATTCTCAAGGGCCTGGACCTTGCGCTCGAAGTGGCCGGCCTTGACATCAGTTTGTCGGAGCCTATGATCGACATGTTAGCACGAGACCTCGGTGGAAGCGACCACGACGTGTGGGAGGGGTTGATAGAGTGGTATAACGTGCTCCTAAGGTGAACATACTTCTCGTTAGCCTCGCGCAGAGTCTTGTCGGCCTCCTCAGCCTCCTCTTCGAGCAGCTGCAGTCGTCGCTGCAGTGTCTCGTTCTGGGTTCCGTGCTCTTGTCCCTCATCGGCTACCTTTTTGAAGTCCTTGATGGCAGTCTCCAGCTTCTCGACCTCGCCCTCAAGGAGGCCGTTCTTGTGTTGCAGAGAAGTAATGTCCTGCTCTTTGGCCAGGTTCTCCTGCTCGAGAGTCTTGACCTTGGTCTGGAGCTCCTCCACCTTGGCAATGGCCTCATCAGCCTCCAAGCGGAGCGAGTTCATTTTCTAGCTCATGCCGTTAGCCCGCGCCTCCCCAGGTCGGTGTAGCTTTCCCGAGAGTTTTACCTCCTTGATGCGATCCATTTTGAAGTTGCGAAAGATTCAGCGGTATTAGGTGGGTTTTCTTGGTAGAGGTCGGGAGAGGGACTGTAGAGGATTCGAAGCGTAAGAGGTAGAGTGTACTCGTAACAGAGCAGAGTAGAAGTAGAGTAGAGTAGAGTTGTCAAACCAGCCTGGAAAGGGGGTGGGGTAAGGAGAGTGTCTTGATGCCCCTCTACGATGCCTCGTCTGTGGCTGGTCGCGCCCCGCCGAGCCTTTAGGGACCTGGTACTGTAATAACACCTGAGCTGCCCTCCAGCAACTGGGCTCCGTACCTGCTAGGTACCCAGAAGGCTTAGTGCTAAGCCAGTATCGAGCACTAGGTACCCCGAAGAGGTCCCTCCACGGAATCTACAGCAGGCAGGAACATCACCCATGCAAGGCGCCCAATCTGCCTCGGGGCGCATGACAACTAGAGACTTTTGCAGAAATTGGGGGTTCTTAGTAGAGGCGAAACAGGTCAAGTGATGCTGCAAGTACCGCCAAACGGGGATGACAGGATGAACTTACGCAACCATACAAAGATGGTAACTAAAAATACAAAGGAAAAATGACATGTACGTCGACACAATGACGAATAGGTACCTGGATGTCTCTATCAATACAAAGAATAATGAAATCGCAATATGCTATGCGAAATTATCATTGTCTATTATCATTTTATTGCTGGTTCTTTGAAAGCACAAGCCACAGCTTCTTTGAGTCTCTCTTTCTCCTTATCGATTTGCCCATGCAATATAATGTTCTTGGCTGTGAAACACTGTGCGCTAGTACTAATTCGGCATCAGTCCTGAAATCAGACTCTTACCTAAAATGCACTAAGCAGAGAGAGCCTTCCGCAGTCTCAGTTGTCCGGTCAACGCCATATCAGCGGGACTCTCAATACGCGCCACTCTAGCACTACGAAATTCAACATTACTACTATCGGCGGTTGTTCACACATTGAGATTTTGTCCCGTGGAAGGCATGATATATGCTTTCTGGGGATTTCCCATCTGAAGAGAAAAGGAACGGCTATATTTTCTGAGTTCCACTGCTCACAACAACAATGCTGTCCTCCCATCGAGAGCAGGAGAATCGGCTTCTCAGCCACCAGGTTCCCTCCAAACAGCAGCCAAAGACACCCGGCATGCGATATCCGAAGACACCAATCGGTTTGGGCCGAGGCAACGAGAATGCCTTGACTGGATTTGCTGGCAAAAATGCAATTCAAGGAGCGGGCAACCTTGGAGAGAATCAAAAATTCATCTCCAAGAAACCCATGACGACCCCCACGGGTATGTAGGCCCTATTGCGTATAAGAGCTTGACAAGATACTCTGATCTAACCCATTGAAAAGAATCTCGGATGCGGGCTCCACTGGGCAACAAGACGACGAACGCAAAAGCCAAGAACAGCCAGGGGCTTGGAATTGGAGGCAAGAGCGCCGTGCATGGGGTTGAAAGGACGGAACTCAAGAGTATCGCGAGTCAGCAGCGGAAGCAGAGACAAAGGCAGAGACAAGCCGAATTAGCACCAAAGAATCTTTTTTCCCAGCTCAGAGACGGCCAAGATCTTGATCACGACGAGCCGGAATACGCACCGCCAAATCCTCAACCTTTACCCTACCAATCCGATGTCTTCCCGCGCAATGGCCTCACCTTCAAGGGACTAAGCAAAGACAATCTGCTCAAAGGCTACTATGAACATTTCTATAACCCGGTGGACGCTCGTGGCGTATCACGCATGGACAAACAACTGGAAGACGAAATTGAAACCGCGATAGAAAAGGCTATAGAACGGAACGACCAGGATACGGATGAGTTCACCTGGAATAGTGCTGATCTTGCAGACGGAATGGAGATTGCAGAGCGAATGACTAGGCAAAAAAAGAAACCCGCCTCCTCTTCACGTCAGCCTACAATGGTAACCAGATCGTCTAGATCTAGATTATCTGTAATGGAGGTTCCAGTAACGGATGGTTATGAAGAACATGTTGCCACTCGATCATCAAGGCGGCGAACTGTTGATCCTGCTATGGAGGCATTGTACTCCAGTGATCACTCGTCACCATTCACGCTTAGGAGCCGAGGAGAAAGTGCCTCTAAGCGGCTGACTCGTGCGCAGAGTGCGGCCCGAGATGGATTCGACAACAATGATTCTAAGCCAGCTGGCAGCATGAGCCCCGTTCATTGGAACGCATCCAACCAGAGGATATCAGGTGCTGTAACTCGCTCACGCTTTTCTACTGGCTCTGATGGCGAATATGCTGGCAGCAGTCTCCCAGTAGCTGGTTCGTCCTACCAGGACTCAGAGGACGACGAGGAATTTGAGTTAAGATTCGACCTTTAGATTGCTTTTTCGATCAACTTGGACTTGAAATGGAGCAACAGGAGTTTAGGGGTTTAAAATGACGGATTTCTTTGAAGGAACGGATTGTAACGTTTGTGTGTCTTGTAAATTATTATTATCACCTTCGAGTAATCGAGTTTCAAACACAATCCGTGATATAAACCCAGCTCGTGATTACTGTTATGATTAATAGTACCTAATAGAAGTTTACATGATGAGCCACTGGTCCCTATCTGTAGGCTATGACAATGTCCTCCAGACCTAGGTGGTTGATCCTCATCACTCTTGACAAATCCAAGTTTTCGCGGCGTAGCTGTTCAGCACGAAGTGGTTCGTCATCCCAAGCCCGTAGCCGTTCCTGCCGCTGACGTTTCAGCATTTTTCGCTTGAGCGGCCCACGAGGGCGTGGCTCTTCGGCCATCTCGAGACAGATGATGCCGGGGTTTCGTGTCGAATATCTGTACCAGCCCGACGTTGGCTGTGTTAGGGATGCCTCGGTATAAGTCGCTATGACGTATTTGGTACGCTCAAGGCTCTCATCATCGAAGTCGATCCAAAGCGGTGGATTATCATCTACTTGGTTCTCGTCGCCGCGAATGAATCGTGATACGACTCTACTGCTTGCAACTTCGTGGCGAATAGCGATGACCAGGCATGAGAGAGGCGCTACTGACACTGGATCAATATCTGACTCTGTCCTGTAGATTGGCAAGACAATATTTGTGTCAGCAGTCTCAGCGAGCCATTTTACCGGGTACTTCTTGTCTTCAATTGCCAGCACATTGTCTGGGAGCTCGATTTCGTCCGATATGAATGCGAAATGCAGGTCAACTCCTCGCAGTCTCCTCAGCTGCCGCACAACACGAATATTAAGCAATAAGATGGCCGACATCTCCAAGCTACGCAGCTTCAAGGGGAACTTGTGCATGAAATTGAGCAACCGCGCAGCACCAGGGTCCAGAGTCTTCCATCCAGGCGGATGAGCTGCGTGGATGAACATTTTCCTTCTCCGGCTTCCGTTTGAGCACCAGAGAAAGGAATCGTCCCGTCGTCTACAGGCGTTTACTGGACCATTGGGGAAAATGCTGACATGTCCCATTTCAAAGAAGATTTTGGGCGCCGGGGTCGGGCTATAAGATGCACCATGGGAGTGTGGCAAGAGCTTGGAGCCACCCCAAGAACTGCTGCCGTACTCCAAAAGGGACAGGAGAAGCGTGCTCGTGTGAAAGGTGAATATACAGCGCTTGCGAAATGTATTTATGATTTCTCTCTTGACCGCCCGGCTTACGAGGAGGAGGTTGAACACAGTGAGGTGCCGGCGAGACGCTTCCGGCGTCTTGTATATTTCAGAAGGCATGTGTTGTCCTGAGATGAGGCGCATGTCGTGTGACACTATTTGGATCCAAATCTCATCGCGCAGTTCGCGGGGAAGGTCGAAGATTGTGAGCTTGCTTTGGGCCATGGTAAGGTTCTTTGAGGTATAGGTTTCAACATCAAAGACACAAGAGTTGGATGAGGGAGATCTGACGACTGGAATGCCTAGTCGGTTTCATACTGCTCTTTGTACGGTACGGAGTGATATCAAAGAGTACGGCGTGATATTAAATGGTACAGAGTGATATCAAAGGGTACAGAGTGATATAAGGATACGGAGTGGTATCAAAGGATACGCATTTTATCCTACCTAATTCATTGACGGTGACTCACTCATGAGAAGGAGTTGGCACTTGTTGGGTTAGTTGGCTGGCGCACGACCGCATTCGAAACCATTCTGGGACAAGGCTGCAAGAGGCCAAGGAAGAGGCTGTTGATTGGATGCATTTGACCACCAACCAGTGAAAGGATCGTTGTGCATAAGGGCGGTGCTGAAGATGTATGGATAGATGCATCTAGATTCTGGGGGTTGCTATTTATATGGTCGCGCTTTGAAACTGCACAGTTGACGCGTGTGTGAATGAGCCCCGTATTCTATAATGGGGAAATTCGTCCGCCCTTCAAAGGGAAACAAGGAAAGGGGAAGAAAAAAACAAAGAGCACAAAGAGCAAATCAAAACACATTTCCCTCAAGAGCACCTGACCCCCCACTGGAAAGTGTAAATTCTCAACTACGAACCTTGAGACTATTTGAGCATATAAGGCATACTCTAAGTGTATAAGCCACACCCACACCAACCTACTTATACAAACTTCCAGGTTGATATACGGATTATCATAGCTCCTCGCTCCGCGATTCCTGGGGCGGGCCCGCGCCAACCTTGACAACCCACCTGCTGACTACGCCGAAAACGTCCATCCCCATTGCATTGTCCCTTTTCAACTTGAACGCTCAACTTGCGTCTTTGCAAGGCATTTCCCGCTCCTCCAGCACCTCCCCCGCGGCTTCTCGAGCTCGCCAGCCATTGCGCCGCGGTCGCCGACGACGCTTCACCTCCTGAGCCGGCTTTTCACAGCGCCTGAGCCCTCTGCGACGCAGCGCACGCCGCCTATCCGGAGCCTCAATTTTCGGCTTCCCAGGTCGCGTGGGCGCTCTAGCGCGTACCACAGAAGCCGCCGCTCAGCCCCGACGGAAGTGATGCATGGCAAGCCTTACCACACACTGAGCGAGGTATCATGATTACACCACGGCGCTCGAGATAGCAGGAGCTCATCGACACGATGACTCGGCCGCCACCTGGCGTGAGCTTCGCGCAATTCTTCCCCAACGCCCCCAAGCTCAAAACAGAGGCCCAAGGACGTGCCAAGCGGGGCCTCCAGGTCGTTGACCCGGCGCCAGAACAAGCCGTCATGACAGATGCCGACTCGAATGATTTCGCTCGACGTTGCCAAACCACTACCTCATCAGATCCCTCTCTGCCGCAGCCGCAAGCCGACGACAACGGGTCGTCGCCGGGTGATATGCCCAGTACCGTGGGCTCAACCAGCTCACATGCCAGCTCTGCATCCTCCCTCTTCAGCGGCTCTGCCGTGCCAGTTGCGACAGCCACGTCCGCCGGACCATCCATGAGCGCGACTCCATTCACTTCCACAGACTCGCCCTCCTCCCTCCACGCGCCTGCCAAGTCTAGCATGTCTACGCCTTCAATCGTCGACCGCGCTTCAGGGCAACCGTCAGAGAATGCCGCATCCACTGGCCAACACTTGCGGCAGGATAGGACCTCCTCGATTGAACGCATCCCAGCTCGAGACCCCTTGCCTTCGATCAAGGGTATCAAGTGCATACATGACCCGCTCCTCGATCGACTGCGCAAAAAGGTTGTAAATAAGAATGCGAAACCAGTATACAAGGAGTTCGGCTTGGTATGTATAAATAATACATTTCCTCCACTACTGGAGGAAGGGGGGGGCGTCATTTGTTTTTTGGAGCGCTGAATGGCTAATTGTTGGAATAGGAAGATGACGCCCCCCCTGCGGACCCTCGCCTCACAAAGGCGGGAGATAGGCTGGGATATATCAACACAGACTATTACCTGCCCAAAGCTCGCCTGCGCCATGCTCCCGAGAACCTCAAGCCGTATGCCTATGACCCTAAGACGTCCATTGGGCCAGGCCCCCCTACCCAGGTCCTAGTGACCAAGTACAACCCGCTGGTGTCGTTCAACAAAGTCATCGCAATATTCGCCGCCTTCGGAGAGATTGCAGAAAGCAGCAATAAGATGCACCCAGACACAGGCAGCTATCTCGGCTTCGCAACCATTCGATACCGCGACTCCAAACGCCCGGACCGTCCGCGGGTGTCTGCCATTGATGCCGCGCGACGAGCCGTTCGCACTCGTGGAATCAAGGTCGACGCCGACATTGTCAAGGTAGAATACGACCCTGAAGGTCGGAAGAGCCGGCGCATGCTGGAAGAGGTACTCAAAAGGGAGAGGGAGAAGCTAGCCAACGAGTCGGCACGAATAAAGCCTCCTCCTACAGGGCCTAAATCTGCGACTGCTCCTGGCTTTTCCAGGCCTCCCCCAACAGCACCCAAGGGTCTCGCACCCCAAAGACCTCACCCGACACTTGGAGTTCCAGTTACAGCGCCTCCGAAATCGCAAGCGCCGCCGCCAGCGCCAGCAACAGCAGCCGTCGCAGCCGCAGCACAGCAAGCTCGCCCTCATGCAGCCGTCGAGTCACAGGTTATCAGTTCACAATTGGCTAATGAACCATATATATTTGTCGGGTCCGAAAGTGTCCCGACTCTCCCTAGTATAATACCCCATATGAAGAAGCGCTTAAAGAATTATGGATTTGAAGATATCCGCCTCGACAAAACAGGGTTCTACATCGTTTTTCGAAACTCCTATACCGGGCGAAGCGAAGCCGAACGATGTTTTCGGGCTGTTAATCACACCGAATTCTTCAATTACAATATGGCTATGCAACTTTGCGTACCGCGATCATCTTATATCGATTCCGCCTCAAAATCAAGCCCTAGCCCCGAGCGAGCCCCTAGAAAGGATCATCGGGCCGAGAAGGCAGAGTTGGAGAGGAAGCGCAGAGAGGACGAGGCCGACCTTGAGGAAGAAAAGAGACAGAGGGCCAAGAATTTCGACCCTGTAATTGAGGCCGTGGAGGTCGTTCGGCGTGAGATGACTGAACATCTCATCAGGCATATCCGCACTCAAGTTGCGGCGCCGGCGTTGGCCGAATTTCTCAATCCAGCCAATCATGTCGCCAAGAGGCGGAAGCTTAACATCGATCCTGTAGAGACCGAAGAAGACGCTTTCGGCAGCGGTAGCACCAGCCCCAAATTGGGGACTCCCAATTCTCGAGCCGATCCCATCGAACGCCGGACTGGCCGTCTAGAGCCCAAAGCCCTCCCAAGGATTCGCAAGAGCAAAACAAAAGGCCTCGCTCATCGGAGTACCTTTGTCGATCCCTTTGCCCGAAAACGGGCTTCGGCGACGCGCCCAGCGTTTCGATCCTTGCATCATCGTCTCAAGAGTTTGGATAGCGACTTTGAATCGGACGATGATGCAGATGCTAGGGTACTGACAGCGCGAGATGCTCGCCAATCAGAGTCACGCCCACGGAGTCGCATGAGTACTGATGACGAGGCTTCCAAAGATGATTTTGCCTCATGGGGTCCGGGCGAAGACGATTCCATGACAGAGGCCAGTCTCGCCATCGACAGCTCGATTGTAAAGAAGCGAAAGTTGGAGCTCTCGATTGAAAAAGCATTCAAGAGACAGAAGAAATCCGACGAAGAACTATTTGGCGTCAAAATCGACCAAATTGATGCGGAGTTCAAGGTTGTCGAAGATTCTGACGATACTGGTCTGGATCTGGAAGCGACTGCAGAGCGAGAAGATTCAACTCTTGAAGGACCGTTGTCACAAGTTGAGAATCTTTCCAAGACAAAGCCCGCCAAGTCTAAACGAAAATCCAAGAAGCAACTCCTCCAGGAGCAAGAGGCACAGGCCAAACAATCCGAGGCCGAATCGCAGCTTTCGGATGCGGATGAAGTGAAGCCCACCAGCGAGAAGGTGCCAGAGCCCGAGATTGTGCCCGAGAAATATGACGAGAGGCTTTTCGCGACTAAGCCAATGACTGCCGCGGCAACACTCCCCGACGGCTTCAAACCTGACATTACTTCCTTGGCGGCCCTGTCCTTGGGACCGACTGATGTCCCGGATATCACTAGATTACTCAAGAAGTTCCAGATCGAAGAGATTGGCAACCCAGAGCTATGGCTGTGGAAACGGAGCCGTGTCAGGGAACTCAACACATCTGATGGCCTCTTGGGTGGCCCAGTCCGTATCGAAGGCTACTATGTGCCGAATGCAAGTGGCTGCGCGCGAACCGAAGGAGCCAAGAAGATCCTGAATTCGGAGAAATCAAAATATCTACCGCATCATATCAAGGTTCAAAAGGCTAGAGAGGAGCGGGAGGCAAATTCCAAGAAGACGGGCAGAGATACCACTATGGCGGCCAATGAAGCTGCCAAGCTGGCTGCTGAAAAACTCATCGCCAAGGGCAACTCTCGAGCAAACCGCGCCACAAATCGACGATATGTGGCCGACCTCAATGACCAGAAGAAGACGCTTGGGCAAGACTCTGATGTCTTCAAGTTCAACCAGCTAAAGAAGCGGAAGAAGCCTGTCAAGTTTGCCCGCTCTGCCATTCATAATTGGGGCTTGTATGCTATGGAAAACATCAACAAGGACGATATGATTATCGAGTATGTGGGTGAGGAAGTTCGACAGCAGATTGCAGAGATTCGGGAGAACCGTTACCTCAAAAGCGGTATTGGCAGCAGTTATCTGTTCCGAATCGATGACAATACGGTCATTGACGCCACAAAAAAGGGAGGTATTGCACGATTCATCAACCACAGCTGCATGCCTAATTGCACTGCCAAAATCATCAAGGTCGAGGGTAGCAAGCGGATTGTCATTTATGCTCTGCGTGATATTGCTATGAGTAAGTGTGGTGACTCTATTTATGATTTTTCTTCTTCTTTGATCTACAGCCAAGCTGACCACATCGTTTAGACGAAGAATTGACCTATGACTACAAATTCGAGCGAGAGATTGGCAGTCTGGACCGTATCCCCTGCTTGTGTGGCACGGCAGCGTGCAAAGGGTTCCTCAACTAATACCCGCCTTTTTTCACGAGATATCGTTCAGTTGGCATTAATACCAGGCTGGTTAGCAGTAATACCCCAGCCTCGACCTGGTTGCCGGGCTGGGAGCGTACGATGTGCTGCTAATACCGAGCTGTCGACTGAATGTTTAATACGAGTTTATTTTGATTATTGCGCTGATCAATCTCTTTATTTCTCTCTCTCACTTTACTTGCAGTACCATTCGTTATCACATGTCAACCATGCGGTAACTTAATGCAGATTTTGGTAAATCGGCTGGGCTTTCACGAAAGGAAAAGAAGAAAGCTGTCATGGATCAACAACAGCTGATGATGGCGTTGAAAGGGAATCAATCGCATTCAAAAACAAACAACACAAACAGGCACTCTGAAGGAGAAAAAAAATAAGATAAAGGATTGTGGTCAAACAATGGCCCCCTGGCAGTCATGGAGTTATCAGTGTGACTTGGGAAGGACAAAAATTTCAGACAAAAGAGGGCCGCCAGTTTTGATACGGAGGCTGGTTTATTTTCTCCGGGTTTCGCCTCCGTCGCCTCTTCATTTTTTTGTTGACTGGTGATTAAAAAAGAAAAAACAATAACCCCCAGGGAAAGGGTGTACATATAACTCGGAGTTTCTTTGATGGATGGAAAGGCCAAAGTGAAAGCGAATTCGTGGAGGAAGGAAGCGGGAAGGGGAGGGTTGAAGAACGCAATGCTAGGTAGTTATATTCATCTTTCGCTATCCTATGAAGGGAAAAAAAAAAGTGCCGGCTCGACTCAGCTCAGCCGAGCGATGATCTGCCCGCGTCTCAGACGCGGCAGAATATGTAAAATTAACGAGTCCTTTGAATTCAGCCATATTACCGCTGCTCCTCTCTGTTGCCCATGTTACCCAATCTGTTCCCTTTAAATGTGTCCATCTCCTTTAGCCTTTGAAACTTGTGTGTTCAGTATGCATGCCACTACCGTGATCCATTAATTGTTCTGGTGCATTTGAGAAGGGCCGTCTGGAGGTGCACGGGGCCCCAACATCCAGTCTTGCATCGCGAGCCATTCACTCCAGTTTGCCTCTGCTGCCTGTATCTCTTTCTCGGTGACTCCTTGAAGAGGACGCAAGAAGGGAACTGACTGGCCGTCCTCCAAGTCGTAGCTGGCTTTGACTCTGAGCCAAGTCTCGCTCTTGGCCGCGAAGAGATAGTTTCTCCGCTCATTCTCGTGTATGAGGCCGATACCAACATCCCAGCCGTCGCCGAAGAAGCCATGTAGAATGGCGACGGTGTCAAACCCGGTGGCAACCAGGCGGCGTACATAGGGGACTAACGAAACGTCTGAATTGGTAGAGGGATGACTGGGTGTAGAGCTAGAATTTGGTGAATGCCTGGGGAAGGCTGAGCTCTGTTGAAATGGCAGTCGAATGTTGACAATTGCGGCAACGGCCTGAACGGCGTTTGTGTGCTGGCCGCGCTCGAGGAAAAAGGAGAGACAAGACTGATATTTGGGGTACCAGTCGAAAAGATCAAACTGTGCCTCTTGAAAGGGCTAGCCAGGAATCATGAGCTTTCTCTTCGAATCACAAACATGCCGCAACCAGGTAGAAGCAATCAAGTACGGTGGTGGGACAAACTTACATGATGAAATGCCATGGTAAACCACTGAGCAATGTGCTGCTATTGCTTGGGAAGAATGTCAAGTAAACTATACGAGGCCTGGTTGCCTCTTTTTTTCAAGAAACGAAATGTTCACACAAGACAGCTGGGATCGAATTCCTGATATGGCTGGATCAAGTTCTTCTTCTTCTCTGTCAGCCTCTGGTCCTCATATAACAGCTCCGCCAGAGGTGGCTCCGGCCAGAGGGGTCCATCTACGCACCTTTCTACCTTGCAATCCAACCGCAAGCAACGCAACAGCAAATAAGGAAGCAACAACAAATATTCACATCAATGCTTCTTCAGAATGGATACACGAAAAGAGGGCGTAGGATTTGGGTCAGGATCAGCTGAAGGGTTGGACAGAGCTTGTCCTCTGGGGCGTTTTCTTGGTTCGCCTTGCTGCGTCCCTCCTCTTGTCTTATACAAGCGATCTATGAAGAGAGTGAAAGCGGGGGACCTCTCGACGAGTTTATATTGACACGGCTGCGGTGAGACTCAGGCCATTGAGTGAATTGAGCGAGAAAGCGAGAGACGGGGGCCCCTGGGAGCAGAGCAACGATGGTGGTACATCATGTGAGCGATACCAACACATGTGACGACGAAGGTCTTCTGTGTATCATGGTGGTGTTAAACAGATGTGGAGCTCGAGATGTTCCCGAGTCGACGTGGAGAGGAAGTGAGATGAGATGCAAAGGGAACTAGCGGAAGTCACAGCGTGAACGGAGCTGGAAGCGGAGAGTCGATTGTCCATTGGGACGGCAAGGCTCAGAAGCAGGGTCAGGCCAGGTAAAGGAAGTGTCACCACCATGGCCTATGACGGAGGCTCCCAGCGGTCGATATAACACACGGCTGTCGAGGCATGGCTTCCTATTCGACGGCTCTGGCAATGTCTCAGGTGTCAGAGGGAAAAGGAGGGAGGAGGTCGGGTCGGGAAGCTGAAGTTGCGGCGCCGCTCGTGATAAATCCAAGACATTTCGATGGTGAGGGCGAGTGGCAAATCCCACGATCAGCTAGTTTGGGCCATCAGATGTTGGTGGCTTGATCGGTTCTAATCAAATCCCTGTCCATGGATTGATTAATGAGATGAGCCAAGCAGAGACAGAGACAGGGGACCTGAGCCATGCGAGCTGAAAACTGAACACGCCCCCCACAGGGGACATTTGCCGGCACTTTGCCAGATTGCCGGCCATTGTCTTTTCTTTTTCTTCCCTGCAATTGACTTGGCGATGCTCAGCCCCCTCTCAAGGTGAAAAAAGTTGTGTGAGGTGTGAGAGAGAAGGATAAGGAAAGGAGCTTTTGGAGTTGATTCGCTCGCGGCACTTGGTAGGTGTACCTGATATACAGGGGTGGTAGAGTACCCGGTACCTTGCTTTAGTGCCCGTCTTCGGTATGTGTACTCCGTCCAAGTGCCAGGTACCTGGAGGTACTTCATCACCTCTTTCAACTCATCACGGGTTACAGCTACACCGCCAACACGTGTTGGGACGGGAAGGCACAAATTTTGAAAAGGCGTTATTTTACACCTTCTACGGAGATCATCATCTCTGACACGATTGGCTCCTGTCACGTCCGCTCCCACCATGCCGTCAAACAGTTGAGTGATGGTAGCCATAACAATCTGCTTTGACACAGAGGCAAAGGTATATGTTCATCTCGGCAGAAGAGATAAACCGTATACCGTTGTGTCAGGGTTCACGCAGATTGTTATGGCTACCACCACTCAACTGTTTGACGGCATGGTAAAAGCAGATTGTCGTGGCTACCATCACTTGACTTGGGTATATATACCCATATACATACAGGAAGCAATTTGGGTTTCATAAATATTTTACGTCTTTACTTTTGCCAGCTATCATTTCATCTACATGACAAATTGTCTATGCTGTTTCCTGTTGACTCTCAAACCATGTCTGCAGCTTCTTCAGAGCTCGAGCACGATGCGATATCTTGTTCTTCTCCGCAGACTCCATCTCAGCATAACTAGAAAAAAATGTTAGCCAATGGTCATCTTTCGCAATCATCTGGAGCAGCATATAACCTACGTTTTGCCTTCAAACTCAAATACGGGATCCCATCCTAGCCATTACTTCGTTAGTATCCAACCGGAAGTGCCTATGCGGGGTGTATTTCTTACCAAACTTCGAAGGGCCTCGTGCAGGTACAATGCGACCCTGGTAACAAATGCTAATGTAAGAATGGCATCATGTTACTCCATGTTGATAAGACTTACCGGTGTCCGTCCTTGAAAGATGATTGGGTCGCGGCCAGGTCCTGGCGAGTATGCAAACGTGCAAACTGCCTCTGCAGATTTATCTTCGTATGCCGCAAGAAGATTGTTGAGCCCTTGGTGGCCAGTCTTATCCAGGAACCATTTGCTATAACGTCGAGTACAGATTGATGAGCTTTCCAGCCATCACGAGGCCTTGAACCAGCATAGCAGAGAGCTTACATGTAAGGCCCAGGTAGGCCTCCGAGAGCATTAAAACAAAGTGCCGTATCTTCAACCAGCACCGGGCCGTTTACCTCGATTGAATTAGACATGTTAGGATGAGCTTTTCATCAATTCCTACTATAGAAAGAGCGGCCATACCAAGTCGGCAGCTCGACGACATTTTGACTCGGCAACCTCTTCAATCGCTCCCTGGATTTCCTCAAGATCCAGCGACTGGCTCTGAATCTCAATTTGCGGCTCAAGGATCGCTTTGACTTCTTTCAGCTTATTCGCATTGCCGGTGATAAAGTGAATCGGGGGAGCCATTTTGGAGCGGAACAGATGCGCTGCTAATGAATATCTGAGGCAGATGATGGGCTTTGCAAGTATTGCAGCTGGTAGATGGACTCTTTTCAAGGAGCTTTTTAGCATCATCAAACGGATACCTTGGTGGTACCTAAAAGATTTGCCTGTCTGGGGAACGGCAGCAGTCAGCTGGCTTGAACCCACCGCACTCCGCAGGTACCCAGTACTTGGCAGTGTCTAGGCCTCAAGTCACTCGCTGCGTCACGCGAACCATTGACAATTCCATTTTCACCTTGTCAGGCTGGACAGACCCTTGCTCAGACAACGATGAAATCGACGCTCAAAGCGCTGGTCCCTTCCGCTGTTCCAGACTGACGGGGGGGAGCGGCACTGGCACTGCCTTCTTTGTTCTCCATTGGGTGCGTCTGTTTGCGACTATTGCTGACCTCGACGCTAACCTTTCCAGCATGTCCTTGTGCAGCTGATGCTGATGCTGGGCATCGCGAATGTCACTGCGCTCCCTTTTGCCATCATGACGCCACAACACCACCACGATCCCCAACAGTTAACCGATAGATGCATGGCGATAACCGAGCCCGATGAGATTTCGACCACACCGAGCAATGCGCATATCGAGGGCCACCGGACAGGCTCGGTATCGCGGAGCAGTCGGCCTTTTCCAGCATCGTTGATCCCGAGTCAACCACACCGAATCGTCATCAGCCAGTCGTGGAAGCGCCTTCTTCCGGGGCGCAGATTGCGCGCTCAAAAGACAGCGGCTGTTCGAAGTAAAACTAGAGAATCGCTGGATGCCTCGGCACGCTCTCCAAACAGCCGGGCGGGCATGCAGTCGGCATCGAGGCTTGGGGTTCGTCTATGCCAGCCCGGCCAAACATCTCCAGCGCATAACTAACGCCATGGTGCATATCAGACACTACAGCTTGGAAAGTATGCGCACGAGGAGGAAATGCCCGTGTGGCTTGTCAAGCTATTGGAAACGAAAGGCGACCTTCGTGCCAGTGGTAAGGGGCATCTCGCATGACTCGATTCACAAATAGAATGGCTAACACTGTCGCCGCGCAGGTGTCATACCAGCCTTGAAGCAGCTGCTTGATTTGAGCTCACGGACCGAGTATGCGTATCTATGCCATCCGGATGTCCAACATGTGGCAAAGCTAAACAGAGAAGGTGATTGGGGCTTCTCTTACCACACCAACGACTGCAAGTAGAAGCAAGCAACTTATCCATGGTCATATAGGTGCATTCTGCGGCTATCGCAACATACAAGTCCTCTCCTCTCACATTATTGGCACTCGCGTGACCGGGTGGGAGCAGCTGGGAGATGATATTCCTAGCATCTTCCAGATTCAGGACATGATTGAGACTGCCTGGGATCGCGGGTATAATGCTCGGGGTCGAGTCGAGACAGGGGGCATCCGAGGGACGCGAAAATATATTGGAACGCCAGAGGTAGGTGCTCTTTTTTGGTGGTTACCCTGGCTCGCGCTTTCATACTCATCATCTGCATCACAGGCCCAGGCATTTTTCGCAAGCATGGGGTTTCCGTGAGTATTATTCAAACATGTAGGCATTTCCCTCGTGGGACTAACGATGAAGCCAGGTGTACAGTGCAGGCTTTCAAGGCTTCTAGTGAAGACGATAATGCTTCACGTCGCCTGCTGGGTGCAATCGAGCGTTATTTTCAACAAGGTGCAGTAGACTCTATGGACAGCAAAGTCCGATCTACTCTACTCCCGCCGATATATCTGCAGCGACCTAGTAGGGTCTCCTCCCCGTTAAACCTGAAACTACTGGGCATATCAACTAACAGAGGTCCCTTAGAACATTCTCTTACGATTGTCGGGCTGGAGAAGCAAAAAGGCGGCGATGTTCAGCTCCTGGTATTTGACCCCGAATTCCAGAGCTCTAGTACAGTCGTCCGTCTTGCTGGCAAGGCTACTCTACGCAGGCAGTCCAAGGTCACCAAGCTTTTGGAGCCCTATCGCCGCAGCGCTACCCACTTGGAGCGCTTTAACGAATTTGAAGTTCTCTAGTAAGGAATAACTATTCATACCCACGCGAGGGATATGAGCTAACGATGTGACCAGTTTGACTAGAAACAGCCAAGCCTAAGTAGAGGGTAATTATCATCGTGTTTAGAGCATAGAGTGTTTTTCGATACGTTAAACAGCGTTGAGATGTTTGAATTACTGTTACCGAGTTGCAACGAGTCAACGTGTAAATCGCCGTCAATTTTTCATTAGTTGCATAGGTACACCCTACTTATTACATATTTCAAAAGCCCGTTATTCATACCAAGATGCATTTACTGCAATTCCTTCGACATCTGAAAATGGTCATCCATCTGCCTCTGCCAACGGAGATGTAGCACCAGTTTAATTGTTCTGCATTTTGAACCTGATATGTATGAAAATGGCCGTGTCGGATCTGGACAGTTCGCTCGAGAATTTAATCAACACGTTTAATGAGCTCAATTCCACCACTGTGGATGAACTCTTCTCAGAGCCGAGCCCTCTGGAGTTTATGCGCTATGTGGCTCGTAACACGCCGTTTGTGATCAGAGGAGGGGCCTCGAGTTGGAAAGCAACGAAGAAATGGAACGCTGCCTATCTGAAGACGGCTCTCGAGGGCCAGTTTGTGAATGTTGCCGTTACTCCGTTTGGGTAAGAATACATGTACATAGGATTCATCGATGCATCATTTCCCCTGTTATCCATCTAACAGCTACAATTAATAGCAATGCCGATGCTCCAACATTTTCTTCGGAGCATCAGGCCACGGTAATTGCAAAGCCTCATGAAGAGACTCAGCAATTCGGCGACTTTTTTGCATACATCACCCAGCAGGAGACGGATCCGGAGTTTCCTCTCGACTCTGAAGTGAGATATGCCCAAACTCGTGAGATACAGACTCTTTCTCCTCCTCCGACCACTATGTATTGATATTTCGGGCCTTTGCTAATTTGCGTCAAGAAAACGACAATCTTCGGGATGAGTATCTTCCATTGTATCCCGATGCTCTGAAGGACATTCCCTTTGCACGGATCGCCCTAGGAAAAGAACCAGATGCCATCAACCTATGGATTGGAAACTCGAGATCCACGACATGTTTGCATAAAGACAACTTTGAAAACATCTTTGTGCAGATTGTGGGCAGAAAGCACTTCGTCCTGCTACCGCCACTGCTCCACGCATGCGTCAACGAAGATCTACTTCTGCCGGCAACGTACGTTCGAGAGGGCCAGGGCTTCACGCTTCAACTTGACCCGGATTCTCCTCCAGTGCCACTGGCGACTTGGGATCCTGATGATCCTGGACGAAATACTTCACCTCTGTCTGCGTTGGCAAAGCCTCTTCGTGTGACTCTGGATCCTGGAGACATGCTATATCTCCCTGCTATGTGGTGAGTGAACCCAGCATTATGAGAAAAGCCTTTATCCGCTGTATTTCATGGTGAGTTATTGGGTCTGTTTCTCATCACTAAATCTCTTCTCCAAGGTATCACAAGGTCAAGCAGTCCTGCATCGATGATGGCGAAGGATTTGTACTGGCTGTAAACTATTGGTAGGTCCAAAAGATGCAAGCGCCTGCGAAAAGTATTGCTTCTAACATTCTTTCTATATTAGGTACGATATGGACTTCAGCGGACCTCTCTATCCCATCACTTCTTTTCTTCGCGAACTTGGAACCAAAAAGCAGTCTATGCTTCCTTCAGATAAATCATCGCATAGAATCCAACCTCCAACTGCGGAGTAGAATTGATATACATGGCCGCACGCTCACCCCCTATTTCTTCCTCTTTTGAATTCTCTTTTGTGCTCGCAGCTCCTTCTTCATCCTGGCGTCAACAATTCTGTACCGTCCCTTGACACCCTTTGGTCGGCCCTGGATACCCTTGTTTAATCCCCTGGCCACAACGAGCTTGGCTGGCTGTCGAGGCTTTTGACGGTTCGCCCTGCTAATAAGTTTGGATATGCTCTCCGCCTTTTCCTTCTCCGTCATGCCTTCATCAGCAGCAAGCATGTCTGACTTCTTCTTCAGCTTCTCCAGCTTCTGGGCCGTCTTGAACTTCTTTCGTGCCTTTGCTTCTCGAACCTTCTTGATCGGTCGGGCGTTGAAGGCTCTTAGTTTCTCCTTGATAGCATTGGCCGCTGCCTTTGATATTGGCTTCAGGGCCTTGTCGTGTTTACCCTCGTCATCAATGAACCATTCGGGCAATCCATCCCTGTCGCGGAATGCACGCTTATTGAAACCATCGTCGATAGCATCGTGGGTAGTCTTCTGTCCCGTGGCAAGTTGGTGTGCTAGAGTCATTGCTTCGGCCGTGATGATATCAATGTCTTTCTCAGGTCAGCTACGTTCGTCTTAATGAAAGTTCAATGGTGAGTCAACTTACCAGGTCTTCCATCTGCTCGTCGCCTCTCTTTGTCTTCCCAATTATCATCATCATCCATCTTAACGACCTCGAATCCACCGTCATTCTCTGAATCATCTTCCTGTTCATTCAGGGATGCTTTTTGTTTTGCTGTCCGCGTGGGCAGCTCTTGTGAGCGCGTAGTCGTACTGGATGCCTCAATCGTCACATCATCCTCTCCCCCAAGAAGAGAGCCTCCAGTTATCTCTTTGAAGATATCCTGGCTGAAGAAAGCGGATGCCTTTTTGGACAAGCCGTCTTGGGTCTCCCCTGTCTGGCCATCTAAATCCGTTAAGAATCCGTTTGTAGGTAGTGAACCGTCTTCATCGTCATCGGATGAGTCGTCATCTTCCTCCAGCTCGCTTGCGTCACTCTCTGCCTCTTCACCTGCTGAAAGGCCCTCCCACTCGTCATCTTTGTGCTCCTTTCTTGCCTTTTTAGCCCGGTACTTGGTGTCCGCTTCCAGTTTGCGCTCTCTGAATTGTTCGTACATAGCATCGAGCTCAGTCTCCAGACCGTCTTCTTCGCTGTCGCTCTCAACTGGCTCTGTGGAGATACCCAGGTCGATATCTTTTGAATCTTTCAAATTTGATACGGCCATTTTGCCCCGGGAGAAACGGTTCATGCCACCAGTCTTGTCAATAGTCTTTAGAGAAAACATGGCTCCCTCTCCCAGCGGTCCGGATTCTTCCATACCAATATCCATAGGCGCCATCATATTCAGCTGCATGCGAATGATCTCTTTGCGCTTTTGTTCATTCTCCTTGCGCCTCTCCCGTTTCCTCTTGGAATTCTCTGTGTCCTTTAGGGCTTGTAGTTCTTCTTGTATTCGTAACTCCTCGTCCATTGATTCTACCCCAGCCACTTCCTCGGCTTCGGCAGTATCTGCTGACTTTTTCTGTGAGAGGCCGAAGATTTCTCGCACTCTCAATCTCCATTTGAGAAGAAGTTTGAATTCCTTGCGCCCAAGAACTTTCAAATCGGCACAGCATTCCCGAATCTCCGCAGTAGTCTCGGGCAGCTTATCCAGAGCAGCAAGCGCAATGTCGCCATTAGGCGCCTGAGTAAAGGAGAGCTTGTTGTAGGAACCAAGAATGGCTATGGGATCATTTGTCTGGATGAAACTGCTTGCCGCAATTTCTTTGAACTGTATGTAATCCCCTTCTTCGTAACCATCACGCTTTCGCTTCTTCACCTCTGGATTATAGACCTTGGCTTCATTGTTTGGGGTGGCGCCGGAAAGCTCTGCGAAGACTGATCTCGGGTCCAAGAAGCGAGGATCGATATGCTTGGGTGCTTTGTATCCGCGGCAAACGACGAAAATTTCGGCCGAGACGTTTCGAGACGAGGGGGGTTTAGTGGCTTCGACTTTGGTGAACAATTGATTCAGCACCCATAGGAGCGGGTTGTAATCTTTGGATCTGAAGACCTTGGTCACAAACGTTCCTCCTTCGGCAAGAAATTCAGTCGCGAGTTTCATGGACTGGAGTGCGAGTTCTGCTTGGTTGAAAGAATCCTGAGCCCAAGCAGTACCAACATTGGGAGCACCATCGTGCAGAACCGTATCGGCTTTCCAAGTCTTGAAGTGTTGGCGGATGGTAGCACGGCACTTGTCTGTTGTGATGTCGCTCTGGAAGGTGATGACTCTAGGAATGGGCTTGATGGGCGCCAGGTCGACTCCAACAATCAAACTGTTGACTGGCATAACCTCTGCTGCAACCTGACACCATGACTATAGAGATATTAGTTAGCATTTGTCTAGTAACTCACAATCCCCTCCAAACAAGACAGAAAAACTTACACCTGGCGCGGCGCAAAGATCCAGCAAGACTTTGCTCTTTTCCAAGAATCCATACTTCTTGTTCAACTGAATCAACTTGAAGGCGGCACGAGCCCGGTAGCCCTTTTCTTTGGCAAGTTTGTACCACTTGTCCAAACGGCCTTTGCCGTGCTTTTTTTGAATCGCCATGGCGTCGGATGCAGCGACAATCGCAGGGAAAATGGCATGCGTCTCGCAGGCAGTTTGAGCAATCCAGAAATTTTGTCGGAAAGTTGCGCCGATAAGGTCGTCACGTGGCGATAAGAAGTGGGCTGTCCTCGGCGCCCAGCGGCACATGCTAGCTACCACAACTAGTCCATAGGTACCCGATATTCTAGTTGGATCGATGCAAGCTATATTCTCGCCATTGCAACGGCCTCTGAAGCTTCATTCCTGTCTTGTCAGTCTTGAGGCGGTGCCGGGCCATATGGTCGTCAACAGAGTAGCTGCCCAGACTGCAAGAGTCCGTCCACGATGAGCGGCCGGTTCCTTGCAGCTAGTCTGCGGCCTGTGGCGGCAAGAAATACCTCCGCCGCCACCAGCGTTCGTCACTTACACCGATTTCCAACAGGAGGCCTATTGCGGGCAGATGCTGCGATCCGGGAGACTCGAAGACGCATGTGGTTTGGCGGCAATGCCTTCCATAACCAGGTTATCGTTCGAAATGCCTCCTTTGTTCGCTTCTTGCCAAAGCTGGTGGTGAAGTTTGCCAGGATTCCTGCCATGTTTGGTGGGTTGGCCATTGGCACCTTTGCCTGGGTTCAATACCAAGCTACACGTATGTCATCCTCAGAGATAGATTTGGGGTGGTATTTTGCTCACTAATTTCTTAGAGGCTGGCAACTATGCCATCTCAATCTTCCACGATACCCTGGACACGGTAACGGGCACGGCATCTAGTATATACGGAACTGCCAAAGATGTAGCAGATCAAACACGTCAAGGATGGGAAAGTACAAAAGAACGGGTGGAGGTGCCAGCTTGGTTGAAAAAGATGTTGGGAACACCCGAGAGTTCAGGCTCTGGGGGCTCAGGAGGACCTAATGGCGACCCAAAACACAGTAAAGTCGGCGCCGCTGCAGCTGTTGGTGCTTCCGCTGCCGCTGTTGGCTACGACAAATCGGATGACGAAGATCCACGAGATGCGCTACAGAGCTCCAAGGATGATCAGATGATGGTATTGACGAAAAAAATGATTGAGATTCGAAGCATACTGCAGAAAGTCGGCCAGTCCAGTTCTCTTACTTTACCGTCCATCGTCGTCATTGGCTCGCAATCATCTGGAAAGAGTTCAGTACTAGAGGCGATCGTCGGCCACGAGTTTCTTCCCAAGGGAAACAACATGGTTACTCGGAGACCGATTGAATTGACTCTGGTGAATACACCCGACTCGCCTGAAGAATATGGAGAATTCCCGGATCTTGGTTTACGAAAAATATCCGACTTTTCCTCGATCCAGCGAACATTGACAGAGCTGAACCTGGCGGTTTCAGATGCAGAGTGCGTCTCGCATGATCCTATTCACCTGACCATCTATTCTCGCAATGTTCCTGACCTTTCACTCATCGACCTGCCGGGCTACATCCAAGTTGTGGGGCAAAACCAGCCATTGCAGCTGAAGCAGAAGATTTCGGAATTGTGTGACAAGTACATTCAGCCTCCAAATGTCATTCTTGCTATCTCTGCCGCGGATGTCGATCTGGCCAACTCGGCAGCCCTCAGGGCATCTCGCAGAGTCGATCCCCGAGGTGAACGAACCATTGGAGTTATCACCAAGATGGATTTGGTCGATCCTGCCCGTGGTGCCACCATCCTCAATGATCCGCAGTATCCTCTTCGATTAGGCTATGTTGGCGTTGTATCAAAGGCGCCAACCTCTCAGGGCCTTTTCAAGATGGGCTCATCAGATCTCCTTTCCACTATCGCCAAGAATGAAAACTCTTTCTTTTCCTCGCACCCACTCGAGTTTGGACCAGACGCAGGCGTCAACGTGGGCACAATAAATCTTCGAAAGACATTAATGCGTGTTTTGGAACAGACCATGTCATCTAGCTTACAGAGCACAAGTGACGCCATTAGACAAGAATTGGAGGAGGCCACATACGAGTTCAAGGTCCAGTACAACGATCGCCCGCTCTCTGCCGAATCTTACCTTGCCGAGAGCCTCGACGCTTTCAAGCATTCTTTCAAACAGTTTACTGAAGAGTTTGGGCGCCCGGAAATGCACGAGCTTTTGAAGAGCGAGCTTGATCAAAAAGTGCTGGACTTGCTGGCCTCACGATACTGGAATAAGCCAGTGACGGACCTGGCGCCGGCGAAATATGATCTCGATAATATTGCCGACCTCCCCAAGGCCGATCCCGACTCTCTTTACTGGCGCCGCCAGCTGGACGCTTCGACGTCTGCCCTCACCAAACTTGGAGTGGGACGTTTAGCAACAACAGTCATCGCCTCATCTCTTCAAGCTCACGTTGACAAGTTACTGACCAACTCGAGCTTTGTGAGCCATCCTTTTGCAAAGAAGGCTATAGTTGAAGCCGCGTCGACCATTTTGAACGAGAGGTTCTACAGCACCAGTGATCAGGTCGAGAACTGCATTAAGCCCTTCAAGTTCGACATCGAGATTGACGAAAGAGAGTGGAATCACGGCCGTGAGCATGTCGGCAGTGTACTGAAGAAGGAACTGCAAGACTGTGAGGCTGCGCTGGCCAGTTTAGAACCTGCCGTCGGTGGACGAAGGAAATTAAAGGAGGTCATGGCCTTTATAGATAAGGCGCGAAAGGGCGACATCACTGTAGAAGGCGATGGCCGAAGCGGTGCGGGAGGATTCAGCGCTGCTCTCCTAAGTAAAGGTAATTTCCACCCTCACTCCTCAAAAGACTACTCATACGCAAGGTTTGTGATTTCTAACATCAATATAGGTAGAGAAGCTATCTTCCTTCGAGACAGGGCCGACATCATCAAGATGCGAATGCTTGCCGTTAAAGCCAAGCAGTGCAACAATCCTAAGAACAAGTATTATTGTCCCGAGGTCTTTTTAGATGCTGCAGCAACCAAACTGGCTTCCACAGCTGTTCTTTTCCTAAACGTGGAGCTGCTTTCCGAATTCTACTACAACTTCCCGCGTGAACTGGATCTTCGTCTTGGACGACACTTGTCCGCGGATGAAGTCGAGAAATTCGCCAAGGAAGATCCCAAGATCCGCCGACATCTTGATGTCATCCGGAAGAAGGAGCTCTTGGAGTTGGTGCTTGAAAAGATGGACAGTCTGCGACAACTAGAAGGAAGGGACAGGGAGCAGGGAGCAAATGGAAGAAGAGGATCGGCGAATAAGGACCGAGGACGCTGGGGGCTCTTTTAAGCCTGCCATGACAAAACCCCAGGTTGCAGGCATACTGCAAAGGTTAGCTATGACTTGTTTGACTTATGAACTTGAATGTGTGGTGGCGATATCTCTCCACTAAGTTATGATTGCTCATTATGCTTCATTGATTATATAAACTACCTATGTCTATGCGTCAATCTATGTACTTCGTCTAGTTTAACAACACAGAGCGCTGAGGAAACGGAAATGTGCCATCCTGACAATCGCTTTTAAATCAAATGGTGGCATCAACAGTCGTTTCTAGAGTCACTTCCCACCTCACGTTACCCCCAGTCCCATATCCCTCTCCTAATCTGTTTTGGATCAAGGCTGAGATGCGATTGCGCAGCTTTCCCAGAGCGAGCTCATCGTATCCATTCGTGATGATGACTTTTAGGTTGGCCATGCACAAGCCATAGTGAACCTGCCAGAATTGAGCACCTTCTACACGGGCAATGCCTGACTCAGATTCAATCTCACGGAGGACGGCCGTGACGCCAACGTCACCCTTGTTCCCACCATAGCTCATAAGGAGCATCAGTCCCTGAGCAACAGCGACACGCATGCCTAAACTGAACATTGCAAGGGAAATGGCGGCGCATATTAGCCGGTCAAGCCAGTCATACAAGGAAATGGATAACAGAGGCAGCAATGAAATCAAGGCGGAGAAGAAGAGGGTGAGGAAGTGGAAGGGGTTGGAGAGGATGCTGGGCAGAGTAGACAGATAGGACACTCTCATAACTTTGGCGATGCGCGCATGGTTCTTCAGACCATAGGCAGATACGAGTGTGCTCGCAATGGCAGCAGCCGACACAAGGTCAAGAGAGCCTGTAGAGATTCGATCGTGTTCGTGTTCGTGGTGAGCTTCGTGGTTACCGACAGATTCGAGAATGTGTTTTAGATTGTGCGAGAGGAGGTCAAAGCCGCCGAAGAGCAGGAAAATAGACATGGCGAATCCTGCCAGGATCTCGGCTCGCTCAAGGCCAAACGGGTGTCTGATGCTGCTGCGGCGCCAAACTTCGAAGTTGCCCAGCACGTCGACTACGACACAGACGGCGGCGCTACCAGCATCAAAGAAGACGAGGTGAGACAGGGCCATTGCCGCAAGGGAGCCACCTGACCGATAGAAGATGAAGATGGCAATGGCGACGTGACACAAGCCCCAGTAGAGCCGCATTCGCTGGTCTCGCTGGAGGCTTTTCCATGCTTCTTTGATGGTGGGCGTCGGGAGGGAGGCGGGGAGGACGGGAGGCGGCCGTGGGGGCGGCTCTTGGAAGATTTGATGTTGTGCGGATACGCTGCTGTGCTTGTAGCGATGTCCACGACGCTGGCCGACGTTCTGTTGGTCGAAGTGTCAGTTGAAGGCGCTACAAGATAGATATCTTGGACGGGGTAGACGGACGGATTTGACAGGCGTAGTGGATATCACTTGTGTCTGGAAATTGAAGGGATTGGGAGCGGCGGCTCCTTGGCTGCCATTCTGCAGGGGATCCGACTCTGAAGACATGATGCGCGATGAGCTTCGTTGCCCGCTTGATCGAGACGAGGAGGTCGTGAGCTAAGAGGCGGTCGGTCGGTCGTGCAGCAGCGCCCAGACGTAGAGATAGGACGAAACTGCAATAGATATGAAGGTGGGAGAGCTGGCGAGCACTTGAATTCCCTCAGCCGCGACTCGATTACTCTGCCATGGTCACGGAAGCTCGCAGGGGCTGCCAATTGCAACTGCAAACCCAAAGTTGGAGCTGGGAGTTGGAGAGGCGGTTGGGAGGCGTTTGTCTTTGGGATGTGCCCCTGCAATGCGGAGTAGGTACGGTATACCTTTAGCTTGGCAGTTTACCGACTGAAGCGCGTCGTCTCCATTTCCAGTGTACCTGTCTGCTGTACGAGTACGTGCCTTGGTGCCGTAGTACCGGTGGACGCAAAGTGCATGTACATATGCACTCGCCAGCGAGACAATTACAAAATGAAAAACACGGTGAAAATAGTATGCCCTTTTTAGTTATTCAATTTTTATTAACTTCTTCTTATGTATCCCGCGAGCGAGTGGCCTTCTGCCGTGTTACAAGTTTCAGGTACATGTACTCTAAGAACCCGGCGGTGTCTCTGCGTCGAATCTTCAGTGGTTGGCACCCCTGGAGAAATGCCAAGTGGCAGGTATTGGGTACCTCTCCTCGGACAGCAAATCACCTGCGAGTACTCACGACATCCCTTGAGTGATCGCCATCCGGCACCTTCTGGGTATGGTATGGTCAAGGCTGGCAGATCTCCGATACGATACTAATCCTGGAATGTTGCTTATACACTGGGTCCCTTCATACCCGCCAAGGTCCTGCAACAGCTCACACCACCAGCTGCAGAGGCTTTTTACAATCATCACCTCACACCATCTGCCTGTGAATAGCGCCAATCGCAAGCCAAAAGACACAAACGAAACAATGCTCAATCTCAGAGCGTATCGCAAATGATCTGGTATCTGCTCTATCCACTGCGAGGGTGAGTACTCCCTCAACTCATTATAAGAAACTGCAGCTTCACCAGAGCTGATTGATTAACTCTAGAACAACAGAGGCGCCAGTCCTCTCAGCGTCTCACCCGCTTCGAAGAGTCCTCACTCGCTATGGCCGCTATGCCTCCCGTTATGCAATCTCCACGCTGCTCATCACTGCCGCCATAGCGTCCTTTCTGATCTATCCGCTGCCCTTCATCTACACCAGCCATGTCATCAACGGCGCCTCAACCCTCCCTCGTCATGTCTGGACCGCCGCTCAGCCGCTTCCGTATGACAATGCGGCCAGTCCCGATATTGTCATGCGCTCCATCTGGGTTCATTCGAGCTACATGCAAGCACTTAGTCCCGATATTCTTCTATCGGCCCTTGATTTGCAGGATGCGCTTTTAGGCGACACCAGAGATTTTGGTCCCAGCAGGTCCTTTGGTCTGCCCCCTCCCAGTGACTCCGAATCTCCCCTGACTCCAGCACAGCGGGATGCCCTCCACATCGTCAATGGTCTGACCAACCAGTCGTGGATACTTCAATCGCCGTTGCTGTACTGGAACTGCTCCCGTGATCGCATCCTGGCCGACGAGGATATCTTGGCCACAGTCAATGACAAGAAGAACCACACCACTCCCGCAAATATCACTCTACGGCATTCCATTGTTTTCAGTGGGAAGCGTTTTGAGGACCGCCGCTTGTTGGCCGCTGATGCTCTCGTCATCACTTTACTGTATCGAACAGACTCCCCCGTTGGTCGCCAGTGGGAGGCTGTAGCACGATCGTTACCCGTCAAGATGGGCGATAAATGGGATATATATCCTCCCAGCGGCAATGTATCGGCCAGCCAACTCTATGAATTTCAATTCAGGCCCATGTCAGTGCAGGATTCCATCATTCTTGCCCTGGCTTATACGCTGTCCTTGGTGTACTTTCTCCAGCAAGTGTCCAAGGTTCGCGCTGTCAAGTCTAAATTGGGTCTGATAGCCACCGTCGTGATGCAGATTATCATGTCAATTGCCGCAAGCTTCACAATTTGCGGCGTCTTCAAAATCGACCTGTCTGGCATCCCTCGAGCCGCATATCCCCTCGTCATATTATCCATGAGCTTGGAGCATATCCTTCGCCTAATGGACGCCGTAGTCCGCACTCCCTCCGGAGAAAATACAAGCAGCAGGATAGGGTCTGCTTTTGGGGAGACTGCGCCTACTGCCCTGGTTAGCACTGTCCAAAACTTTTTGATTCTCTTCGGCTTATCCTATGCCGTCACCCCAAGCGTATCCGCATTTTGCATATTTGCGGCAATTGCCATTGTGCTCGACTTTTTCTTCCTGTCCAGCTTCTTCATCTCCGTCCTTAGTGTTGATGTGCGGCGAATGGAGCTTGGAGATGCTCTCGCCAGAGAGGCCATGCGTCGCAAACTAAAAGCACGTCGCCCTCGGGAACACCCATCCTGGGCGAAGCGTATGCTTGAAGGCAAAATTGCATTATCAACACGCATTGCAGGAACAGTCGTCATGATTAGCTTCGTCATCATCGCGCAGTCTCACTTTTTCGGTGGCAGCGATATTTCCCAGAGGCTGGCTCACTTATACAATGGCCAGGATTTGGAACCCAACATGTCATCGCTCAAGGCATCCCATCTGGAGGACATCCATCAAGCAAGAACTCCCACGTCTTGGCTGCGACTTCAAGATCATGATGCCGCCCGTGAAATAATCCGCCTCATAAAACCTTCAGCCTACAGCTACATAGCTAGAGTCTATGAGCCTTTAGTGTTTGTAAAAAAGGGGTCCAACCGAGTGCCGATGATGAAAGAGCCCGCACTACTCCCAGCGATATATGACTTTGCGCATCACCAGCTGCGTACGTTCGTCTTTATCGACATTGTTGTGGTTGCCTTGCTACGCCTTCTAGTAAGCTACCTGCTGCCGGAAGATGAGACCAAGGCGGAAGAGCTGCAGGACTCGAGTGATCAATCCAACTTATGTGTGAAAACCCTCTCCAGGGGACACACACTCGATATAGCTATGCTCGCCTACTCACCAAGAGGCTTCGTTCTATCAGTTGGTCTAGACCGCATGATTCGCCTGTGGGACCTTAATCATAGGAATAAAGGCCCAATCTCTAACCTGGAAAGGGAAATCCTGGTGAAATTTCCCGTACTTGCAGTTGCCATGAGTGAAGACTCGGATTGGCTGGCGATTTTATCATCCGACACGGTCATCTTTTGGAATATTACAACCCATGTCCACGGCGCTTCCGTGGCCGTAGAGACCTACAACCAGAAGCCAGAATCCTTCTTTCTGGAACCAACCGAATCATCAGATATTCCAAGAGCAGTCATAGTATGGAGGAACGGATCTGCATTAGATGTAGACCCGGCCTCGAGAGAAACCCGCGAGTCCACCATCTGTCTAGGATTGACATGTGCCCGCCCGCTCTTGAGCAAAGGTGAATTTTCGATTTGTCCTTTGTTGTCATATTTCAAGTATAGCTGACTAACGAGAATAATTTCTATCTACGCAGTTGGCAAGCATTCGAAGGTCTCCCTTGTAGCAACATCTCGAAATGGAGATGTCCATATCATGGAAAGAACTGGGCAATTGTGGGAAAGGCAGAATCTTCTCTCTAGAAGACTTGCAAGCGATGAAATCCACCAAGTCGTAACCCTCTCACCGCTCCCCTACTTCCTTGTATCATCCAAGACAGATCTTCATCTTATAAGCCTGGATGATGGAACTACCTCGTGGAGCTTCTCCGTAGAGGAGATGCGGCCACGCTCGCTCTCATGCGCCTTCACCTGCCATCGATCACCAAATGCCTTGCCATTAGGGCTGGTATCCTTCACGTTTAGCTACTTGGCGCTGGTCTCGGGCGACTGTGTTCTACACACGTTTACGCCTCAGGATGAAGACGACGCGATTTGTCTACAGAACATCGACGATACAGGTAACAGCAGCGGATGGTGCAGTTGGGCTGATGCAAAGGAACGAAAGAAGCACATCAGCAACCCTGGTGTTTGGAGCCTCTTGTCCGATGGGATCACATTAGGTCTTCGTCGCCGGCCCCGTACTGAGCCGAGAAGTCGACATGGACATCAACGCCAGGATCTATCGGGGGTACGGAGCCGCATGCCGAGCACACGAAGCCGGGAATTGGGGGCTTTCAGCCGCTGGGAATTGTGGAGGGCGGCGGCGAGTGACTGGGACGAGTTGGACGAAACCACACCACTGTTCTCCGACGAAGATGCAGGGCAGTTGGTTGTTTGTGAACTGGGTCCCAGCGTAAGAGTCGGGCCAACATCAGTAGCCTTTGCTTATGGGAACGTTATCAAGCTGGTAACGTTGAGCGGGCACAAGCCTTTTGACGCAGGGATCGAGGACGTCAGTCATGAATCGTCAATGAATGTGCCGACAAGGCGTCGTAAAATGGCGCCAACAGCTAGGCCAGGAGCAGCATTAGGCTAACATCATGACTATTTTGAAAAGAAGAAAAGAAAAGAAGAAAAGTTGAGAGTCATTGGGCTGATCTTCCAGGACGCATAAACCGTTGATATATCAGCGATCCGCTCACCATTGACATTGACCGACGTGAAGACATGAAAGCACTGCCCAAAGCCGATCAATATGAACATACTATTGAAAGGGGAATACAAGCCATGTCAAGGAGGGTGCTGATGCGAAATAGGTTTCAGATGACTATCAGAACAGTGAGTTCGGGCGTAACATAGCTGAGTACGATTAAGGGAGAGGTTGTGCTCAAGACTATATATAAATAAACAAAACTTCATGAATAAATAAACAGATAGACAAATACATAAATAATAATCTAAACATTAACTATAGGGATATATATACCAACATAAACTGTAAACATGCTATGTGTTTATTCGATTCACTTGAAGTGGTAGATAGATACGCTTTATGCACGCTGAGGAAAAAATACATGACGAGAGGCTAGTTCATAAACGAGGATTGATGAGCTCTTCTGCGGAATGAGATGGCTCACATCGTTCGGTGATGGGTTCGATCTCGGCTGGCTGCTATCACCCATGATAGTTTGAGGTTTATATTGGATTTTCCATGCCGATAGGAGGAGTCGTGCCTGCGGTGGGAGCTGTAATCAAAGCCTGGGCTTTGCTGTGAAGTGTGTTGCTGGATCCAAGGCCACGCCTCATCATCTTACCCAACACGGTAACTAATTCACAGGCATCGCGAAACATGTCATCGTCCATGCCTTCTGTAGCCTCATAGACCTCATTGATCGTAGTTCTTGCCAGGCTGCGGCTACCATTGGCGTCGTGAACGCATTCATAAAGAAACGCTGCGTATTCTGTCTTGACTGATAAACGCAAGGAGTGGGAGCCCCAGAGAAGTTTATCAGCTAACTCTGCGGCCTCTTCAAAATACTGATTTGCCGTGGGCAGGTAGTCTTTGGCAGGCAATAAGAAGGAGAGCGAGAGCGCCGATACCGGGGCCTCAAAGCCAGGAGGAGGGCCAACAGGGCCGCCTTCAAGAGAATGATGTATCGCATGTTGGTAATCATCCGCAACCTGGCCGGTCGGCACGGCGTCGGGATCCCAGCCCGGCATGTTGGACACGCGGGGCTGATTTCGAAAAAGCACAAAGATGTGATAGAAGCTGGCACGCAACTTGTATGCCAGGACTTTCAGCTCAACACAATTGCTAACGAAAGGGATGACATATTCCTGAAGCATCTTGAGCCCTTCGCGTGCCAGCCAAAGGATGCGCATAATGTTTTCATGGAGCGTCGAATCAGGCTTGCGCTGCTTCTTGACCTCGACGAGTTTGTCAGAGAGCCTAAGAGAGAGGCCCAGGATCTTGTAAAGTGTTGACGAGAGTATGGTGTTGTCATTTTCAACGCTCCTGGCCATTCGACCCAGGTACTTTTGATCCACCTCAGATGACGCCATGGGAAAGCGATGCTGCCGTAGGTCGTGTAGTAAAAAATACAAGTTGAGCAGATAGCTGAGAAAATTTCAAGGAAAAGGCTTCACGGAGCCCTCAAAATGATCGAATTTTTTGGCGTTGATAGATTAAAGAAGAAGAATCTCGGTTAGATACTTGGTGCGACAGTGCCAACAAGAGATGTGGATTGAAACGAGCGGCTATGCGACGAGGTTCCTAGATGCCAAAGTATTCCGTCAGTAATGATTCAAGATTGCAGGAGGTTAGTATGTATGCGATAAGACAAAGTGAAAGAAGGAACTCGAGCTGAAGCAATACTGAGGCGAGCCCACAGAGCCCCTAGTCCTGCTGCCATAGAGGCCGAGCCATAGCGTAACATGAGCAGTAGGAGATGCCTGGGTAGGATAAGGATGGTTGCTCAAGCGCCATGTTGAACGTCAAGCCTGGTTACGCAGAAGCACGCCCGCATTCCAGCAGCGCAGACAGGCGAGCTTCTGCTTCCCCTGACACTGACACAGACACAGCCTCCTATCCTGGAAAGGGGCGGTTGAAGCGCATCCAAAATCATGATACCGCTCCGCTAACTAAATTCGTGTGCAATTGGTGTCCGTCTTGCGAATCTCGACCGAGGCTCGTTGAATCTTGCCCAGTCCGCTGTGTATTTCTGTACTCGTGCTACAAGACAGGGGGAGACGGGCATAGTAAGCGTCGCACGACTTACCCAAGGTACTGTAGTCAAGGAAATATCAATAAACTTTATATCCTGCAATTGAGTTTGACGGCGCTAGGGCTGTGTGTCGCTGGTGAGAGTGCAGAGGTGAAGTTGGATGACGGGCGCGAAGCGACTCGGCGTTGACAGGGTGAAGCGTCATTCAGCCCCAGTGCGCGCGGGCTGTGTTCGCGTATATTGGCCAAAGTCCACGCGTTGTACAAGTACCTGCATCTGATCGCTTAGCATCTCCCCGCGACAGGGATTAATGGCTAAATGGATGGACCAGCTCTTTATTGGGCATTGATGCTAAGTTAGGTAATCGTGCAACCGTTGTTGCGAGTACAAAGCATGCACATGTGGACCAAAAGAAATCACTGAATAAAGGTATAGATGAAAATATAATTCCGTGTGATTCTCACACTAAATCTTGGTATATAGTGTACATGATAAGCATATTCCTCCCTTTCCAGAGTCACAAATGCTGGCTTCATGCTGCCTCATCCAGCCATGCCGTCATCTTATCCAGTCAATAAATAAGCTTGAGGGGGTTGGCGATGGGGAAAAAAAGCCAGGCTATTCGACGGTTTGTCGAATACAAGGCCTAAACGTTGAAATCATTGCGTATAAATAATAATATTGAATATTGCATAACACATTCGGGGGTAGACTTGAATCCCATCCATCTGAATCGTGAGTCGTTGGTTGTGGTCTGTGCCGATTCCCGAGAGATGCAATCTCGTCTGATATCTCACACATGAGACTCTTTACATGATGGTGCAGCCGAGGGTAGTGTGGTACTCGTCAATCTTCTTGACCTGGGGCTTGGCCATGACGGTGCAGCCGATAGTAGTGTGGTACTCGTCGATCTTGTTGGTGGGCTTGGCCATGACGGTGCAGCCGAGGGTGGTGGTGGACTTGTCAGTCTTGGTGTTCTGGAACTTGGCCATTTTGATGGTGGTTGAAGGGTTGAAGAGGTGAGGTTGGTGAAGAGAGGCTTGAATTGTAAGGTGATTGAAGCTGTTGATGATGGACTGATTTTTGTTTCCAGATGGCGGAAATCCTAGACCTTTTTATATCATTGCGACGGACGTGAAGATGGCCTGCGCGGTTCGAAATTGACTCGGAGAATTGATTCTGCTCATGTTGCCAAGCATTGTTCCCAGGCTAATCAATCGTCGCGCCGCTTCATATCGCATTGGTGCATTGAGTTATCATTCACATCATATCCTATTGTTCTCGAATGTGGGGTCGAATCGCCCATGCAGACACTTCTTCGCATTATCGCCTTCATATTGTTCTTGGCTCCGCTCCAACTTGAGGCAACGCCTCCAGCTGACCAACATCATTTTGGTAGCTCCCCATAATGTGCGAAAATCGAGCAACTGAGCATTGACTACCGATCGCCCGAGGGAATTAGGGGGTAACTTCATATTGTCATCAGCAAATAGTTCTATTATTATGTATCATTAGGCTGAAAGCTAGAGCCGTATTTGTGTGTGCGTTTGGTGAATTGAGGGATTGTAGTTCTTCTAATAATAACCTTTTTTTCTTTCCATTTGAGGCTGGTTCTTCTGACGGCTCGTTGGACTTTCATAGTCCCACCCGTTGTTAAATTACCCATTTTAATTCGTGCCACTAACAGCGAGCCTATCATAATCGTCAGTATGTCTTGCATCAAAACTGGGTCTGTTTGTATATCGTACTTCATCAAATGGTCCATAAAAGTCTGCAGGGAAACATCATCAGTGAAAATGGTTTGGGCAGAGGTTGCCCCCACACCGCCGTAAGGTCCCGTCGTGTGGGTGGTTGATGGGTTGAGTTTGGATAGCAGGAATCTAGCTTGGGAGCCGCCTGCGTCGCAAATAATGAATCTGGGCAGCGGGAACCGATCTGTGATGAGATCCTAAGGAACAATGTTAGCCGTTACTACATAATCATTCACTCCATGTGCTTACTCTAGCATCTTCCTTTGGCTGTTCCAATAGAGCAGCAAAGTTTTCGTATCCCTCTTGCTCTTGGTAACCAGCCTTCCGCCACTCAGCAATGGTTTCGCCATGGAAGATAAGAATGTGGAAGAAAGTATCCAGCAGCAAGATATGGGTCGGCTGAATGGACGCAGAGTCAAGTAGCACTGGCTGACCGCCATCCTGATCAAATGTGTACGAGTCCAGAGTCGGTTGAATCATGACGAGGGAGTTGCTGACGTCTTCGTGGTTCAAGACATGGCGATAAAACGCAGTCTCATCAGGCGAGTTGTTGAAAACTTGGAGGAACTGACTTCTTCGGAGGTGGAACATGAATTGGGGATAGAGGGTGAAATTCTTCTCCAGGCGGAACGACGTCGGGTCATCCTTACGATAGTCTGCAAATCTGGAGCAAAGCCGAATCAACATCCTATCCACCCAGCGAAGCACATCTGGGCCATCGTCGACTTCGGCCTTGAAAACAGCTATCCGCGACATGAGGACTGCCGCTGCTTCTTGGTCGAAAGACTGTGCAATAGCCGGGTCTCCGGCAGGGCCACTCAAATTTCGAGCAATAGTTGTTACTCGAAGGTGGAATTGGCCCGAGGAATGCTGGTAATATGTCAAGAACTGCATCATTCCCTTTTGTGGTGCCTGTTGGTGAGCTGCCGGTCCTTGGTTGGCAACTTCAAAATAAATACCATAGCTGGAGTTGGGGTCGATGCCACACATTTTCCATGAGCAGGTGTTACCAATACCACATTCTGTCTCACCAACCGAGACCGACTTCTTGTTGAGAGATACCGCATGCCCGATTAGGCCAGTGACTTTAAGCTCCTTGGTCGTCAGCACTTCGAGCACTGCATTGAAGCCCATGAGGAGGTTATCGTCGCCGTCCTTTTCGAAAATGCGGACAAATGATTGTTTGAACATGGAAGATGTGAAGCTGTCAGTGAGAATCATATGACCTCCTGTCGAATTGCAAAGCCCCTTCATTTCCAGTAAGCCAACCTGGTCGAGGCAGCCCGCGAAAATATCGATGATGTGCCCATTATGAGCCGTGCGCTTGGCAAGGTTATCGTAGAACTATCAGCCATGTTAGTTTACTGTGCAATGATACTCCATTAAATCTTGTTGGCTTCACCTTCAATGCCTTCTTGTAACACTTGACGTTATCGCGATCAATGTCGTGATGTGAACGAATCGGCTCCCTTAGTTCCGGACCGACAACCATACCGGGGCCTTCAGTGGCAGGCCCGCCGGCAAAGAGCATGATGCGACCACCAGAGTTTTGGAAAGTTGATTCCATCAGCCCGATGGCAACACTCAAAGCGACACCTGTGCAACGAAGGCTTCTCCGGTCGCTGGCGGTTGGCCAGGGATCTTTTTGTAGTGCCTCCAAAACCTTGGTGAGCTGGAATTCGGCTTGCTGAACAGGCAGGAGAAATCTCGTCGCGGCTCCAGCATTCATTGGGCGACCTGCCTGTGGTGGCACTCCAGGCCGCACGGGTTGAGAAGACAGTCCTAGCATATCTTGGACATTCTTGGCGGAGTAGTCCTTGCTTCCGCGGAACACATACGATTTGGCGCAACCTTCATAGCCAATCTCGTGGACTTGGGCCTAGGAACAGTTAATTTCCATTTGCATACAGAGATGTAGAATAAGCATACCATTGTGCCGTAGGTGATGAGGCCAACCAGCGCATTTTCTGGGAGCAGGCTGAGGCTCATCACGAGTGATTCCTTGAGTGCAGACAAGCTGTCCTCCTCTTGGCATAGATCAACCACGTACAGGAACAGAGGCGGCGCAGGAGCAGGCCTTGACAGCCTATATTCGATGGTAGTATTGGCAGGGTGCAGTTCCGGTGGGATCGCATTCGCGGTGATGTCTTTGTAATGCGCAGGGAGCTGGTTTCTTGACAGGCAGAATGGGCAGATCCATACTCGAGCACGAACATCGACTTGGCTAACATTGTCATCAGTTAGACACCCTGCACGAGGGACCAAGGAAGCTGTTTAGTCGCGGGAGAGCTTTACCAGAATGGATTGAGGACCGATCGACAAGGCTGCTTGCATGTGACGGGCTCGAATTGAAGTAGAGGCGTCTCGGGCTTCTCTTTCAGCGGGGTGAATAGAGCGCCAATAGGAACAACTAGTCTCGAGGCTTCCTGTTTGATTTATGAGCAAGAGCAAGAAGGAAGTGTACGCAGAAGGTGATCAATACCATTCGAGAGCTGGGGAAGACATTCCAGCTAAGGCGAACGCCATCGCGATCTTCCACCTCGCTCCATTGCTCCTTGACTGCTTCGTAGTCCATTGATAAATCGAGCCGAGTCGCTGGACGCTCAGCTCAGCCGGATGATGTGTTGGCACGAAAAGTACAGCTAGGTTGGCAGGGTCGCAATTGATGTATCGCAGGCGTGAGATGCTCGGGGTTGTTGAGGGAGAGGGTTTTCGACTGGTTTGTATATCATTTGTTCAAAATGATAACACGTTTGCAAGCACGAGCACCGCTGTGAGGACAGCTAGCAGTCTAAACTGAGACTCTTTGGCCAGCGTGGAGCAATTCGGCCCCACTAGAACAATCAACATCCCGCACAGCATCATCGTTATAGAGGGGTTATCGTAGCAACCCGTTAGCAGCTTTGCTAGCAGTCTGCTAGTAAAGCTGTTAGTGAGCTAGCTCTACGAAGTCATTGCGTATCGATTCTTGAATGTGCAAGCATACCCTATAAATACCTACCAATTTTGGTTTCTTGCGATTTTATATTTATGGCTTGAGCCCAGTTTTGAATTCATGGTAATGTGATTAACAACTTTAATGTTCGAATGTATGTTTAAACGTATGACCCTGGCGGTTGCTATGGTCTCTCCAACCCTTTCAAGGATGCTCAAGCAGGTGCCCAAAAACTACCTGGTAACAATGTACCTACCCTGCCTGCCAGGAACACCTACCTAGCCTAGTAGGTCATCTTTCATCATCACATCTTGTGTCACAGATTAAGACCACGGTGACCTCTTATTTGTGGACACTTGGAAATCCAGCTTCCTAAATGCAATCTGTTTTCTACCTCTCTGCTACTCCGCGAACCTCGCCGTCTAGACCTCTCTCTCCACCCTCTTCTTCCCGGTGACGCTTGACAACGACGACTATCTTTCTAACATCGCCGTCCACCATCTGCCCATCTCACAGCCCATCGGGCCACTCACAAGGATATCTGCGGCCAATGGCGGCGTCAACAGCAACTCCTTCGCACACTAACATTAAATCCCCCACTATTCGACGCATACGTTAGTTCCCTCTCCCCGACCTCTTCGAGACAAGAGGGTAGAGAGCCATGTCTCATCCTTCATAGAAGCACTAACTCGGGCATCTCCCAGTCCGCGAGGCTGCTGAGCTTTCAAATGCGCCGTCGCCTGATTACACCGCGGAGCCACTAGAGTCGGATCTCTTTGAATGGCACTTCACCCTCCGAGGCCCTCCAAATTCCCCATACAGCCAGGGTGTCTATCATGGCCGTATTATCTTGCCTCCAGCGTATCCTCTTCGGCCTCCTAGCTTTCGCTTCTCCACTCCAAACGGCCGCTTCGAGGCCAACCGGGAGATTTGCCTCAGCATAAGTGGTCACCATGAAGAAACATGGCAGCCAGCCTGGGGTATCCGAACAGCCATTGTCGCGTAGGACTTCCGCGCTCCATCACATGTCCCTATCAGCCCTTGATATCTGACTGATGACGGTAATGACACAGGCTCCGCAGCTTCATGGAAACGGATGTTCTGGGTCAACTAGGTGGTCTGGAGACTACCGAAGCGGTCCGCCGCCGGCTTGCTCAAGAGTCAGCGTCGTTCAAATGCGCAGTCTGTGCCAGAACAAACGCGGACATTATCGCCGAATGCGAAGACCGCTGTAAACAAGCCGCTTCTCCATGCCAGGATATATCAATTCCCGCTGAGCTGAACATGGGCTGGAGAGACGAGCTTGAGGCTGCTGGGAAGGGCCAATCACAGTCAGCTCATACGTCAAAGGTCTCACATGTACCTGATCAAAATGATAAGATCTCCGAAGAAGCTGAGCTGGCAGAAGGATTTGTCCAGACCGCTCCCAGTATCCCAAATGACGTAGTCGCACCATCACTCCCGGTGCCCTCACGCGAAACTCAGCGAAACTCTTCAACTGCTAACCAGACAAGAGCCGGAAGCGATGGAGTCCCACTGTGGATAGACAGAGTGATTATAGCTTTGGTCATCTTGTTGATTGCACTGGTTCTTAAAGTTTTGTTTAGTACATAACCAGCTGCCCTGTAATTGGGATGAGGGCTCCTGGGGCTTCCCTCCCCTGCATTCAAACAATCAGTAATATTTAGGTCAAATGTGCGAAGTAGATATCCATGGGTCACCAATAGCACGGCCAGCAGCCAATGAAGTCAAATTATAATGATCAATTTTGGAGCGCTCATGATCTCGCCCTATCGTAACTACTGCCGCTCGATATCTAGGAGCATATAAGTCATTTTGAAAGGGGAGGAAGCTCATCGTGGAAGGGTTGTCTACTAATAAGCTACCAGCCTGCTCTCACTGTCGACTGTATTGCCATGGTACAGCCAGCCACCACCACTCTCCCACAGTTACAGCCAATCCACCCATGGCCTCTTCAAAAACACGCGTTTTTATGCCCCAATTTACAATGAGACTCGCCTCAAATTCATCAAGAATCGGCCGCAAAGAGTTACAAACGTCCCTGATAGCCATGGGTCCTTTGGTGGCATAAGTGAAACAAATGGCCCCCAGTATATCGGACCATCTCTTGCTGTCTTTCTCTCCAAAAAAGTCAATCCACTGTGGGATTTCCCCTTTCAAAGTTGTAGAAGGCAACTCTTCTTGCGTCACAGCTTGTAGCACGGCAATGTCATTGCTGTACTGGTACAGGTCTGTTGGAACGGCCTGAAGTCGGAAATGATAATAAGATTTAGGATACTTTCGACTCTCATAATTACCCGGTTCGAACCCAAAGGGGATATTCGGTATGTCCAAGGGAGCAAGTGTAATTCTTCCGGCAGCATTCAAGTTCGTCAGTGCCATCATAGAGCCGTCATTCAGAGTGTACGGTATCTCAAACGCCTCACCCGTACGGAATATGCTATCCATACGGATTTTGAAAGCTGCTGCCTCTTCATATTTTGAGCGTTGCGCCACCCTGCTCAACGTTGACAAATACCATTCACTCAGCCTATATGGACGACCTCCAAATGGTGTCTTTTTGCTCCTGCAAATGACCCTTTGAGCTGTGAGTTGATCGATGGCTTCCTTAAGTAATAGCGAGCCTTGTTCTGTGCCTTCCCCTGACAAGGTGAGGAATTTTTCTTTAATCTTTCGCACAGAGTATTTCGCTTCGCTAGTGCAGCAAAGTGACTTGATCCATGATCTTGCAATATTTGCATTCGCGGCATTGGCATTGTCATTTATACAACCAAAGGCTTGATTGACTGGCAGTGCACCGGGCTCCGATGTAACCGCCTCAAACCTGGAAAAAATCGACGATTGAGCATGGAAATATCTCTCGCACCAATCTTCCTCGCTGGATCTGTTGGCTTTGAGCAAGAATCGGTGGGCAAGAAGGTCTCTTGTCTGCGGGATTTGGTAGCCTTCCTGGCGAGATATCCTCGTCGCCCATTTAATAAGGATTTGCCAGTCGTATTCAATCGGGTTTTCAAAGTCCAGCATGGGGAGTTCAAGGCTTTCAAAAGCTTCGATCAGCCGTTCTTGAACATCTCGGGTGAATTTTTTTATATGAGGCCCCTGCTCCTTACATGCGGCTGCCCAGAATTTACGCAAGGCAGCCAGTCGCATATTCGGGAAGATATGAAGTAAAAGGCCCCAATCGATGGCTTTATCTGCACCTCCTAGCAAGACTCGGACGACGACGAAAGCGGCTAGGAGGTCTCCCTGACTTGCCAGCTGGCCGTCCTCTATCTCCAGTGCCCCCGGTTCGTCTATTCCGTACGTTCCCCTCGGGGATATTGAAGTAAGTGGGCGAGTTATCAGAGCCACCCTTTTAATTTTCGATTGTGTCATGTCGCCAACATTTAGGGGACGCCTGGAATATCTTAGGACTGAAGCATCCAAGCTGAACTCGGAGTCTTCGTCATCACTTGATGTCAAGGCTTCTGATTCGTGCAAAATCTGGTCAACAGATTGGGGATTTAATGGCCCCTGGTGCTGCCACTTGAGACTAGGTAATGAAGTAGCACTTTCAAAACCAGCTGAAAAATTCACGAATAAATTGTATGGACCAGCAACCAGCGGAGATGCCTTGATGAACTGTTCCCTTTCAGCTAGCTCAAGATCGAGACAGTCGATTAAGCCCCTCATGAATCTATCATGAGCAGTTTCGGTACCGATAGCAGGGGTTGGCCTTCCAGTCTCATTCCCGGATATACGTTTGTCAAGGCCTTGGACCATGTCAGCCCAACGAAACCACTCTGCATCAGGCATCCAGCCACATAACGTGAAGCTAGAACTGTTGATTTTTTCCTCGAAAAACTGCAAATCGAGATATGGCCAGTTTCCATCGTCAACTGAAATCTTCACAGGTTCGGTCATAGTAACCTTTACGGCGACAGCAGTGGGTGAGCCTCCGAAAGTAGCATTTATATCAGAAAACCGGAGGGGTCGTGTTGTTCCCTGTGGCATTCCGTGATCATTTATAGACCAATCATCATCTAAGAATACGTTCGGGGCCAAGAATTGTATCTTCGCTTCATGAGTTGGATGAACCATGCTGCGATTGTTTTGACTTGAGGCCTCAATATTGTCAGAAAGCCAGCTGGTTGCAGCCCATCTTACTTCATACTTGTCGTGGGGTGGGGTGGAAAGAGATGCCAGATTTGGACTATTTGAACTGATCTGAGCGAACTTCCTTCGCTTGCTTGGAGTGGTTATGTCGCTCATCATTCCGTGGCGCCTCTTGGCTGAAGCTTGAGCCGCATACACTGGAGCGTCCAGCTGTGCGACTTCACCAGCAAGAATACGACGTCCTCGGCGGTTCTCCTTCCTCTCTCCATATTCAACATTATTACCCGAAGACCGAAACGGCGTGGGTATGAAGAGCTGAGGGTGTCGCTGCTTAATACTCTCAACAACATTCAGAGTTTCTGCGGAGAAAGCATCAAGATGCGGCAACGTAATGACCTGGCATTTGGCGAAGAGTCCGCTATGATCTTGAAAGCCATGCCAATGCTCCAGGACTGACTTGGCTTTAATCATTCGGCTTAGAGCCACTTGGAAGTCCTTTGTTTTCGGTATTGGTTTCTCGGGGT